ACTGCATTCTCACGATATCTCATGATTCTCACGCTGGCCATACCTGGCCACTACATTGTCCTCCTTGAGGTCATGTAGTCCTGAAGTCGAGAAGCCGAAGCCCCAAAGATCGAGGGAGGCAGGATGCCTTTTCAAAATGGATAACTGGATTTACCACGTTCTGCCTGTTTGTGTTCACAAGTTCTCATTTGCCCCTTGCTTCATCCATCATGCTCTGCCAGAGACTCTACCATGTTCTGCACGTGAATCGCACCCTTTCATTGCACAGGGCTGCGGCGCCGCCGATCCGAAGACGAGAGGAGCCCTAAAGCCATGATCACATTGATTGGCTTGGCCCCTTGGCCATGCTTGGCCCAGTTGCCATTTTGATCAATTTGTGAAGTCAACTTTCATTGGCAAGGGTGTTGTATTGTGTTGCCTCATACAGGATCTGCACGAGGACTGGAGGGCTCAGTGGTCAGTCGCACAGCCGTTGGGTGATAAACCAGATAGAGATGTGGGACATGGGAAGGCGAGAGTTAGCAAAAGTTCAAGCCCACCGACGTTTCACAGCTATTGGGGCGAGATTGGAACGTATTTGGACAGTCGGTCTTTGATCATCCCACATCTTTCTGCCCAGCGGGCGCAGGACCTCCAAGCCCGGCGCAGGGGCCGCAGCTATCCGCAGCTTGAGCGGGTTCACCGTGTTCACCCGTGTTGTTCACCATTTTTGGTCATTGCCGGCATTGCTAGGCCCTGCTAGGCCGCTAGGGTTTGAGATTCCGCTTGGGGTTGAGGTCCTGTCGTCTTGGAATCCCGACGGTCAGACTTCCCAGAGCCATCCAGCTCTACAAGGCGAGCCTGGCTGAGCCTGGCTGAGCCTGTTTAACTTTGTCAGGTTGACTTTGCAAACTCTGAACTTTTCAGTGGTTGAAACATCTTGAAACTTCTGCCGCTCTGGATGTAGGCAAGTCATCACCAGCCAGGATGAGGTTCGGCACGAGTCTTCCGCTGATGAATGTGTGTTTTTTTTATTCAAGAGCTGGTAGCTTTGTCAGGATGACCGGCGAGGGGCTTGGGAAGGCACGGAAGTGCAATTACATGAGAACTTTGAATATGCACAAGTGAACTGCTGCAGGGCAGCCCTGAGCATAGGTGGACTATTTTACCATTGCCTTCGGGGGGTGTTAGGACCGAAAAGAAGGAGCCACTTCTAAGCCATTTATACATTAGGATTAGTGTGAGTTCAGCACTGAACATATGAGAATGGAAGGTGTTATCGTGACCAGTCCCGCTTTCCTAACCGTTCCTGTGGGTTTGTAGTTTGTAGCACCAAATATGGATATGGCTAGTTCCACAAATGATATATGAGATAAATTGGTATATTATGGTATATTTATATATATTATATAGTCTGTACTTTACAGTGTATCATATATAATGCTATGTAGATATTTGTAGAGGATGCTGCTGGATGGACCCTGTGCAGGCAGAGACGGCACCAGCCCCCGGGCGGCGCGGATGCGAACAGAGAATGGGCTCAGCAAGAGCTCAGTGACTTGTTGGCCAAATGGGTTTGATTTTTTCCGGTGCTGGGATTGTGACAGATTTACAGAGTATATATATATATGTATATATATGGAGGTATGTTGGAGCACACTGTGAAAACTTTTTCAGGGTGCGTTAGGGTTTGCTTTGTGGTCTCAAAAGCTTTGACAACTGGGTGCGATTGGTTGGTGGACGGGATGTTTGGATTGATCCTAGGCTGGGCACCGAACCGATGCCCAAAGTGATCGACAAGCGCCTCGTCACAGAGACCGACCTGAGGAGAGGGGCAGTTGTGCTTTGTCAGAGACAGCGGGAAATGTTCAACAAATTGTAAGTGCAAAGAAATTGAAAGTGCCAAGGCCCTACCTAAAGCAACCCCTATGCAAAACCCTTCTAAACTGCGGCACCTGCGCAGGACTTCATGTCTACAGGCTCGCCACAATCGATCGGCGTTGACAGTTGACCGCATTTTCCCATTTGGCAGCCCGAAAGGTGACTGGTCCAACCGGCATGTGGAGAAAGATCCATATCCCAATGGGCGCAGCACCCGACGTCATGAGGACCAGCTACTTTTAGTCAACTGTCACTCTCTTCGACCTGTTAGCCTTGAGCAGTTCAATTCCCAACACTGGACTTGGCAAGGATGGTCCTACAGGCTTCCGAGAGAACACTTACCCGGCATACCCGGAGGCTCCCCCAAAGATGGTACAAACTACCCAAACACCAAAAAAAAGAAGCCATTTCAATATATTTCAATGCCATCTTGGAATCTTGGATCAGGAACGCCGAGCACCTCGCAGGGCTCCCAGGTCTCAGGAGATCTCAAGAGTTTCGACGCTGGGAAGCCACCCTTCAGTGGATGAGCGCTTCCATGCTGTTAAGGAAATGCCCTTGCAGAGCATACAAGTGATCGGAAGGACCGGCTGAACGAATGTCCATTGTTGTTATATAATTGTTGAACAAGCGGTCACTGCCATTTCAGTGGGTCATGGGGCTCTTCATGCCTGGAATACAATACACTATAATACACTCCTTCCAACCCTTAACCTCAGAACATCTTTGTGTCCACGTTCTCTCTTATGCACATGCACAAAATGCATCAAAATGCAATCAACTGCACGCATGCCATGTTTCCCAGCAGACTTCAACTTGGGCAAGCCTGCCTTGAGCGCCTGAGGATTGGCAGCGCAGAGATGGTGAGAGCCAGTCCCACCAACCACATGGTCGACCAGAGGAGGAGAAACGCCATCATCGCCATCTGTCAATTCACCACCGATTGTGATCCCCAGATTGCCATGTACAGGAGCATGGATCTCGTTCAGCACCTAGTTTTTGTTCATGATGTTTGTTGGTTCTGTGGGCCAAATGGTGCTCGCGCACAGAGAGGTGTGTTGGATGTATGTGCGAACATGCATCTTGTACCATGTTGTACTATGTTGTCATGTTAAATCATGTATTGCAAGCATTTGACACAGATATTCATCACGGAAGTGTGTATGCGGCCCCAGAATCCCAGCCCAGGGTTGCACGGCCATCACGTTTGTGATGTGCAACTCACACACACATACACTTGCGGTCATTGAGGCTCGCATGCGGCGACTAGTGAACGCTTGGCTCCTCGTGATGATGAAAGGCGGTACAAGGACCATCAGCAAACACCAGCCAGAATCAACAGCCACTGTCATTTTGCAGCCATAGGGATCTGATCATAAATCTTAATTTGGTACAAGTTGTTCCTCATGGCGAATCTATCTATCTTACTCTATCCTATTCTATCCTATTCTACCCTATTCTATCCTACTCTATCCTATTCTATTCTATTCTATTCTATTCTATTCTAATTCTGTTCTATTCATTTCTATTCTAATTCTATTCTAATTCTATTCTAATTCTATTCTATTCCATTGTATTCTTTTCTATTTTATCCAATTCTATCCTATTATATCCCATTCTATCCTAATTCTATTCTATTCTATTCTAATTTAATTCTATTCTATTCTAATTTAATTCTATTCTATTCTATTCCATTTGATTCAAATTTCATTCCATTCTTCTATCTATTCCATTCTTCTATCTATTCTATATGTTCTATCTATTCTATTTATTCTATATCTATTATATCTATTCTATCCTTTCTATCGATTCTATCGATCCTATCTGATCTTATCCTATTTAATTTACCTAATCTATATAATCTATCGAATCCTATCTAATCTTATCTAATCTTATCTAATCTATCTAATTTATCCAATCTATCTAATCTAATCCTGCTAATCCTATCTAATCCTATCTAATCCAATCTTACCTAATCTGGTTTAATCCTATCTAATTTTATCTATATAATCTTATCTAATCTTGTCTAATCCGATCTAATCCGATCTAATCTGATCTAATCTGATCTAATCTAAACCTAAATCTAGTCTTATCTAAATCTAATCTAATCGTATCTTCTCTAATCTAATCTAATCTTATCCTGTCCTATCTATCTATTTATCTATCGATCCATCCATCCATCTATCCATCTATCCATCTAGTCCATCTAGTCCATCTAGTCCATATTATTATTATCATTATTTTTATTATTATTATTATTATTTATATTGTAATATGTACTTGAACTACGGGCACTTTTCGCAAATTTTATCTGACTCACATTGACTCAGGACAGGCCTCGAGAGGAGGAGCGTCGGACACCTCGCAGGGCACCCAGATGCAGACCTGTAGCATGTTGCCTTTCAAAGCACTCACGCTTTCGGTTCATAAATTCTTAAATGTTTGAGTCCCAAGTCGGAACCTGTAATAATCACAATTAGTATATATCAATTCATCACATTCATTCTCATTTGCTGACATTATGACCAAATTTCGATCCCAGCAATTAGGAGGTGTGTAGTATGGTATCGGGCAGTATAACTTGGTGAGAACTTAAGACCCCATTTGTGACACTTTAGGGCTGTATTTGACTGGCAGACCGGCCATACCACGGAAAAGAGGTGGCCAGATTCAGTTCATAGGCTGGCCATATCATATCATGATTTGCATAATACGATAATATATAAACATCTATCATTCCACTCAGAAGAAAGCATGTGCATAAGTGTACATACATACATCCCTATAGGCATGCATGCATGCATGCATGCATACATACAGACATAAACACACACACATATGCATGCATGCATACATACAGACATACAGACATACACACACACATATACATACATACAGACAGACAGACAGATAGACAGACAGAAAGACAGACAGACAGACATACAGACATACAGACATACAGACAAACAGACATACACACATACACACATACACACACAGATATACATACATATGTACGTACGTACGTACCTACGTACATACGTACATACGTACATACATATACAATCATATACATACATATACATATAAGTACATACATATACATACATATACATACATATACATACATATACATACATATAAGTACATACATATTCATACATACATATACATACATATACATGCATATACATACATATACTTACATATACATACATACATATTCATACATATACATATACATATACATATACATATACATATACATTTACATACATATACATACATATACATTCATATACATTCATATGCATACATATACACATACACATACACATACATATACATATACATACACACACATACATACATACATCCATACATTACATTACATTACATTACATTGCATTACATTACATTACATTACATACAGTTACGTCATGTATAGTTGTATCTAACTATTTTTTTTGTTTACTCTTATATGCATTTAAATTTATATAACTATCTATTATGTATGCATGTATGTATAAACGTGTGTATATATATATATATATATATTACATACATATATATATGTATGTATGCAATGTAATGTAATGTAATGTTATGTTATGTCATGCTATGTATGTATGTAATGTAATGTAATGTAATGTCATGTCATGTCATGTCATGTCATGTCATGTCATGTATGTATGTATGTATGTATGCCTCTGTAAATATCCCTTCTGTGCATCACATATGGGTCGATGTTGGTGGCTTTCTTCAGCTCACTGCATGCCAGGCACGAAGACGTCAGAAGCACTGCCGCCCCCACCGCCGCCTCCTCGAGATGATCGTCATGACCAGGACACATTTTTTCCACCTACAGTTTTCACCTAGAGCTCATTTGACCTACAATTTGAAGATGGGTTGAAGTAGCAAATTGAGAATAGATAGATAAAAATTACATCAGATTAGTCCAGATAAAACGATGCGGACGCAATCGTGCTAATTAATCAGGATAGTACATATGTTGTTTTGGACACTTCGCTGCTTTGCTACTGTAGGAGGAGAGATCCTACAGAACTGGTCAGCCGCACCTGTCAAGCAACAGATGGAGCGAAGCAGCCTCAAGCACGGAGGACACTTTGAAATGCATAAGCTTGAACTCTGAAACTATTTGGGTACGTTCAAGACTTCATGATCCCCACCCCACCCCACCCCACACCCACCAAATTGAAAACAGACTTGCCTGTGTAAAGGCATGGGAGTTTTTTTGGGATTTTTTTTTTTGGACAGACCCTTTTGATCCTGGCAAGGCACAAATGCATGCAATTTCTTGAATACCGGGTATTACTGAATGTGATTACATGATGACTAATGATAACCTTGATTGAATTCTTGGTCAAGAGCAGCCTCAGAGGTCCAAGCGCTTGGGTGTGATTGAAAGGAGTTCCGGGACCGTGGGGACCGTGCTCCCAACGGCCAGTGGCTGACAAGCCGTGACGGCCGTGAACAGGGCGAGTCTTAGATGCGACAGTCATACTGGGAGATTTCAAAGAGGGACGCACTCGGGTAGGAAAACCCATGGAAAACCCATGGCAAATACATGGCAAATACATGGTTTTCGGGGCATCGTCGGTCAAGATTTTGACAACCCTCCATGTGTTTGTCCTGTAAAGTCCAGACGAGTCTAGAAGCGGATATAAACCATGATAAACCATCTTGAAACTCCAAATCTGATAGAGCTTGCCCACCGCTTTGTATTCAGTTGCCATTGGCTTGTCATTCCTTGGACTTCACAAGGAAAGACATCGCAGAGACGGTGCCCACGACTATCGTCGCGAGTGGGACCCGGACCCCCGCGAGAAGGAGAACGCCATTGATCGCTTAAAGATGGCTGATGATGCCTGATGATTCTGATGATGGATGCGACATTGAACACATTGGTCAATCAATAAATTAATTGCCTCAATCTTGGATTTGGATGATTTGAGGATTCATGATGATTCAGGATTGATAGTTCCACATTTCTGAGACAGTTTTGTCGCCATGGGCCGGCCTTCCGTTTGAACATGTCATGGATCGATGATCGATGCAAGGAGACCTGGGATCATCGCGGAAGGCTCAGCCAGCTGATACTCGCTGATAGTTTGACAATGTTTGACAGCCTCATCTCGATCTGATCCGGTTTGCCTCTGACAAGATATGACAAGATATATAGTGTTTGAAATGTTATGAAATTTATTTGAAATGTACTTGACAATCTTGAAATGTTCTGAATCCGAGGCCCAAGCCGCAGAGAATCTCATCGTTTTGACGACTTCTCTGGCCCCCGGGAGATTCACGAGGCTTTGGGGCAGAGTAGTTGAAGACCTGCCGGCGTCCCTCATGGCTTAGCTCATGGTTGCATGAGATGTATGCCAGGAGCGCCAAGAACAGCGCCGGGAGCTTGAAAGCTTTGGCATTGGCCCATGTGCCGATTACATCTATTGTAACATGTTTGTGTTGTCTCATTTCCATTTCCATTTCTATCCCTTTATTTATTGATGTGATTGCCAGGCTGGCAGATCCTTTCAAACAATTTTTTGGTTCCATGCTTGAGTCATCTTGAGTCTACCAGTTGAGCTTCTTATGATTCTGAGGTGTTTGGCGGGATCAGCGATCGGCGAAGCACTGGGATCCTGGAAGACGTCCCAAGGCCATTTGGGCCTTGCAGCGCCAACGAGAATTCTAAAGTATAGGCCAGGCCAGTGGCGAGGGCAACTGAGCCGGCCACTTGAAGGCATAACATTCTAAGATTCTAAGGTAAGCTAAGATATGCCAAGTAGATGTTGTTGGAGCAACTGTTAGGATTGCTTCAAGTGGATGGCTGCAACATGCTTCAACTGGGTACCGGACACGTTTTTCATCGTTTTTCTGTGCTGGCAGAGCCGGAAAATGTCGGGCATGAGGACGGGATGCATACAGAGTCCGCTCGGCAAGAGCGTCAGGCATTTGCCAGCGACTAAGCAAGCCACAAAACTGGTGATTTGCTGCGGTTTCAGCTTTCTTTCACTCACTAGTTGCCTGCCATGATGGCAAATTGTGTTGGGTTGTCATTGGGTTGAAGTGCGAGGATTTGGGTTACCCCTGAATTGTTATTCTAGTCTCTGAGCCATTGGTGGATTGGAATCCAGGTCCAGGTATGCATGCAGTTCTAGTGAGTTGAGAGGGAGATTAATGGTACCATCAGCATCATCATCAGCATCCTGGCAGCATCCTGCTCTGATGGCAAATGACTTCACAAGGATGCCCGCTCCAGCAATAGATCGACACAGTGGCGTGAAACGATGCTTGTCTGCAAGGGTGCGGCCATGTGCGACCTTCCCGCGGAATGGTGATTTGTAGCCCTACATTTTCAGGTGATACAGCTGAATGCAGTTGAAGGCCTTGAACACGTTGTGTAATTCTTTGAGTGCCCAGCCTTTCACCCCATTTGTATCCATTTGTATCCATTTGTTTCAGTCGCATGGCTTCAAGGACTCCACGGACGCGCAGATGAAGCGCTGGTGTTGAAAGAAGTTGAAAGCGCTGGGCAAAAGGTCGACATCACGACATCCCTTTGGCGTCGTTGACAGTGGCATTGTTGATGGTGTAGTCAGGTTATGTCAGGTTCAGGAGGTTTACTCGTAAACACGTCCGAGCACAGCTGCGGCTGCGGATTTCGGCTCAACGCAGGCTCCTCAGTCTTCACAACTCTTAGACTGGTGGGCAAACATGAACTAAATCACAAAGGATGACCAGATGATCAGAGTGCACGTCGATCCGATCATTTCAGTCGCGTAAGCCATACTCCACGTCCCAAACGCTTTGACAAGTGAACCAACTACCGTTTGGACATGTCTGGACCAAGTGGAGCCGCAGCTCCAGAGCAAGCAGCGAAAAGCAATGAAGCCCTTGAATGCCCTTGAATCAAGTTCTCCTGAGGCAGGCGGATAATATATATTATAATATGTATGCACGCATATGTTTATATAAATGTATAATGTATATGATACACACACATATATATACATATATACGGTACAAAAAGTATAGAAAAGATGAAAGAGCAGATCTTACAGCAAAAATGTGCTCGACACTGTTGTTGCTTGGGTTAGCGTGTGGGCAGCGAACAGGTGTCATGTTGGTCTGTGAGAGAAGCCCATGATATAGCACCTCGGCATCACCTTGGCCATGGCCAATCAGTTTCGAGATGTCAGAAGGTACGCAAGTTGAAATGCCCGGAAGCGAGACATGGCATGTCCTTCATGTGTACCAGCCATTTCAAGTGCGCAGCACTGGGTATAATTTGATTTGTCAGCTGGATCGCTCAATAGATCTTCCATGATTGTGAGGCCTCTCGTTTCTGATGGTCTTGCAGGGGGCCTGGTGAAAGCTTGTGACCCGTGACAAAAGCTTGATCACTTTTAGATTCTCGGGGCTATGAACGGCGTCCATCATGCCGGCCCTGCAGTGCAGGCCCTTCAGTGCCATTGTCACAGACGTAGCTCCATCTTCCAATGCTGCTTGCGGTGGGCTGAGTATCTCCATGGCCACTACGCCTTTCTCATTGCTCGGATGATCCTTTCCTTAGGCGCAGGCATTGAGAGCTGGCTGGCTCACGGCACGAAGTCGCGAGAACAATATCAAGGTAGCAACCCTGCAGAGCATCCTTGGCTGCTTAACAGCATGGTGACATACAGTGACCTGCGAGGCACTGCTAATGAGCATTCCTTGTGGAGACCCCGTGGATGCCTCAGTTCGAATGGCTGGACAGTGATGGACAGTGATGGACATGATTGGGCAATATCATGGCGTGTCATGGCAGTTTGTATTCATCCATTCGATTTAAAGCTGGAGTGTCTTGAACCGGCCAGATCGGCGGCAGGTCCGGAGAATTGCCCTGTTCGAATGCACATTCCCGGCGAGGGTCGAAGACTCAGTGCAACCACATGAGAGGCGTTTGGTCATTGAGTGGGCCATGCCAAACCTGCTCGACACAAGAAACCTTGTGGCCCTGTCCTACATACATCTACATACTATGTAAACAGTACTGAATTGCTCGCACTAATCAAGATACCACTGGCTTGCACCAGAAAAGAAGGCATGTCACATGAAAACATTCGGCCGCACGAAAGTGAAATGCCCGGCTGAGGTTGTGAATTCACCTGTGTCAATGGATCACTGGGAAGCTGTACAAATCCAGTCCGAGACCTTTGCCAAACGCTACTGAGGGTCGTCTCGGAAACCGAGACCCTGCAAAACAGAAGCCGTGCTACAGGCCATGAATGTCGCGGACCTTGAAAAGTCAAAGTGCAAGGGCCTTGACACATAGCCAGAAACCATGACAGACAAAGTGCACAGCCCAACAGTTCAATAGCTCGATGTATCTTTAGAGCAGAGATAGTAATTATGCCCGTCTTAACCGAATAAACGTGGTCCAACCTTCAGGCAGGAGTTGCGAAATTTCAGGCTGTCAAGTCTGCAGCACAGCCCTGAGAAACAGATGGCAACACATTGGCATAGTTATGCATAACTCAATATTGCCTGAATGACATGTGACAAGCACATCACATGAAATGTGATATGTCAGTGAAGCAAAATTGACAATGGTGTCAATGGCTCCTTGAACAGGTCCAGACAATCTCTGTGCAGGACCCAGATGATTTCGAGGCTTCTCAAACTGACACGCTGTGAGCTTTGTCAAGGCAAAGAGTGCGCGACCGGCTTCTATCTTACAGAGGACCGCAAAATCAATGGCTGCCTCTTGGATCCTCTTGGCACATGAAATCATATGAAGAACATTGCAGAACCATGATACATGCGGGTGCTTGAGGACGAGAACCAGTGCCATAGCCAGTTTGCGTTTTTTGTTCCCTGCGCCGGTCTCGGGTTGCAGCATCTTGCAGCACTGGCAAAAAGCAGCCTTTCGAGTCCCATGGGTTCTCAAATTTTCTCAAATTCTCCTTAGTATGTCCTGTTGCTGGAGGTGTGTCTGGGATCGTTGGCCTGCTCTTATTGACGTTTATGTCGCCAAAGCCCCAGTGCAGACTGATGCAGGTAGCCTTACTCCTTCCCTTTCTGGCATGTGTACTGTGATTATGACCACTGCAGGTGGTATATTTGGCTCAGAAAGCAGCGTGGTCCTTAGCATCACTCTGATGGACTGGCTCGAGTTGCAAGCTTGGTCCGGACAGGCCCACTGTCAACACCAGAGTCTTGAAGCGCGCAATCATGCGACGTCGGCATATGACCTTGCGCGCAGGAGACTTAAGAGTTGCCAAATTCCGTACTCTGTTAGTCGTGTGATAAACAGTGTGATGTCATGTGAGCTGCAGTTCAACGGCCAAGGATCACACAACGCGACAACACCTTTGGCAAGCTCCTGAGTGTAATTCTTTGCTCTTTGTGTCTGACTGTATTCGAAATGTTCTGAGGTACCCGCTATCGATCAATCTCTGCACAGCGAGGTCCGAGGACGGCCACATTGTTGGTGGTAGAGTGGGTGCCTTCGTGCTGGCTACCAACTGCCAACTTGTGGACACATGTTTCAAAAACACGCCATATTTGCATGATTTGAATGTGAAATTCTGGCTGACGATATGCACTGTAATTGGAACCAATTCACACCGAGGCATTGTTGATGTTCTTCAGCTTTCAGGCCTTTGTCCTCGTTTGGTGCGTCGAGGACTCGGGCACTCAGCCCTTTTGTACTGTACAACTCTTGCTGTTTTGCAGCCTGGCCAAGGTAGTTGCATTACTCTTTTGGCTGTTATGTTCCATTGTGCTAGCCTCAGTTTCAGAATCCGGAGACATGCGTGTTATAAGAATCTTAGAGCCACAGACTGGGAGGGCTCTCAAATAATCATTTTTGCAGTTTTTTTTTCTCTCAGTTGGCTTTTCAATCTGTACTTCAGTTTCCTTTGAATCTTAAGTTTGATCATAAACTTTTTTCTTCGGTTTCATCATCAATTTCCATTTCGGTTTCATCATCAGTTTCGTTTGAATCTTCAGTTTCACCATCAGTTGTTTTTGGCTTTTTAGCATTTTTTTTTTAAAAATCAGTTTTGTCCGGTTTTGGGCATCATTTCGGACCTCTTCTCGGGCCGCTTTTCGCCAGTTTTCTGGAAATCTATCAAACAATCTAAAAGTAGCAAAACACGCTGGGTTTTTATCGTTTTTAATCTTTTCTTCCCCCCGTTTTTTTAATTATCAGTTTTTTGTTTTCGTTTTTTTTTTAAAAAATTATTTTTTTTAAATCAGTTTTTTCCTTTTTTTTAAACAGTTTTTTCTTTTGCCGTTTTCTTTTCGTTTTTTTTCCCTCCGTTGAGGTTTGTAGATCGAACTAAAGAAAAAAACAAATTGGAAACCAAACTGAAAAAACTGAAAACCAAACTGAAGATCAAATTGACTGCAAAAAAACACACAAACATCACAAACTGAAAACCAAACCGAAAAAAAATGAAAACCAAACTGAAGATCGAACTGAACAAAACTGAAAACATAAACAAATCAAGATTTCCAATCTCTGGCCAGCAAAGAATCTCATAACATGCGTGTCATTGGGAAATTGTATGAAATTGTATGATGTTGTATGAACTTCTGTGAACTTGTGAGGATTTATGGAGACAGCTCTGTCTCTTGCCTTTCAGGTCTCCAACTCGCAAATGCTCAACGAAGGTGGGCTGTGGACGGCTACTGTATGGAGTTTGTGTGAGTTGCTATTGGCCTGGATCAATTGCCATTCCAGTTCTGAGGCAAAGTGTCCGGAGTCAAAGAAGACATCTTCTCCATTTGCCATGCTACGCTTCGGAGGCTGAATTCAAGGCCGTGGCATCCCAGGATTTTCAATTTCGTTGACCTTGATCTGCAGGCATTCAACGAAAATGGGAAAGCTGATTTACACTGCCACACTGTGACCTCAACTGAGCGCACGGAGCTTGAACGAAGCTTCAACTTGGATGCCATGAGTCAAGGTACGTATTTACAACCATTGCGACTTTCCTCTATGTTGGAAGCTCAATTCCCAGGGAAGCAATCGTTTCGAAGGAAAGAGTTGGTGGCCTAGCCAGGCTGTCTGGCAGCGCCGTCGAAGGATTCGTCTGGACACAGATGAGGCATCTTCAACCATGAAGTTTGTGTGTTTTTGACAGAACATGAGACAAGCTGCTTTTCAGTGATTCCCAGGCAACCATGAAGGATTTCACCGTAATGCTCAAGGGCTTCCCTTGTGAGACAGGAAACCAGGCCCTGCGCACAGATCGCACAGATTACTGGGGCTTTACGGCGCTTCAGTTGGCCTTTTCAGGTGGAGCATCATCGCTTGGACTTCGTTCGCAAGACGACAGGGTGGAAGCCTTGAAAGTGCTGTTGATGGACACCTTTCTCAACACATCCCAATAATTACTGTACATCTTACATAATACCTTTCCATACCATTTCAATACCAAAGAACATCAGTCAGTGTTTAGCATAGCTTTGCATGATTCCAAAATAGTGCATCAATCATCGTGGGGGCTCTTTGCGTTGTGTTGCCTTCGGGGGACTTGCAGGCGACAACCCATCGGTGTATCCATATGCTGGGAGTACAACCATGAGGAGGCCAGTGATTTCGCTAAGCTAGCAATGGGACGAAAGAGGTGCCGCGGTTCCATCCCTTGGCTCGTTTGCTGCCGATTCAGGTGACAGAAATTTTGGCCCGAGAAACTTGGCTATGGGGCAAGGCTGGTTCATCATACTGTGAACAGACCTGTGCTCAGACAAGAGGGAAAGAGAGAGATAAAGCGATGGGCTCTTGAAATCAAGCAAGAGACATAGAGTCTCACCATTGTCAAAGCTGCGACGAAGCAAATGCCATCCAATGCCCAAAAAGAGTGTGACAAGAGCAAAACATAGCATAGCAAAACCAAATCAAGAAATATCAAGAATTCTTCACGCTTTGAGTTTGAGTTCACGCAGGCTAGGGACAGCTGTGGCGGCGGTGGTGAGATACAGGCGACGATGCTGGGGCCCAAGTCCTTCAATTCCTCAAGCAGAGCTGGTTGCAGATTTGGCGACCCAGCCCCTTTGCTATCTTTGCTTCGCGCGGTTGTATTTCTGCATGTTTCTGCAAGAGGCCACCAGACAACAGGGGAGAAGGACTGTCGCTTTCACAGCTTGGGTGCGCTTCTCATTATGCTTTGACTTGCTTTGACAGTGCTGCAGGATGTGGGCCAATGCGCTATTTCTTCCAGTACCTGACTCAATTTTTGGTCCGAAACTTGGAGCGCGTTTTGGAACCATACATGTCTTCTTGAGAACGATGGAACCGTGGAATGTGACTGTAATCTGTGTTACAACCACTGGTAGCCTGGTAGCGGTCAATTTGGGCAAATTCTTCAAGGCCACACCAGCGCAGCAAGAGGCAGTCGTTGCCCTGGAAAGCGCATGAGACCTTACAGTCTGACAGGTTGTAACACACTCGGCTGTTGTTTTCACGCGCAGATCTCCGAGGATGCAGACTTGGGTAAAGCAAGGCGGCATGAAGAACGTGTCATGTGCTTACGCCATTTTCAGATGTGTCAGTGCCGTCGCCGCGATCTCGGTCATATTCAGCCGTCGGATGAGGCCACTCTTGCTGCTGCCAACGCGGTATCGACAGGCCTGGACTTGCGAGTTGGTGTTGGAGATGAGGTTGACTCATGTTGACTCGGGTGATTCCTAGTCGTTTGCTTCCTGAGGTTGTATGTATGTCGTGTTTCGCTCGGAGTCTGGCTGGCATGTTGTTCTTTTATGTTCTTTTGGACCTCACATGGACAAAGCTGTATGCCTGTGCGTTCCTGTGCGGTGGATCCATCTTTGTCTCACGTACGCACATGCATGCAGCAGACAGACAGACACTCAGACATACATGTACAGACTCTACAGACTATTACATATATTCATAGCTCTGTTGTTTAGCCCGCGGCGTGTCAAACGTTGCACATAAAGCATTTGCCTCCCTGTAGCCATCTGTAGCCCATGTCACTTATATAACTAACTTATATATGAATTTATGTTGACCTCTCGACTCAACTTGTCATCCAGTGCGTGTTTGACTGGTCCTTGGAATGATTTGTCGGCTCATTGGCAGGGCTGAAAGGGCGAGGGCCTAAACTTGTCATTGACATGGCCTGTCCGCAACCACTTGCCGCACAAGTGTTTTATCTCCCCAATGCTCAGGACCACGCAAGGCAAATCTTTTCCTCCAAGACTGAGAGACCACTCTACAATGGGATCGGATCTCAGGCAGATCCAAAGCTTTGTCGATCCCACCTGGACCATCTTGGAGCCTTAGGGATGTGCAGCTGGAGTTTGGCCCGAGGCAACGGATTAAGTTCGAAGTGAGTGGAAGTGGTTCGGAGCCAGAAAGCGCCAGATGCCCAGCACCTGAATTCTCTCAAGGCATTTCGGAGGGGCAAAGGAAACTGGGAGCCTCACAGTCAGGGCTAGACATAAACAGCACTTCAGCATACTTTAGCCATCTTTAGCCACCTGTAGACTGGATCCAGGTGCTGTGGCACAACTTCAGCAAAGCCCAGGCTTCACACTTTGGCCCGCGATCATCCGTTGGGATGTAGTGAATGTACTGAGTTGTCCAGGACAGATCAGCAGCTTCTCTTTCGACCGGTGAACAGTGCCAGGGAGTGCCATGTCGAGCTGCCCTATCAGTGTTGGCCATTGCTGGCTCTATCGTGCTTTGGGGCGTGGATCTTAGGCTGGCCGGAGTCTTTTTGCAGTCGATCCTCACACAGCAATAACAAGTCGAGCTTAATTAAACACAACGACGGACAATACAAGGCAGAAAGGATCAGGAATGGGAAGGGGTGCACCCGTGGTCCCCAGAAAGAATCGTATTCAGATTGGCCAGTTGGTGAAAGGCGTGTCATGATTGTCATGTTGGTTTTCTCCCACGATTGCAGTTAATCAACTTCCCAGGGGTCCCAGCCGCAACTTGTCACAGCTCAGGCCTTCTTTTCTATTTCCCTTTTGCCATCTATGAAGCCTGACCCCAAGTGATTCTTGCACCTTGTTGCGACCACACTGACACTGTGACTGGTGGACAAGGCCTGGTCCTACTCGGCTTTGGGTCCGCTCCCTGGATTCGCCCCATGGGGCCCTGTGGGAGCACTGTGCAAATTGTTCTGGGTGCACCAAAGACTCCCGAGGTGCCGCGTCCGACACCACCACCGAAATGATCTTCAGCATGTTGGTGGTGGTGTGGGCCTTGTCACTTTAGTCTGGTCAGGCAAACCGGTCTCACAGGTCTCACAATAAGTCTCAACAGTCTCAGCGATTGCACTTCCAATTTGTACGGGGCCAGGCTGGAAATCAGATTCTGTACCTGCTTTGCGAGAAAGCATCTCGATTCATTTGCTTTCGCTTTGCCGGCTCCCTGATTTACCCGTGTGAGAATCACAGCTGAATCCAAGACATAATCCAACTTGAAAAGCCAAATTTTCTCGAAAACTGCGAGGAATGGTTTTCTCCCCAAGGTCGGCCATCAGCTCACTGCATACATTTGGCTCTACACGTGGCCAGCTCAGAATCATGACTTCTATTGTCTTAATATTGTCTTGGTGCTCGGCCGTGGCTGCTGAGGATGGCTCTGTTGTGCAACTTGGCAATGGATTTGGTGATCCTTTTCTACACCACCCAGCTGGCCATGGCCAATTTGGGTCTGCGTCCCGGTGATATGAGACCAAACTTCACAGCTGAAAACGAAGGAAGAACATTACCAAGAGAGATGCAGCAAAACAAGGCCGCTACAGGTCCCTGCTATTTTATGTGAACAATAGTTGAAGATAGTTGAAGGGGTAGTTGCAGCGCTCGTTGCTACCACTCATTTACTATCAGAATCAATGCTCGTTATCTCTGTCTCTCTCATTCCTCCCATTTCTGTTCATTTCTCTCTGTCTCTCTTTCATTTCTATTATTCCTCTCTCTCTCTCTCATTTCTCTCATTCTTCCCTCACTCTCTCTCTCTCTGATTTCTGTCATTTTCTCCCATTTCTCTTATTTCTCCAATCTTTTATATATATATAGTATTATATAGTTAGTTATACAACAGAACCAACTATAAGTATATATTATGATATATATATATATATACATTTCTCTCCCTCTCTCTCTCTCTCTGTCTCGAATTTCCTGCTTTTGGCAAGCCTCGCAGTCAGTTTAGTTTGAGGCCTTGAGATAACTACAGCCACTTTCCTGATGGGCACTGATGAGTCATTGACCAAGAAAGGAAGAGGAAGGCAAATGAACTGGCTGAAAACTGAAATATGCAGCGGTGGAATGATCCTTGTGCACTTGGGGACAGAGTTCAGTGCATCCAAGGGTGACAACCTTCCCAATGAGGGCCAGAAACTCATTCGTTTGATTCATCTCCTCGAGGAATGTGAACTGTTTATTTATAAACCCGTAAAGAGCGACCAATGGGCGACCAAAACTGAACTTGTGGACAGGGTCGTGCTGGAAAACTGCGAGCAGGAAGGTAATAATTACTTGGAAACTGGAAACCTTCTGAATTCTCGCAGAATCTTTGGAACCTAAGAAGATTCTCGGGGACCTGTCTGAGGCCAAGTTGGGAGCACGGCTGAAGTCCTACAACTTCCCAGCTTGCTTCTTCTTGCCTTTCCTGCCCTTGGCCTAATTGAAGTTTCAGACGAAAGATATTTCGTCCTGTGACCGAGTGGGTGCCCATCAAGGTTCGAAGCCCTGCCACCACCCCAGTGCTTAGTGCTGCGTAGTGCTGCTGGAAGAGCGTTTTTGTTTTTTCTGTTCTTTTTTTGGTTTCACTCTTCACCGCTGCCCGGGTCGCAAAGGTTCACAGTGGTGATACCATATCACATCTACAAGACGTTGGTCGGTTCTCAGCCCATCAGTCTGGATCACAGTTCCGCACCGCATTTGAGACACATGACATTAACACAGGGTACAACATCTTGGCACTGAGGACAGAGAGCGGCCGATGGTTTCTTAATGCCATATGCTGAGACATGCTGAGACTGATTGGAGACAGCGTGATGATCACGTAAGGTTTGGAGGATTATGATGGAACAACCCTAACCTTTTGAATGTCGAGTGTCACCAAAGAACATGGAGGTTGTCGTGTGATGGAGCCACGGTATATGTCCATCTGTCGTGCCTGTGCGTTTGATATCCCAAAGGCCAGCTCCCTTTGACATGTCGCGATATGCGGACGTGGATGGGATCTCAGCTCTCGTGTGGCCAAAGTCATCCAAAGTCTTAGGAGATCTTAGGAGCTTGGCCCAACTTGGTCAGATGCCCAATTTGTGCTGTGGCAAGCCGGCAAGCCCAGGTGCTCAACATGACGCAAGCAACGATGTCCCTGTTCTTCAGCCCAGGAGGGGAGTCAGCTTCCTGCAGACCAAAGCCTTTGGCTGTGCGCTGCGCCGCGTGCAGGTTATGTCCTGCCGACTTTGGGCGGAATGCTGTTTGGCCACATTTTTGTGTATGCCACTATCCTAGATTCAGATGATTCAGTCTCCTGCCTCATTGCTTCTGTTGGTGGCTGGGCAAGCGGCTGAGCCGTTCTGAGGCATGGGATCACTACAGGGTGCTTCGGCATGTGACTTGCTGCAACCATCTCCCTTCTTCGTACCAAGATTATGAGTTGGTTCTTCACATGCAGCTTTGTTTTGCAGACATGGCTTGTGTTTTCTCACTTGACGCTGCGAGGTTCGCAAATTTAGAATCACTTCATTCGGAACTGAAAAGGCTGCTGGAGAATCTATGGACAATTTTGAACGCTGCACATCTCTGAATTTGTGTGCAGGAGACTCTCGTAAACAGTTCTGTTTGCCCGTAGGCTGCTGAGCGAATGCTTGCCCTGCCCGGTGCCAGTTCAGAGCTCAGATGCACAATGGCAGCCATGGTCTACCCCTGAAAATGACGGGCCCCTACCAAGTATCCGATCCCAACAATATCGAACAATTCCCAACATGACCGTGGTATACTACGGTATACTGCGGTACACTGGTATGATCTGGTATGCCTGGTATACCGGTGCTAGAACTACCCTGACTAGGATTAGCTATGGTTAGGATCCACTGACGATGGGTGCTGTCTGAAGCGGTTTATCTACGGTCTGAGTCTGAGGTTTGATTGCTGGGACCGTGCTCCAAACTTTCCAGGCGCAGCCTCCCATACTGGTTGAATCCAAAAACACCGGAAACCCTGGAAGCCTAAAACGAAACGGGTAGGTTCTTCATGCCGGGTGGGGGATCCTTTACCAAATCCATGGCCTCGTAGGTTGGCGCAGTGGCAACCTCAGCACTGGAGAAGCATATTCAGCCAGATGCCTTTGTTCTTGCAAAACGGAAAGGGTGTCGTTACTTTTGCGAAGACAGCACCTTGTCAAAAAAACATAATCGAATAAAGCCACCAGCCCATTTGAAGGTTCAAAGTTTGATGTTCTAAGTCAGTTGTGACTGACGGTTGTTTGCCCGCCCCGGTCATGGAAACTCATGACAAATACAACTTAGATTTCTGGCACACATGTGCACCTTCTGAGGTGACGCCTTCGAATGAATTTGTAGCAGGACTTTCTGTTGTGGGTGCGGTAGCAGCGCATATTACCATCCACCTGCCGGTTCCTTAGCTTCGGTGCACAGCAGGGCCGGGGCACATGTGTCAGCTTGCATGGGGCGAGGTTGGTGCTGCAGTACATCGTTCCCTGGGTGGGCCGAGCTGAGCACAGGACTGCAGAAAGCTCGTATGAAGAGGTCAGCACTTGACAAGTTGTTGGCGCAGCCCACCCTGTGAACCCCAAGGTGTTTATAGCTGCAAATTGAGTTCTAGTTTGTGTAGATAATCCTGCTCCTGGAGGTTGCCAGCACGAACCCTGGAAACTGGTTCAACATGAACCCGATTCATTGCTTGCGGTCAAGGCTTCCGGGCACTTGCTCTCTGGCTGACATTTCTTCAGCCGGTGTTTCGCACGAAGTGTCATGGTCCAATGTCCCACGCTTGGGAGGTATGTGCACAAACACGATCCGCCTTGTATCTTCTACCAGATTGGGAAGGATCCCGGACACTCCAACACAGTAACACAGTGCAACACTTTTGCTCGCCAAGCGAGTCTGATTAAACTTGCAGGAGCACTTGCTGGAACCCAATCCAAAGCTTGGCTTGTTTTACAGCGCGCCTGAGTGGAACAATGCTCCGGCCTCAACTGCATGGGGCAGCTTCTCAGCTTTGGGCTTTGGAGTTGCACCAAGCAAGGAACAGCCATCAACATTTGTGGAGCTGACCCAGCTCAGACCTTGGTCAGAGATTTCAGTGCATCAATGAATCAATGCCCAAAGTTTAAATGGTTTTAGTTTTAATTAGCATGTTTTAGCGGTGATTTACTTTATCAACCCTTTGCCCGATTTGCCCGCCCCGAGTTTGAACATGTGAGGCTGGCAAGACGGTCGCTAGCGACTGCAATCGCTCGCCACTGAACTTTGCTACAAGCAAATGAGCCAGAAAACGGTTGTAGATTTGTCGGAGGTTGATCCATATGCTCGAGGATGTTCAAGGGTCGCTTGTTCTATGCAAGGTCCCAATTGGTGGTCAACTGCACCGGCCGAAGGACAGAAACAATCGGGTTGGAATCTGACCGTGGGCAGATCTTTGTGATATTTAATTTAAATTATATAATTCCATACAATTCCGCCAAAACTCCATCCAAAACCGATGAATCAATGACCGACGGCTGATCACATATTCAGTTTGGTTCCGCTGCTTTTTAAAGGCCTTTAGCCTTGGAACATTTACCACACAATTGACAATGTGGCATAACAATGGAGCTGTGGCATAGGAAGTCTCAGCCATGACATGCCGCCGAAGCAGCTGGTTTTGAAGCATGACCCCAGCATCTTGCTGGAGACGCTGCATGAAGACGACGATGTGCTGGCCATAGCCAAGCCCTTTGGGGTGCTGGCCCATCCATCGCCAGGTTTTTGGACCAAGGGCACTTTGGCCCATGCTCTGGTGGGCAGAGTCGCAAATGACATGATGCAGGAACGGGGCAATCACAATGAGTCGCTACCATTTTGCTTCAAATTGAATCATTGAATCATGCCATTTTCTTCGAATGTTTTCAAGATGTTTGATGTGTATACTGGGTTTGCGCTAATCAAAATGTGAGCTTTTTCTGTGGGATGTCCATGTCCGACATCCAAGGTGGGACAGTTTCATTCCACGTTGCATTGTGCATCGTTTGGACGCCGGAACAACGGGTGTGATGGTCGTTGCCAAGAGCCCAGCATCAGAAAAGGATTTGGCCGAGCAGCTGCGAGCTGCAGACATGCAGCTGGACCCGTCCCAGACGGGCAAAAAGCTTTATGTGGCATTGCTGCTGGGCCACCCAGGCGGTGAAGAGAAGCGCTCATGCATAACAGCATCTGGAAACATTGGAAGGGATCCAAAAAATGGCAAGATGTGGGCGGTCACATCTGCTGGAAAACCTGCCAAAACAATCTTTCGAGTCCATGCTTCAAGCAAGAAGCATGGTTTGTCCCTTGTGACAGCGGAGCTGTTTTCCGGACGAACGCGCACCAGATCAGGGTTCATGCTGCTTCCTTGGGTGCGCCAGTGGCCAACGACAAGGTTTATGCCTCCATCTACCAGCCTAAGGCCTTCCAAGCTTTTCGCCGACGACCATTCAGTCAGGGTCTTCCAGACAAGAGGCAGCTACTGCACGCATTCGGGCTCAACATCGAACATCCGGTGCGTTCTCGGGGGCATGGTCCCTTGCGCTTACGAGCGCCCATTCCAAAAGACATGTCTGACATTATTCGCCAGGTGTGGCCAGATTTGTCCCTAGAGCCCCCGAGATGGCCCAATTGGCCTGAAGGGTTTGGATTTCAAGACTTGGCCGAGCTGAGTGAGACATCGGCCTCCCAGATTCTTGGTTGCACCTGGGGAACTCTGAACCACCCTTCAACTCCTTGAGTATTCGCATGGCACTGGAGAAGTTACATGAGTCCAACCTCAGAAAATCTTCAGAAGTTTTTTTTTCCTCCTCATCCTTTGTCATCCTTTGTCATCCTTTGTCATCCTTTGTCATTTTTTCGCCTTTCTCCATGCGGATGCCATTTCACAGCACTCTTGGACTGGAATAGATAGGATCCCCCGAGATTTTCATGGCATTTGTTTTAAAAAATAGATTATCGTCGGGATTATTTGGTATCTTGTTGGTATGTGCCGTATGTGCCATGTCTTGTAAGGCTGTCCGAGTTGGAGAGGCGATGGATCTCTTGGTGGGACTCATCCCCCGAGGGCCAAGCCTGGCTCCGAGAGCGCGATGCATGCGATGCCCAAAGCTCCAACGCCGCGCCCGTGAAGCGACGAAAATTCAACGCCGTTTCGAAAGTGCCCCAACAAACAGACACAACATGGGTATGGGTCAATACCTATAGATACATTTTTAGTGGGATGAACATCCATTTACCAGCTATTTTGGGGTTCACTAGGTACCAGGGTTTTGACCCATCCCCACATGATACACAAACATGATAAGACATGATAAGACACAACATGATAAACATGCACAACACGTGAAGAGCACACAGCGTTGATATGCGTTAATCAACATGGTGATTCAAGGTGTGTTTCAACTTGGCCAAGTCCTTGCCAAAATACAGTCTTCCTCAAAGTTGAGTTGCACTGCGCTTCCAGGATATCAAGACAGGATCCGTGGCCTTCCGGTCATAAGCTCAAACCACAATCATCCGCAAAAGTGCAAATCACGGTGATTGACCAAGGAACACCATCAGGGGCACTGGAGAACCCAGTAGAGCCAGTGAACCCGCAGAAAGGACCGGTATGCAGCTGCTGAGGGTCTGGACTTGGATCTCTTGGATTCACTTGGTAGTGAAAGCCAAGTTTCACTAGCCTTCATGTGTTCAACAATTCCTTGTTTTGGAATGGAGATGTTCAACATGTCTTCGTGTCCCAGAGTTTGAAAGGGAAAATTGTGCAAAGTTGCTGGAAGCCAGGACGGAGAGTCCCGTGGAGCGGCTGAAAGGCGGCGAAGCGATTCCCATGCATTATTTGCTGCATTTTGTCATTTATTACCGCGTAAATTTTAAAAATAGTGCAGAATAGTGGAACTATCTAAACTGAGCATGTCAGAGCACATGATGCATCGTTGATGGAAAAGCTGTGCAGTCGTCCAACTTCCGCAGCTAACTCGGGCTCAAGTCAGTGTCCAATCCGATCATGGAGGCGTTCTTCATCGTGCCGGCACCCCCACCTGACGGCAAGGCCAAGACTCCACGCAGTGCTCGTTACTTCCGCCGTCCTGCTCCCATCGCCTTTGATTGCGAGGATGAGATGACTCAGATGAACAAGTTCTGCTCTCAGAGCAAGACCGAACGCTGGCGGGAGTCAGGGCAGGTCCGTTGGCCACCTGTCAGTGCCGGGGCTCCGCCTGTGCCTCCAGGTGGTGGTGGACCTGAGATAGTTCCTGTCCGCCAGTACAACAAGAATCCGCAAAATTGGCAAGTTGAGTTGTGGACCAGGTCTCTTCGTAAACCTGGAGTCCTCTTGCAGCATCCCACTTTTGCAGCAGTCAGCATTGGTGCCAAGGAACTTCATGAGCAATGGGGGCATGTTATGCCACTGTCCAGGCGCCAGTGGCCTTTTAGTGGCTCCACGGTTCCTGGTCGTTCAGGGCCAGAAGCAGATGCCAAGAGTTGGATCGAACGGCCGGTTGCAACAGGAAAGTATGCCTTAGACCACATGGGAGGCACACGCTACAAATGGAACATGTCACCTCGTCCTTGCCTGGAGGATGTATGACAAAACGTAGGCATCCAAGGCAGAAAGCCGTGCTCAGCACCATCTCAGCAGCTTCTGATAGCAGTTTGAGCCCAACCCATTAGATCCATTAGATTTATATAGATCTAAAACCTGCAACTAATTCAATTTTCGACCATTCCTAGAGACAGTCGTTGAAATGGCTGATTGGCTGCCTCAAACGTGGCGGTCCTTGCCTGGCACTGAAGTCAAGGCCAAGCCTTGATCTGGTGGCCGCGTTAGATCCGGAGCAGAGATCCTGCCCAGGAAATGAGAAAAACAGCGTAGGCTGACAGAACAGAAGATGATAGAAGGTGGCACAGAAACCGACTTAGAAACAAACTTAGGAAGAGAGAGAGAGAGATATATATATATAATATAGTTTTTATACATTGCAAGAGATGATATGGCAAGGTGTTTGCAATTGTCAGGATGGACAAGTTCACCTTGCAAGGTGCCCCCAAAGAGATGCCTCGAAAAAGCATGGTCACCTTTGCGCACTGCACTCGGATGCCCTGGGGCCAGTGGGCAACACGGCGCGGATGGGCCCACACTCAGCAAATCAAGGTGTGATGACGAAGAATGAGGAAGCATAACCGACGAGGCTTCCCAATGCTTCTCAGTGCCAACAGAAGCTTGCAAATTTCAAATAGCTTCCAAAATAAACATGGCCCACGCAGCGGCTTGCAAACATTCAATGGGCTGCCATGTGAGTTTTGTGTCCATGAGGGTGGAAGTCCGAGTCGAACAACCCCAGGATGTCAACACTGTTCTCTTCCCAAGGAGTAGGGGACTGTTGCGGCTGCCCAAGTTTTAAAGCAGGTTGAGAACACGACCTTGGACACCACCACGCAGGCCCTTCAGCCGTCATTCAACTAGCTTGTGCATGGCCGAATTCTGGGTGATAGCTCATTGAAATATTGGGAAACATTGGAAACAGTGGGAATCTTGAAAACTCCATTAATTGCACATTTTACAAGTTACAAGTTGGAGTTGCCATGGTGTTGCATTTTGTCATTTGCGTAGTCAGGTGCTCTCAATCTTTTGGAACCCTGATATATCCCTGCCAACTGTGTGTATGTGTGGCACAATCAGGGCCAAAGTCGTTGAGCTACTATGAACATTAGGTGAACGATGACACAAATACTGTAAGTCTGTGGCTATGGGCCCACAATGCTTGTACATCTGACATGTGTATTGAGACAAACAATGATAGAGAGCTCAAACGTTGCCAAACTTTCAACATTCAAAACTTTTTCAGTGAACTCAGTGAAATGCTTGGGACCACCACCGCAATGCAACCCCACTTGCTGCATAGCAGCTCTGGTCTCATGTTGCCCCATGGGAGATGAGTTTTTTATCGACATCGTCTTCATCGCAGGGGGACAGACTCAGCTACTGGTGCAGGATTCAGATCATGTGAAGGATGTGAAGATCCGCTTGAAAGAGCATTGCGAGAGCCCGAACACATCATTCAAACTCTTGTTCTGTGGTGCTGACCTTCCTGATGATCGGACGCTTTATTCCCTTGGTGTTGGACCGACTGAAAGGGGCTCGCCTTGTTTATATTGTGTGGGCATGGAAGATGTGGGCGAGGTCACCAGGACTGGAAAGAATATGCTGAGCGTCATCAATCTGTCTGGCGGTCATGTTGCACTACCGGCAGGAGAGTTTGACATGGTTGGAGATCTGAAAGAAACTCTGACAAGAAGCCTCACCTTACCTGTGGATCGAATGCGTTTGCTACACAGGGGCTCAGAACTGAAGAACGAAACCCCTTTGAGTAAGCTGACCGAAGGTTTGGGTGCAAGTTCCCCGGCTCCAATCTATGTCTTTGAGAGACCTGATCATTCACACAATGTGGGAGATCGTGCAGGCGGGTTGGTCAACGATACTGACTCATCGTCGTTTAAATCTCTGGATTTTGCAGCTATTCCTTCTGGAGCTTTGATAGAGCGAAGGATTGACGGCCACTGGTTTCCTGCGAAGGTATTCAGGATGCATTCTGGTGAGGTTCAGAGGGTTGATATCAAATACCTTGACGATGGCAACATTGAACTCGGCGTGGACTGGTCTGAATGTCGATGGTTACATGGGGGTTAGAGTTGGTAAGAATCCATGGACCTTCAGCCCCACACCTTCCAGCAGGTCGCAAACAGCCTCTGCGCCTAGAGACGGAAGGAGAAATAGCATTGCCCCCTGATGCTGGAAGTCAGGCATTGCATTACTGAGTACTGGATTAGAAGTGATCGAGTTCTACTTTCATTACCTTTCATTGCGACATGAAGAAGAGTGATTTTTGAGATTAGAAGAGTGCGACATGGAGAAAGATAACACCGACGTACGCTGACCGACATAGTTGTCCCGGAGCATGTAACTTTACAGTTGAGTTTCTCATGCGAAATGGTCCCCTGCCGATGGCGGGATCAAATTTTTCTTATCAAAATGCGTATTCATACCCAAGAACCACACACACATAATCATAAATATAATATTATTGTTTGACAGCTTTTTTCCTTTTTCCTCACTCCTTTGTGAGCCATTTGAACCACCAAGATATTCTGTGATTTTCTGTGCACGACGTCTAGGAAACCCTCGTGTTTTCTGTGGTGAGGGGATGCTCAGAACTCTGCAGGCGAACGGAAAGGTCTCTCCAGCGATACAGCACCGAAGCTTGGCAAATTTCTAGACACACACACACACATGAACGTTAGTAAAGCAATAGTAAAGCATCCCCAACTTAGCTACCATCAAAGTATGGGTGGTTCATTATTGCTTTATCAAATTATACACAGTACACACGCACACATTATTCATACCGTATAATATATAATTATAAAATTGTATATATATATAATTATATATAAATATGGTAAAATTTATCTGTACGTATGAGATATGGTCATTATATTCGGCACCGAGGTGACCGAGCTGCATCAAGCATCACCCCTTTTGAAAGATGGTACAGGATGTCACAAAGTTAGGCTGCGTGAGGTGGGAAAGGTGGACCGACAGAACCAATTCAATGACAATGACGTTGACGTTTATATAATCATTTATGTCATCTATCAAAATCGTTGAAGATTTTCAATATTGTTGGTTTATCATGGTTTATCACATTTGGCTTTCCATTTTTTTCGGACTTCCTGCTTGTCCATGCTGCATGGCTCTTCCCTCTGTGATCGTTTGGCAAATCTGAGTCCAGAAGCTTCGAGTTCGTTCGGTCCGGAGGGGCTCACCGGGCTTCCTCGGCATCGCAGGATGACCTCTGTGAATAGCACCGCGGTTGTGAGACTCACAGAAGAAAAAGCGAGAAGCTGATGGATGTGAATTCTTGTCTCTAATGGATTTGAATCGCTTGATGAAAGTTCACCAAAAACATCCAAAACCACTAACACCGATGATGTGCAACCATCTTTGAATTATATAAGGGGCACGGAGGATCTTTGCGCTAGGTGCCATGACCAAAATATATTACAGTACAAGATGCAGTCGGAGGGATTCGCAGCATACTTGGCAGACTTGGCTCAAGGCATATGGATTGCATAGCGGCTTGCAAAGCATCAAGCCAATGGAGGTTGACCATTTTCAGAGCGATGCCAACGAAAGCCACTTCAATGAAGCTGACGATTTTGGACGGCTCTATGCGTTTCTGCTGTTTACAGCAGCTTTGTGGATCTCTGGCAAGCTTTTTGCACGCTTGGGCATGCCAGCTTTAGTCGGTGAGATTCTTGTAGGTATCCTTGCTGGACCTCACGCTAAAAACCTGGTGCCTGAGACTGATGCTCTGATCTTGCAAGGCGAGTTTGCCCTGGTTGCTTGCCCAGCATAAAACAGAGAGTCATGAGTCATCATGAGTCATCATGAGTCATCATGAGTCATCATGAGTCATCATGAGTCATCATGAGTCATCATGAGTCATTAGTGATGTCCCATCGCAACTGCTGTACATGCCCAGACTACCTATTCAGAGGTGGATGTTGACTTGATGGCCATGCATTTCCGAAGGAGTTCTTATGTTGCCAATTGCAGACAATCAACATCAATCAACGCTGAAAGAGTCCTGATGGAAGTAGGGGGATGTGGTAAACGTCCCAGTCCGGCTATCCCATGGTGGTGGATGTCTAGTGCAGATTCCTTCCATGGCAAAGTGGTGAGGTTCTACTCATGATTGAAGCTGGCCTACACGTTGACATGGATTCTCAGCTTCACAGGTGATTGCCAGAAAGTTTTCGTTGAGCTGTGTAGATAACAATCCGCACATACATTTGCGTTTGCTTGGCCTGAGGAAATGATAAAGATTGTCGGCCTTCGTGCTCTCGCAGTAGGAGTGATTGGCTCCTTCCTGCCCATGGGCCTAGGCTCCTCTTGGCTCGTGTTGGTGAAGTCACTACTCTTGTAGCAGTTTTCGGTCACTGAAGATGTGTCGAACAGCAAGTGATACTGTTCGATCGGTTCAGCTGTTTCAGGCATGGCCGTGGCCTGGGGCTGAATTTCTTGAAGTTTGTCTAACCTATCGTAGCATTCGTAGCATGACATCAAGATACTTCAAGATACTTCAAGACTATGGGCTCAGCTCGATGATTGAGGCGACTCTAATTCTGAGACTGGACGCCATGGAATCTTTTGCAATCGGCGCTTCTTTTGCCACCATGCTCCTCAGCCCAAGTCTTGCAGCAAATGGTGTGCACTCCCTACATGGGTACCATTAGGTACCCCATATGCTGGATATGCTGGATATGCCGCATATGCCTTAGTCATCCTTAGTCAACGCCTCAGGTCAACGGGAATTGCCTTGAACGTGATGAAAGCAGGAGGGGTGTTGAACCAACCAAGTGGACAACTGCTTTTGGCGGCAGCCACGGTAAATGCTCCTTGGCACTATACGGGTTTGCGTGACAGCTGTGATCAGTTGAATAACTGCAACTCCGTCAAACATGCCCTACATATAGCGACTGAGGAACTAATCAATATCTCGCTGATCACCGAAATAGATGCAGTGGTGGCGAATGGGCCATGGCATACTTTTGCACCTTGGCATTCACTTTTTCAAAATCTCTCACATGGAGTGCCTGCTAGATACATCTACTGCAATTCTCACTCAGGTTGTTCCAATAGTGATGCTTGGCTGACAATGGCTGCATGTACGATAAGTTCGCACTCCCCACTGGTACCGTATGGTCGCGTATGGTACCTCGCCAAGGATCATGCTATTCTTGGTTGTGTTCATGAGCTTTCTGGCAGTCAAAGTCGTCCCTTGCTTTTTGGACCAGGCCAGAGTGGGATGGGAAGGTGGCTCAGGTGACACAATGTGACACAGCATGCATGTGATGCATGTACAGCGCACACGTGCTCAGACACGCACACACACACATAATTATGCATCATAATGCGTAGTCGATAGGTCAAGTAGAGCCAGCCACAGTTTCTGATCTTATCTAGATGCTGGCACTGCAGGTCCTGCCGCGCGTTGACCCCAAAAACCAAGAGAATGTCGTGCTTGGACTGCTACTTGTGCCTGCCTCAACACAGAATGGAGAGAACGAAACATCATGTCATGGACGTGACATAATTATAGTTATAGCATGTGATAACAATATTACACCTGGTGTGTAGGTGACATGATGTGATATGATTCACGATGCTACCCAGAGATCAAGCACTAGGACAGACAGCGCCTTCGCTCCCAGGCGACGACTGTGGTTTACATGCCAGCGCGCCTGGGCTTGTTTAGCGCAGTGAGGTCGGACGAGCTGAATTAAGGCAATTAAGATCAATTAAGGTTTAACATTTTGCAATGCCAATGACGATGCCAGTGATGCCAGTGATGCCAATGATGCCAATGATGCCAATGATGCCAATGATGCCAATGATGCCAATGATGCCAATGATGCCAATGATGCCAATGACAATACAAAGCAGAACGGAGCCAAGGTGTAAACTAACAGGCTCTTCCGCGTTGCTGGGGGCATTCCTTGCCGGATTTTGTTTTTGCACAGTCGCTTGCCGCGCATTGAGCTCGAGTTGTTTGCGTTGCGCTGTCCAACTTTGAACAACTACGGCAGTTTTGCTCAATTTTCAACCACGCAGTTTTGTCTCTTTTTGAACTAAGGATGAGCATGTCCACCACACCTGGAAACGCCAGGTAAAGAGGGTGGCTACCTTCTTGATGCGTTACTTTTTTGCGTGTAGCATTGGCTTCACCGTGCCTGTGGAAGACTTCCGAAACATTGAAGTCTGGAGACGTGCGTCTATCCTGCTTGTGTGCCCGGGCGGCACCCCAAGTATCTAGTGATGTTGCCACGCGCCCAAGTGCCAGCATGTGCCGGCAGTATGTCAGTGCATGTGTTCTCAATATTCAATCATATGGGTAGGTTTGGTTGGCACAGAGATCATTAGGAAGCATGCCCGGTTTTCCGTGATGTCCTGTGATTTTAGCTGATATTCAGGGGAATTTGAACTGTGTGCTCCACTGCGCAGGTGCATAGTTGGGAAGATATGCATGGGTTTATTTGCTATGCCCTTGACGCTGAATGAGTTCTTAAGCTTGGGTTTTGCTTGGGGCAGCTGGGGCGAGTTCTCCTTCATCCTAGCCGTACGTGCGTTGAGGGGCAATCTCTTAAGCGGAAGCTTGGTCGAAACATGCAAAGTATCAAGGGTTTCTGAATATCACAGTTGTCACAGTTGTCATTTTCCTGGTCTTTGGCTTTCACGCTGTTCTTGTAGTTTGCTGCGACGTGTCGGACCTTTCATCTTTGCTTGCTGGTGTACCTGTGACTGGACCTGAGTTTGGAACACCCGAGCCGGTGGCTTAAGGCTTAAGCAAGTAACGTAGATGAACAAAAATAACATGCACGGAGGAGTTGAAGGCCGAAGGGACAAAAGAAATCATGCGCCACGCTAGTGACCCTTCAGCCGGGAGGGTGCCCGAAACATCCCTAAACAATCCTAAACATTTGATACTCGCGTAACATGATGTAACATGTACATAACTTGCAACATCACTCTTGGGACTTGCCTTTGCGGTGTGTTTTCGTTCATTGAACTAGCTTGCAGCTTGAGCATCCCAATCCAGTCCAGCCTGAGGGGAGAACTACAGCGCCCTTGTTCTAGCTGCCGCTTGCAAGCAGCAACTTCACTTCGCTTGGTAGACAGGGCTTTGCGGCTTTAATAGCCAAGAGAATCAGACCAACTAGTGATTGCACTGAACCACAGAACTGCACAACTGGAATATGATATGAATCAGCAAAATTGGGCTGTTCGGAGTTTGCAGCCAAGGTCCTGATTTCAATTCTGATTTGTCCAACTGCTTTGCGCTTCGTTCTGTCGCGAAGCGAAAAAGAAGCGAAGAGGTGCATTCAAGAAGCAAAGCCCTTTGGTTTGCAAAGAACGCAAGCCGCAAGAAACGGGAGGTTTCGAGACTTCATGCGCAGGGTGACATTTTTTCCACTTTCTTTTGTTTGCTTTGCTACTGGTACCAAGTGGAAAAGGGGAAGTGTCTACCCTCAAGAATCCAGTTTTCTGCGAGGAAAGACACTGCCTGGGATGAAACGGGAGTTGCTCACCCAGTGCGGCACTCAGCTTGACACATTTCGACACTACCGACGCTATGTTTTTATCGCGTAGACTATGGGCTTCTGTTCTTATCAGGTCTACTACTGTATACAGACCCGCTCGCATGCCCTGTGGGGCCAGCAGGGTGCCTTGCTGAATATGCTGGTGGAGGCTTTGAAGATGGTAAGCATCGCAAGATGTGACAAAGAGACTAAAGAGACGGATGAATTTGCCATTTGTGGTATGGTCTATGTATGGTCTGAATGGGCAGGTGGGATGCAAAATCGTTGACTTCCGCTCTTTCCACCCCTTCTCCGATGTTGGGACACAGCATGTCATCAATGAGCTCTATTTGAAGGATACGCAGCTGCAGCTCGCAACTTGCCAGAGACTTTGGGACTGAAGTTGCAGTGGGATGCCAGACACTTGTCAGATGTCCGTTACTTAATGCTCAACAAACCAAGGAAATAGATGAACAATGATAAACACATTTTCATGTACTGTAGCAGATTCTTGACTATATTGGATTACGACAACTTTTCTTTTTCATGGCTAGAATGCTGGTAGCTTGGATGTATCTTGGATGTTTTAGGTACTGGCAGAGCAACTGGAACCTGCAGACCAGGAGCGGCTGAACCTTCGAGCCTTAGCAGATCTTAGCAGTATGAGCAAGTGGTAGAGCAAGTGGTAGAGCAAGTGGTAGAGCTATGGCTATGGGATCATCCGGTCGGAATGCATTGGCATCTGACTGATAGCGGATCCCAATCCCATGAAGAGCATTGTCGAGTGAAGAATCAGTATGGTGAATTCCACTTCAACATTTAACCTATTTTAACCTGGGTGAAAGATGGTGAAAGAATGTACTAGAAAGGAATCACTTGAATGACAGCATTTTGCGCAAAGTTTGGAACAAGGCAGACCAGTTCGCCAGCAAAAACCCGACAGTAGCACATAGATGCAAAGACACAATCTTTTCAAATCTCTTTGTGGCAAACATCGTCCAAGATTCGCCACGAACTTGTTTGAACCCTCTACGGTATAATCCATATATAATTATATAATCCATTATTATCCCCGATGATCCCCTATTTGTTTGGAAACTTATCTCATGGCCGCCTGGGGCAGCCGGGTCATCTGAGGTACTAAGGAGATTCTGCGTGCAGTTCTTGCCGCCTTGCGTTCAGCTGATCCTTGCACCAGGTTTTGGAGTTAGACTTTCCTTGATTTTCCTGTGGATGCGAGCCCTAAGAAAGGACAAGATCTTTCTGATGTTTCTGTTGCCGTTGCCTGCAGCACAGTTCACACCTTTTGGCGCTGAATAATTGGAACAGCAGATTTTGTACTTGAGGAAGTCAAGATCTTCAGTTACTTGACTGCACCAAAGTGCACCCCACTTTGGGATATTTTTGAGAATGCCATCGTACATCCAATTGATCTTCAGTCACGAGATGTCGAGAGTTCGTGATATCCCAAGCATTGGATCATTTGGCATCCAGCGGATACCAGCGGATACCAGCGGATAGCAGCGGATAGCAGCGGTGCAGGATGGCAACCGGGTGAAGGCACCTCAGAGCTCATTGAGGAAGTCCACCATGGGGCGAGTTCGTACGATGTGCCCGTGGGGAGCTTCAGCCACTCGACATGTGACTATCGTTGAGCATTGGTGAGCGTCGTTGAGTCTATGGAAAATGGGGCCTAAAGGGGGGGACTTGGGATGGCATGGGAAGAGATGGAAGAGGAATGAACAGGCCTTTCACGGCCTTTCCTAAGCCCCAAACATCCCCTGACGCTTCTGTTTTAGCATTGTTGTGTACCACCAGTGTGTCACATCAGGACGATCAGAGAGTCCCTACGACCAGATCGCAGCACAACAAGCACACGTAGAAATACAACAAGCTATGACCAGGTGCACAGCTTGTGTTGCTATTGTCGTTCTGTTTTGTTTTTTGCTTGAGCAGCCCAAGAAATGAGGGTTGTTTTGATTGAAGTGGTGGAGGTTATGTTCTCGTTTAGGATCTTTGGGGATTTCTTAGTGGATCAGTAAGTAAAATACTAAGCGAAGACTCAGTTTGTGGAGGATTTCTACTCTGGTTTGCTTCCCGTGGTCAGGCATGGGCAAGGTGACATGCGTGCAGTGCTGGATGAGTACTGCCACCCAGGCCTGTGCAAGTCACAACTGAAGAATTTTGAAGGTGTTGACAGTTGACGTGACTTGACATGTGTCCATTACTGATGACTGTGACATGCTGGAGCTTCGAGGTACTCCCAAAGCACATCATGAGTTGGATGGTTGGGTCCACACAGATGCTCACGACGCTTTCCACCTGATGCACCTGGGATGTCTATATAGAAGGTTTTGCTATTTACTTTGCCAATGAGTTCTAAGAAAAAGTCAGAAAGAAAATCATCAAAACTGTATGGATTTACTTCTTTTACTTTTCTATATTTTTGAGACTAAACTCACCAAACTGCAACAACTTGGAATAGTTCTGGCGCATTCTTCCAGCCTGTGCCGCTGGCCTCTCAGCGCTCAGGAATGTAAAGCCACACTCTCGGAGCATGGCAAGCTCTGAAGACTTCGGTGAAAGTGTTCGGGCTGAGATGTGCTGTGTGGATTGTATCCGTGTATGATATGTTCATGATATATTGTATGATATCTTTATGTGTTTGATTGTATTATATATATAATGATGCAATTTGCATATGCATATGTCTTATGTATACATACATACCATACCATACCATACCATACCATACCATACCATACCATACCATACCATACCATAACATACATACATACATACATATGTATATATATATATATAAATTATACTGCATAGTCTATTAGTGCAAACATTTGCACACAATGTGTCGGAGCTTCTGCGCAACATATGAGGATGCTCGTGAACAAATCCTTAGGTTCCGTCGAGGAAAGCACCGCATCTGAGAGGGTCTGAGAGATCCTGATGGTCACTATGCTTTCCGCCGCATCAATCCATTTCAATCCAATACCCTGCAGATCCGCTCAGAATATGTACAGTTGAGATCAGTTGAGATCAGTTGAGCCTTGCAGATCTTGCAGTGGCCCTGCCTATTCATCTCCGCCAAGCTCTTTCCGGCAATGCGGAACAGGTACAGAGCCGCGACTGGCTAGCAATTCGCGCTGCATATGCACAATATATGCACAATATTTCCCATAAGTCATAAGTCTATACATTGAAGGAGCTAAGGAGTTGATGGATTCCCCTGAGACAGGAGGAATGGAATCAGCTCCGGCTCCGGATCGGCATGCTGGAATCCCAAGGTGGAATCCTGTTTGCCATATGCACGGACATCAGCATGCCAATAACACAAACGGCACGTATTCCATCAGAAAGTAGGGTATGCAAGGGCTCAACTCTGCATGCTTGGCAAACACTTGTAGAAAGCTTGCTCGTGCAAACTGCCCAGTTGTTCGCACATAGAATGCTGCACCCCTTGCATTGACGCCACACCTCAAATTGAAGATGTCACATCGTTTCACATCGTTTCACACAATGACCGACTGGCCAAGCCGGGAGAGCTTTGGCTCCCGGTTGGCATTGCGACCTTGTTCGCCTTTGCTGTCTGATGCTGGCACCTTGCAGCGAGCCCGTTCTCATGGAGGCTTTGTCAGACCCAAATTTTCCAAAACCTCCGACTTTGGCTTTCCTTCTGCAGCCTCCGCAAGTGTGATGTTGAGAGAAAAAACTCCGACTGCAGGGGTTCTGTCCGAGAACACTCGTGCTGAATACAGGGCCGCTGAGCTTGAACGTGTTCTAAAAGAAGACTTTGCCTTCCAGAATAAAGCGCATAATCTGAAAACTGGCTTTCCAGAAATGGACAGCTACAAAGATTCGCTTGAAAGTGGCCTGCGAGAGGAGCAATTCCGCCAGGACCATCGAAGAACCAGTTGTTCTTGTTTTTCACCTATAGCTTGTTTAGTAATTATTTACAGAAATGATCAGAAATGTATCTCATTGTATCCGTATACTAAGCTACGATGACTGTATCTTATTTACAACCATACTGGAACTGCAGGTTTTCCAAGGTTTGGCTGCTGGGAATGCCGTGGTTCTACAGGGTGCTGCTGGGTTCTGTGATCTTTGAATGCCCTGCTGCAACGAAGATGGACCCCTACGAAGCATGGATGGATTTGTAACTGCCCACACAACTAGGAGTTCACCCAATCTACAAGGGAATTGGGAAGTAGTAGGGATATGTAGGGATACATCATTCAGGTTGGCATGCAAAGCATTCATGTGATCCCTATAGGTTGGATCACAGGCATCATGATCTCCTTGGGATCATCCTGATTTATTCTGACCACTGAGTCACTGGATCATTCTCCCAACGCTTGCAGGACGTGGCCAACGTCACCACTCAACTTGAATACCTAACGAAACGCTCGCGGCTGGAGCATCTGTCCTTGGATCACCGAGAAACCGAACATAAAGCCAAAGAAGAACGACAACGCCTTGAAGAGCGGCGGCTCCGTCAGCGTCAAAAAGTGCCCCGAAATCCCCACCAGAAATTAGCGCAAAAGGTGGAAGATCGAAGGCGGTTGGGGTGGGAAAACTGGGCCAACCAGTCGAACCAGTCCATTCCAGTTCACCAAATTGAAGTGAACGGGGGTGGCAAGGTGGGCATAGTGGACGTCAGCGGCCTCAAGGCACGCAGTAAACTCTCGGGCAATGTCGATGCTTTGCTTCAGCAACGTCGGCGGGAAGACAAGACTCGCCCAGCTAGTGTCGCTTGACTCAACACTCGGCGCCCACATTGATCACATCGATAAGTTACATTATGTAATCTGATTAATCTGATTTGATCGATTTTGGTTTTGAAGCGCTCACCCCACTTCACAACGAGGGGAAGCGACTTCGAACACTGCAGTCTCAATGATTTACGCGTTTGTACTAAAGTGATCTAAAGTGTGTAGATGTGTGTAGCATGTTCCAACTTTCCACCGGAGGGGCTCGAAAGCGGCGCTTCATGTTTTCATGGAAAGGTTTTCACCACATTTCACCACCCCAGCTGTTTAGCATCAAATCTTTTGCGCCATGGGTCGGGGTCGTGGCCGCCGTGAAGCGCGTGGCGGCCGTCCTCACCTCCATCCGGAGGTGGCAGCGCCTGCAGATGAAGCCAAGCTCAAGTTAGAGAAGTCAGGGTCTTTGATGTCTTTGAACAAAATTGAAACTGAGAATCCAAGAAATCCAAGAGGCCATAAGATTTCGAATGATTTCGATTGGTTCAGCATCTTTAGATCTCTATGAAGACGTGCGTATATGTATGCCGCATGATATGAAGATACACGATTTGTCAAGCTTCATTTGCGGAGATGCAATGAGTGGACGGAGCTGTGGCCCAATGATGTACCAACTCCCATCGCTAATTCATCCCAATTAATGCAATTGTTTTCTTATGTTTTCTTTGGCATTTGCAATGGACGGCTGAAACCTATATCCTATTTCAATCTATTTTAATCTATTTTACGCGTGCACACAAGCACATAATAATAGAATTTAGTCCGGCAACCTGAGACTCAGGAATACTATGAACAGATTGAAGCTGAAAGATATCATCGAGTTCCAAAGGCTCCTAGAGTTCAGGCTGAGCTGACCCATGCTGCTATTGCCCTTGGGGGTCTTTTACCTCAAAAACTTGGCAGTATTGTCTTGGACTTGGGTGCGGGTGGTGGCCTTAGCACCCTGACCTACCAGGCTTTGGCGGCTCAAAGCCAGTCATGCAACAGGGACTTAGAGATCTTGGAGGGTCAGGAGAGTCAGACACATGGCCGAGAGCAAAGACAAGGGGAACCTTGCGGAATTCCATTTGTCCTGGCTTTCGACACCAGCGCACATATGCTGGCGACTGTGGCTCACATTGAGGAATCTTCGCTGGTTGGCATCCGCCTTGAAGCTGTGAAAGGGCCGAAAGGGTCCCAAGTGGGTCAATCCCCAATTGATCTTAGCGCTGGGCTACCTTGGGTTTCGAGAAGGGGTGACCGAATCCTAGCAGACATGTCCCAACCGCTCCCTCTTCGGAGCGGTGTGGTTGATGCTGCCCTGTCAGTGAGCGCTGTTCAGTGGCTGTTGCAACTTCGATCAGGTCCATCTGGCCAGCTTGCAGAAGATGTGGAACAAGTAAAACTTCAAAGACTCTTTGCATCTCTGAAGCGCGTGGCAGTCGACAACGCAAAATTGGCAATGCAATTCTACCCGCCCAAGGGTGATTTTGATTTCGGTGCCAGAGCTTTAAGGGACACAGCTCGCAAAGAACTTTGGACTGCAAACGTTGTGCTGGATTTCCCACACCATCCAGCTTCCACAGCTAAGAAATGGTTTCTTTTGGCGCGCCTTTCCCATGCTGTTTCCCAACCAGACCCCTGGTGTGCTTTGTGCTGGCCAGTTGTGGCTGCACAATGTGCCCTTCAAAGTTCTTGTGATGAGGTGCAGTATGGACGGGCTCAGCAGCAGCATGCAGAGGTCGCCTTGCGCTTGGCTCGTTGTGGCCGGCGCTTGCGGGCTGCTTCTGATGAACACGAGCTGAATGTGCAGGAGCGCCTCCGTCAACAGCTACACCCGCTACAAATCGAGCTGGCCAAACGCCTTGATGAGGCACTGGCAAAGATGATGGACCATGATTCTGACCATGAGGCTCCGGAATCCAAGCAACTTGTGCACGGAACAGGTGAGCCAGCCACAGAGGACCCTCATACTTGTAAACGTGCCCGAAGTGGTGTCAATGAAACCAAGACTGAGCTGCGAAGTGTTGTTGCCTCTTCTCTTCCGCAACTCATCAGTGTTTTGCACGCACCTCCAAGCGAAGAGTGGCTGCTACCAACGCCTCCTCTAGATTCCAGGGCAGTGGATGAGATTTGAGTTTAAGGTCGCAATCCAACGAGATCTTGAGGCCGGAGGTCTCTGATTATTCTGATCGCAAAGAGGTTGAACCATGTTGAAACCGTCCGAAAAAGCAGATCGGAGAGATTCGAAGAGAACCATTGGCACCCGCCACAGGTTTCGCAGGCTCCAGTGCGCTGAAGTAGAGCCACGTCGGACCAACATGAACCCAGCCATTAAGGTGTCCAAGCCAAACGGAGGATACAGAGATGTTGGGAAGGCTGAGCAAAGGAGTCTTGATTGCGAGCCTGGAATCCGAAGACCTGAAAGCCAATTGCTCTAAGCCAAGATGCTTTGACGGTTCTTCCCGTTCTGAACAAGATGTTTGGTTCATGTTTCACATTGCATCACTGCTAGTAACTGCTAGTAGGTCAACGCGGGTCTACAAAGCTGGCAAAATGTCAGCGAGTGACAGAAAGCAGTTGAATAGAGTTTAACGGATAAATATTACGTAGATTTAATTCTTGCGTTTGAGTGTTTCCTTGGATGTGATGACCAAGTTGGTGTTCAAATTGCAAAAAGCTGTCCAAAACCCTCCAAAACCCGCCAAAGCCAAGGTCGCTTGGCCAGCCTGACTGAGTACGTTTTTGCCTTTGAACACTTTGAATTCAATAGAAGGCATCCCGTTGAGATGCTGCGAAATCCCATGCAACTGACAGAGTGTATCCTCATTCTATCTCATTCTTATCATTCTTTGCTGTTGATCATGTTGCGACTCAACTAATGGCCGGAGCGACCTGGCCAGGGATTTCAAGAGCATGTTTCGCAGACGGGTTGCGCATCAGATTTTTACGCTGATTAGCTGGACTACAGCTGTAGCTACCGATCATCTAAACGGATGGATCTTCAATGATCTTCACGGGTTATTTGGGCCGCGGAAGACATTCTCCGATCTCCAGTGTTTTCTACGTTTTTTTTTGGGGGGGCCCATGTTAGACAACTCTTTGATGGACCTGCAATTGGTGCTGTGTGGCAGATGGCAGCACAAGACATGCGCATTCAGCATGTATCAAGGTATACATCTCTAGTTTTTGCAGCCGCCCTTGCAAATTGCCTGTTTGCGCTTCAAGCAGGGATTGGATTGTTCTTGTGGCACGTTTCACTGAGTTTCAGGATTGTGACCCTTGACAATGCCTGGCCTATCAGCCTGACATATGTCGAAAATCATACATGATTTTCGAATACTTCATTTATTTTAATTTTGAAGTTGCAGCATTGGTTTCAGTACTGTATGTGATATGGGCTCAAGCAAACGTCAGGATCGTTGCCTGATGTTTATTGGGCTAGCAGATTTCCCCCCAATCAGTACACTGAGCAAGAGCCTTAGCTGCAATAGCCTTGTGAGGACTCAGCCATTGTGCCGAAATGCTTTTCTGCCGTTTCCTTTTATCTGTTGAATGCAACTGGATTCGAATCTGCATCCAGCCTCCATGTATCGCCACATAGGGCTCAAAAGCTTGTTCTTGTAGCTTGGTGCCCTTGCTGGAGGGTCCCAAGAACTGATGCTGCTGAATTCAACGCTGCGTCTGGGTTATCTAGAGGGTGCCAAGGATGTGGACCCCAAGTTGCAATCCACCTTGAAGTTAGACCGACCCAGCACCGGCACAAGAAGACCCAGCAGCAGTACACAAGACAGAAGACCAAGCATACGAGTGGAAGAGAGAAGGCCAAGCACCAGCATTCCTCCAGGAAGCCAGAAAAGCCCAGGCCAAGGAAGCCGGAAGAATTCCAAGGATCGATCTCAGCGGTTGATTTCGCAAGATCCCGGAAGGGATCGGCCTCCAGGACCTCTCTCAAGGGAAGTGTCCAAGAACAAAGAGACTTGGCAATCGCTGGAGTGGACCTATCAGCCACAGAAGGAGGTGCAAAAAGAGGGGTCAGTGGTGTATACCGTGAGCACCCCTGCAACTGCTGGCCCTCGAGCGCATCAACCTCACTTAGTCCGCACCACTCGCATTGAACCTGCGGCATATTCCAAGAAGCGCCCTCCCATTCCGCCAAAAAAGGAGCAGAGAGAACAAATCACAGTGACTGAGAAGGATTTGTTGAGATGTGGCAGCGACCTCAAGAAGTTGAGAGAGTGCAATATCGTAGAGCAGAATGTTCCAGAGCGAACACTTCCCGCTCCGTTGCCCCCGCAGCCACCTTTGGACCTGTCCTTCAAGAGCAAGTTTGCACTGGATTGCCGAGAAGGTGCAGACATGCGAGATCCATGGAAAGATTTGAAGCACCCTGATGAAGATCGAGTTTTGACAGTGGAAGACCTTGTGCTGAACCAGGCTCTGCCTCCCACCAATGCCATGTTTTAAAGTTGAACTTATTTTCCAAAAAAGAACACAGGAAGGCTTCGGTTCGTTTAGGTTCGTTTCGGTTCGTGGAAACCTCAAATAGGGGCGGTTCGGTTCATCAGCAGGCCGGTTCGTTTCGGTTCGCGTGACATGGCGGTTCGGTTCGGTTCGGTTCGTGTGACATGGCGGTTCGGTTCGGTTCGGTTCGTGTTGTGTAGTGTTGCAGGACGAGAGGTCTTTGACAGAATGGGTGTGGATGAATAGCAAATAGTAATGTTATGTTGCAGCAGAGGGATTTGGTTTTTGAATGTTTGAAACTGGTGGTGGGGCCGAGTGTTTGCAGCATCTAAGTAAGCAGTGTCCAAAACCACGGTTTTTTGATGACTAAAGTGCTTATGCTGTTTCTTGGATTGGGGATAATGATTATCATCATCAACTATTAGAATTCGTACATCTAACCAGTGTACAGTGAAATTGACAGATCCATTGCCAACGGCATTTTCATTTTGCGAAAATCACTTTCAGCTGTCGAAATCCAGTCGTGGCCGGCAGAGGTTCAATCAGCAGCCACATGCCATTTTCATATGGCGAAAGTCGTTTTCAGGCATCGAAATTGAGGCAGTGCCTGCAAAACCCAAACATTAGCCAAACATCATTTTCATTGTGCGAAAATCAGTTTCGGAGTTGTTTTGGCAAAAAGTGGAAAAAAGTTGTAGTAGCAGTAGTAGAAGTAGTAGTAGTAGTAGTAGCAGGAGTAGTAGTAGTAGTAGTAGCAGGAGTAGTAGTAGTAGTAGTAGTAGTAGTTGTAGTAGCAGTAGCAGTAGCAGTAGCAGTAGCAGTAGCAGTAGCAGCAATATAAGTAGAATGAGTAATAATAGTCGTAAAGAAGTAATACGAGTTCTAGTAAGACTACGAGTAAGAAAAATAGTAGCCTCTCGTAAGCGGTTCCCCAGCAGGTATGGGTCCCGACCGGGCTTTGCCGGACAGGACCGGGCAGAGAGGCAAGTAATAGAGGTAGTAATATAATATACAACAGTAGGGGTGGTGATAGCAACAGTAATAGTAATAGTAGCAGCAGTAGTAGTCTAGCCGTACTAGGACGAATGCTATGAGATGTTTTCCTTAAATTGATTTTCACTGCGCGAAAATCATTTTCGGAGTTGTGTTGGCAAAAGGTGGAAAAAAGTGGAAAAAAGTTGTAGTAGTTGTAGTAGTTGTAGTAGTAGTAGTAGTAGTAGCAGTAGTAGCAGTAGCAGTAGCAGTAGCAGTAGCAGTAGCAGTAGCAGCAATAAAAGTAGAATGAGTAATAATAGTCGTAAAGAAGTAATACTAGTTCTAGTAAGACTACGAGCAAGAAAAATAGTAGCCTCTCGTAAGCGGTTCCCCAGCAGGTATGGGTCCCGACCGGGCTTTGCCGAACAGGAACGGGCAGAGAGGCTAGTAATAGAGGTAGCAATATAAGATACAACAGTATGGGTGGTGATAGCAACAGTAATAGTAATAGTCGCAGCAGTAGTAGTCTAGCCGTACGAGGACGAATAGTATTAGATGTTTTCCTTAACTTGATTTTCACTGCGCGAAAATCATTTTCGGAGTTGTTTTGGCAAAAAGTGGAAAAAAGTTGTAGTAGTTGTTGTAGTAGTAGTAGTAGTGGTAGTAGTGGTAGTAGTGGTAGTAGTAGTAGTAGGAGTAGTAGGAGTAGCAGCAGTAGCAGTAGCAGTAGCAGTAGCAGTAGCAGCAAGATAAGTAGAATTAGTAATAATAGTAGTAAAGAAGTAATACTAGTTCTAGTAAGACTACGAGGAAGAAAAATAGTAGCCTCTCGTAAGCGGTTCCCCAGCAGGTATGGGTCCCGACCGGGCTTTGCCGAACAGGAACGGGCAGAGAGGCTAGTAATAGAGGTAGTAATATAATATACAACAGTAGTGCTGGTGATAGCAACAGTAATAGTAATAGCAACAGTTCTTAGTAGCAGTAGTTAGTAGCAGTAGTAGCAGTAGTTTCAGTAGTTTCAGTAGTAGCAGTAGTAGCAGTAGTAGCAGTAGTAGCAGTAGTAGCAGCCAGCACTGATCATTTGCAATTCCTGCAGCGCTTTGGCAGATTATGTTGCGCAGGAATCCATTCATTACAGTTGATTCCTCTTTCCAACTTGATTTTCAATTCGCGAAAATCATTTTCGGAACCCCCGGAAGCTGACAAAATACTTTTTTTGAGAATGTGGAACCGGTTCGGTTCCATTCGGTTTGCGTAAGAATAATTGGCGATTCGGTTCGTGCCCATTCGGTTTGCGTAAGAATAATTGGCGGTTCGGTTCGTGCCGGTTCTTAGCCTGCCGGTTCCTGAACGGTTCGGTTCCCGGTTCACGGTTCGTTTCCTAAGCCATACTGAACAAAAACAGCACACCTTCGCATATTTTTACGTGCAATGCATGTAATATGTAATAGCTCTGAAAGGTCTACATCAAAGCGCTGCTTCCTCGAAAGATTGAATTTGATGAAGCGAACTCCCCGGAGAACGGCCGCGGCCGCAAAACAACTAAGCTCCGAAGGAGTTTGAGTGCATCCACAAGGGTCGCCCAGATGCATGTGGCCGGTGCTTGTTCTGCTTTCAATCCACCAAAGCCAATGGGACTGGCATGGACCGGTCATTATACTAGGCAGAATGCAATCAGTTGTAACGATCTCAATATCAAAGGATGGAGGACTTACCCGTCATCGCCACATCGGCTTTTCTATTCTATAGTTTTCCAAATGTGTCCTACATTTATATAGTTTTCTACAGTTCTTCGTTTCACTTGTCTCACTTGTCGAGGCGAGTTCTGCGGATGGACGGCAGACTTGGCCTGAAGAGGGGCAACTTGGCCGCACTTCGGCCGTTTGTCGCACTTTCACCGTTGCGCCACGGCCACAACAGCCACGGCTACCATAGCCACCATGGCCACCATGGCCACCATGGCCACCATGGCTACCATGACACCCTGGCGGCTGAGGGCAAGGAAGTGGTCCACCAAGCGCGCCAGCAGTCTGGGACGGGCTGATAGCTTTGATGATGAGATGCCCATCCTGAGGCTGGACTTGAGATATCTTGAGATAGCAAAATTAGCAAAGGCATGCAAAGGCTCACAAAGCACCACAAACCAGAACAATGACAATTTCTTTCATAATTACGTATACTTACACCATGTTACACCAAACATTTACCAGCAAAAGATGTACGATCCAGAACTGTCTGCAGGCTTGGGAGCATTCAACCCATCTCCACTGAAACGCCTCGATCTCACAGAGAAGATGATGCTCCGCTTGGATTTTGTCGTCTTAGTTCCATCATGTTCCATCAGTGACTGCCACGTATTGCCACCACCAACGGTTTGGAAACAGAGAAGTCGCTGATGTGTCACAATGGTAGATGATGGTAGATGGTTGGGGCAGTACCGTGCTTGGCTTCTGTTTGAGGAGACACCAGAAGCCAAGCGAGCAGCAAGGGCCTTTCTTCAAGGTGCTCACAAGAGGGGCGAGATGCGAGCAGCCGCTGGCCTAGAGATCCTGACTACAGCATTTGAACTTGCGTTATTGTGCAGGGATGTGTGGGGCAGCTTGGACACCTCTAGGATAGGAACGTGGAAATATCGTGGGGCAACCTCCTCAGGTTTGGATGGCACTGGACCGAAACACTGGCGACGCTTGGCACTGGCACGGTGTGACCAATCCATGACTACATGTTGCTCATGTTGGGCATCACTTGGCATCCACTTTTTGGCTTTGGAACCCATGACTTCGGGGTGCCCTTTGTGGATCATTTGGCTCATTTCGGCTCTAAATTGAGGCTGTGCAGCTCTACCAGCAGGATGCTGGCACTCGCTTAGAGGCCGCATTTCGCTCAGGGCGAAGCAGTGTGCCGTTGGCGGGTCTAAGCCCGGAGCTTGAGGGAGCCATCGCCACTTGGAGGAAACTACAGAAACATCATGCAACGGATGACAGGGATTGACAAGGATGACCCAGGATGACGTGCTATGACGCACTACTGCCGCCAAAGAGTTTTTGTTTGCTTCTTTCCAGGTTGCCAATAATTTCAGTCAGTGTGCCACAGAAAAATGTGTGAGAAATGCAGTCTGATACTTCTCTGAGACCTTTCTGTTGAGGTTACGTTTGAAAAAGACGACCGCACCGACAAGACCCTGGACGTGTCCGGAAAGGTTCGGCAGGTGGATGGCACTCAGGCAGAAGTCAGACGTTTCGAGGTCACGGCCTACAGTTTCAGCCTCAGTGCGACCAGAGAACAGATACATTTCGGATACATTTCAGATACATGTCATGATACATATAATCATTATAATTACTCAATGATTCGGGATTACAATATGAGCAAGTTTGTCTGATATGGAGCGACATTCGTGTCTGTATGAATGAAACCCACGGACCCGGTTTACCATGGTTTACCATTCCTAAGGTCCTGGTGTTCTTATGTGTTGCTCGTGTTCAAGTCATTTTTCAAGGTGTTGAATGAGTTGAAGAATTTGAGCAGCAGCAAAGGGGCGTAGTCGGCCTATGTCGGCCTAGCGGTATGGTGCTGAGGCTATGAGATGTCAGTCCAAGTGGTGGGTCCCAGTCAGGGAGAACGGTCTTGGCGCTTCGCCTGCAGGGGCGATCAAGCAGAAGACAGGCCTTGTCCAGGGCGTGACACCAAGGTATGACGGATTATCATCCACAGTATCTTGATCTGATGACACAGTATCTTATAGTATCTTTATCTTATAGTATCTTGATCTGATGATATCTGATGAGGGGTTTCAGATATGCAAACACATGCAAACACCCTTTTGGATCCAGGTTCTAATTTCAACAAAAGAATGGTGGAACTTGGGTCCACCACAATTGTCAGCCAGGCTATTTTGCAAGATTTGTATAGATTTGTAAGGAATCTTGGTGTTGGAGCATGTTATATTGTGTAGCACTGGGATGCACTGGGGGTTTTGGAGCCCTATCATGGACAGGCTGGGTTCCAGCACTGCATTTTGTAGTGACAGCATTGTCGACTCAGATCATAAGGTCGTCATATGAGGCTTCAGGATCCACCTTTAGAGATGATTAATTTTGTAGTGATTTCACTTTGCCTTGTGTCCTACCTCTTCAAAACCCGACACGACACCACTCTCAGAATGCACACCCCAATCCTTTCATATAGCAGATAGATAGATAGATTCAGATAGATAGATTCAGATAGATAGATTCAGATAGATTCAGATAGATAGATTCAGATAGATTCAGATTCAGATAGATTCAGATAGATAGATTCAGATAGATAGATTCAGATAGATTCAGATAGATAGATTCAGATAGATAGATTCAGATAGATAGATTCAGATAGATAGTTTCAGATAGATAGATTCAGATAGATTCAGATAGATAGATTCAGATAGATTCAGATAGATAGATTCAGATAGATAGATTCAGATAGATAGATTCAGATAGATTCAGATAGATAGATTCAGATAGATAGATTCAGATAGATAGATTCAGATAGATTCAGATAGATAGATTCAGATAGATTCAGATAGATAGATTCAGATAGATTCAGATAGATAGATTCAGATAGATAGATTCAGATAGATAGATTCAGATTAGATAGTTTCAGATAGATAGATTCAGATAGATTCAGATAGATAGATTCAGATAGATTCAGATAGATAGATTCAGATAGATCGATTCAGATAGATAGATTCAGATAGATAGATTCAGATAGATAGATTCAGATAGATAGATTCAGATAGATAGATTCAGATAGGTCGATTCAGATAGATCGATTCAGATAGATCGATTCAGATCGATTCAGATCGATTTAGATAGATAGATCGATAGATAGATAGATAGATCGATCGATAGATAGATATATAGATAGATAGATCGATAGATCGATAGATCAATAGATCGATAGATAGATAGATAGCTAGATAGCTAGATAGCTAGATAGATAGCTAGATAGCTAGATAGCTAGATAGATAGATAGCTCGATCGATAGATCGATAGATCCATAGATCGATAGATAGATAGCTAGATAGCTAGATAGCTAGATAGATAGATGGCTAGATAGATAGATAGATAGATACATAGATCGATAGATCGATAGATAGCTAGATAGCTAGATAGCTAGATAGCTAGATAGCTAGATAGCTAGATAGATAGCTAGATAGCTAGATAGCTAGATAGCTAGATAGCTAGATAGCTAGATAGCTAGATAGCTAGATAGCTAGATAGCTAGATAGATAGATAGATAGATAGCTAGATAGATAGATAGCTAGATAGCTAGATAGCTAGATAGCTAGATAGCTAGATAGCTAGATAGCTAGATAGCAAGATAGCAAGATAGCAAGATAGCTAGATAGCTAGGTAGCTAGGTAGCTAGATAGATAGATAGATAGCTAGATAGATAGATAGATAGCTCGATAGCTAGATAGCTAGATAGATAAATAGATAGCTAGATAGCTAGATAGCTAGATAGCTAGATAGCTAGATAGCTAGATAGCTAGATAGCTAGATAGCTAGATAGCTAGATAGCTAGATAGCTAGATAGATAGATAGATAGATAGCTTGATAGCTAGCTAGATAGATAGCTAGATAGCTAGCTAGCTAGATAGCTAGGTAGCTAGATAGCTAGATAGCTAGATAGCTAGATAGCTAGATAGCTAGATAGCTAGATAGCTTGATAGCTAGATAGATAGATAGATAGATCGATAGATAGCTAGATAGCTAGATAGCTAGATAGCTAGATAGCTAGATAGCTAGATAGCTAGATAGCTAGATAGCTAGATAGATAGATAGATAGATAGATAGACAGATAGATAGCTTGATAGCTAGCTAGCTAGATAGCTAGCTAGCTAGATAGCTAGGTAGCTAGGTAGCTAGATAGCTAGATAGCTAGATAGCTAGATAGATAGATAGATAGATAGATCGATAGCTAGATAGATAGATAGCTAGATAGATAGATAGCTAGATAGATAGATAGCTAGATAGCTAGATAGCTAGATAGCTAGATAGCTAGATAGCTAGATAGATAGATAGATAGATAGACAGATAGATAGCTTGATAGCTAGCTAGCTAGATAGCTAGCTAGCTAGATAGCTAGGTAGCTAGGTAGCTAGATAGCTAGATAGCTAGATAGCTAGATAGATAGATAGATAGATAGATAGATAGCTAGATAGATAGATAGCTAGATAGCTAGATAGATAGATAGCTAGATACATTGCACGCGGGTTCGGGTACACGCGCGCACCCTGAAAAGCGTCAAAGCCGCAAAGCCGCAAAGCCGCCATGGAACGCTCAAGCCGCAAAGCCGCAAAGCCGCCATGGAACGCGCAAGCCGCAAAGCCGCAAAGCCGCAAAGCTGCCATGGAACGCGCAAGCCGCAAAGCCGCAAAGCCGCAAAGCCGCCAAGCCGCCAAGCCGCCAAGCCGCCGAGCCGCAAGCTCTGCGACTCATGCGCCGCCTCCTGCGTTCATCGCCGCTGCGTTGCCACCGCCATGGATCGCTGCAAGCCGCAAAGCCGCAAAGCCGCAAAGCCGCCGAGCCGCAAGCTCTGCGACTCATGCGCCGCCTCCTGCGTTCATCGCCGCTGCGTTGCCACCGCCATGGATTGCTGAAGCCGCAAAGCCGCAAAGCCGCAAAGCCGCAAAGCCGCAAGCTCTGAGACGCAGGCGCCGTCTCCTGTGTTCATCGCCGCTGTGTTGCCAGAGCGTCAAGAAGCGTCAAAGAGCCGCAAAGCGCCAAGGCGTCGAAGCACCACGAAGCGTCAAAGCGGCAAAGCTTCAAGAAGCGCCAAAGCGTCAAGAAGCGTCAAAGCTTCAAGAAGCGGCACAGCGCCGAAGCGTCAAAGAGCCGCCAACGAAAGGCTGGCTGTGCTTAGAAGGGGACGGGCTTGCTTACGGAAAGAGGTCTGCAACCAAAGGCTGGCTGTGTTTAGAAGGGGACGGGCTTGCATATTGCGAGACAATTCGTAGCGAATTCCGAAGAACAATGGCAGATGTTATGGCAACCCCCAAAAGATTGAAACGTAGCATTCGACTAAACGAATGGCAATTTTCCTTCCTATTTGGTTGAAAGATATTATCTACAATGTCCCCCCCGGTGTGATAGACAGTCCCGGCCTATGCGACACAGACCTTGCAAAAACAACTTTAAACAAGAACAAGAACAAGAACAAGAACAGCAACAACAAGAACAGCAACAACAACCACAACCACAACCACAGCCACAGCCACAACCACAACCACAACCACAACCACAACCAACAACAACAACAACAGCAACAGCAACAGCAACAGCAACAGCAACAACACCAACAACAACACCAACAACAACACCAACAACAACACCAACAGCAACAGCAACAGCAACAGCAACAGCAACAACAGCAACAGCAACAGCAACAACAAGAACAACAAGAAGAAGAAGAAGAAACAGAAGAAGGAGAAGAGGAAGAAAAAGAACAAGACAAAGAACAAGAACGAATAGAACAAGGAGAACAATGAGAGCAAGATGGAGAACAAGATGAAGAACAAGAACAAGAACTACAACAAGAACAAAAACAAGAAACAGAACAAGATCAAGAACAAGAAGAAGAACACAACCACAAGAACAAATCTAAGAACAAAAACCACAACACCAACAACAAGAAGTCCTTAACTTTCGATCATCCTTGATGCTACGCTGCAAGATCTTGCCCTTGATTTTCGAACAACTTTGATGCTACGCTGTCAGATCACAGCCTGATCTTGCAATCATCTGGGATGCTACCGTGTAAACATTTTGTCCTTAACTTGCAAATCTTAATTGCTACAAAGTAAGATCTTGTCCTTAGCCTTCGAGCATGTTGGATGCTACGCTCCAAGATTCTGTCTGTCTTGTCCCTAACCCTCAAACATGTTGGATGATACGCTGTAAGTTCTTGTCCTTAACGGACAAGAACCAGAACAAAAACAAAAACCACAACCACAAGAACAATATCAAGAGCAATAACCACAACATCAACAACAGTAACAACAACAACAACAACAAGAACAGAAACAAGAACACAAACAATAGCAATAACAGGAACAAAAGCAAAACCAAAAACAATAACAAGAACAAGAAGAAGAAGAACAACAACAACAACAGCAGCAACAACAACAACAATCAGAATAACAAGAATAAGAAGTGCTAATAAAAAAACAAGAGCACAAACAACAATAACAACTTTAATAACAATAACAAAAACGAAAACCAGAACAAGAGAAATAATAGCAAGTTCTTGGAAGATCTGGATGCTACCCAAGAAGATCTTGTACTGAACTTTCAATCATCTTCTATGATTTTGGTTGCTATGGAGTAAGACTTTATCCTTTACATTCAATCATCTTGAGTGTTACGGTGTAAGATCGTGCCCTTGACATTCAATCATCTTGGACGCTACGCTCGAAGCGCTTGTCCTTAACTTTGAACATCTTGGATGATATGCTCTAAAATCTTGTCCTTGAATTACAAACATCTTGGATGCTTCGCTGTAAGATCTTAGCCCTTAATTTTCAATCACCTTTGATGCTACGGTGTAAGATCGTGCCCTGAACTTTCAATCCTCTTGAATGCTACTGTGTAAGCCTTGTCCTTAACTTGCAAACATGTTGGATGATACGCTGTAAGGGGGTGTTGGATGGTACGCTGTAAGCTGTTGTCCTTAGCCTTCAAACATCTTGGATGCAAGCATGTAAGATCTTGTCTATAAATTACAAACATCATTGGTGCTTCGGCGTAAGATCTTGTGCTTTCAAACATCTTGGGCGCTACAGAATCAGATCTTGTCCTTAACTTTCGATCATCCTTGATGCTACGCTGTCAGATCGCAGCCTGATCTTGCAATCATCTGGGATGCTACCGTGTAAGATTTTGTCCTTGACTTGCAAACCTTTGTTGCTACGAAGCAAGATCTTGTCCTTAACCTTCAAACATGTCGGATGCTACGCTCCAAGATTCTGTTTGTCTTGTCCCTAACCCTCAAACATGTTGGATGATACTCTGTAGGTTCTTGTCCTTGACGAACAAGAACAAGAACCAGAACAAGAGAAAGAACCATAACCACAAGATTAGAAACAAGAACCACAACATCAGCAACAACAACAGCAGCAGCAACAACAAGAACAAAAATAACAATAACAAAACACAATAGTTACACAACAAGAGCAAGAACAGCGATAACAACATTAACAACAAGAACACGAACAAAAACGAGAACAAGAGAAATAATGACAAGTTCTTGAAAGATCTGGATGCTGCCCAAGAAGATCTTGTCCTGAACTCTCAAGCATCTTGCATGATTTTGGTTGCTATGGAGCAAGACTTTGTCCTTAACTTTCAATCATCTTGGGTGCTACGGTGTAAGATCGTGCCCTTGACATTCAATCATCTTGGACGCTACGCTCGAAGAGCTTGTCCTTAACTTTGAACATCTTGGAAGCTATGCCCTAAGACCTTGTTCTTGAATTACAAACATCTTGAATCTGGGATGCCACGCTGTAAGACCTTGCCCTTAATCTTCAAACACCTTTGATGCTACGGTGTCAGGTCTTGTCCTTAAGTTCTAAACATGCTTGATGCTACTTTGCAAGATCCTCTCCTTAACTTTCCAGCATCTTGGATGTTACGGTGCAAGATTCTGTCCTTAACTTTCAAACATGTTTGATGCTATGCTGAAAGGCCTTGTCCTTAACTTTCAATCATTATGGATTGTACGGTGTAAGATCTTGTCCTTAACTTTCAACCATCTTGGATAACACGCTGTAAGACCTGTCCTTAACTTTCAATCATCTTGGGTGCTACGCTGTCAGGTCTTGTCCCCAACCTTCAGACATGTTGGATGATACGCTGCAAGTTCTCGTCCTTGCCTTACAAAAACAAAAACCGCAACAGCAAAAACAAGATTAAGACTCTGGTCAAGATGGAGATTTTTCCTTCAACCAATCTATTGATGGTCGGCTTCAAAACTCCGCAGGGCCTGGTTTATAAGATTTGATAGAGGTATGACGATGGAATTCAAACCTCCACCAGTTAGAATATACCCTTTTCATCAATGATGACATGCCCAATAACCAAAGTTATAAGTTATAACACACTCAAAGATGTTATGACCCGCGAAACGGCGACTTACAAACCACGCTTGTTAATCTCCTACTAAGGTAAACCATCATTAAACAACCCACAAAAATTACTAAACAGGTAGTCGTAAGTTCGCTGGCTGCAGGTGAGCGCTGGCCCTCAAATACAAACAATCTGGCCCTTTGTTTTTTCTCCGAAACAGCTTTTATACCTATGTTTCAATCGGTGCTTGAAAAAAAAAGTAAAATCTACAAAATCACTTTTTTTCCAAGATGGCATGTCTCAAAAAGCCGCAAAGTGCCAAAGCGTCACAGAGCCGCGAAGTCTCAAAGCGCCAAGAAGCGCCAAAGCGTCAAAGAGCCGCAAAGCGCCAAAGGGCCAAGAGGCACCAAAGCATCAAGAGCGCCAAGCGCCAAAGCGCCAAAGCGCCAAAGCGTCAAAGAGCCGCAAAGCGCCAAAGGGCCAAGAGGCACCAAAGCATCAAGAGCGCCAAGCGCCAAAGCGCCAAAGCGCCAAAGAGCCAAAGCGCCAAAGCGCCAAGCGCCAAAGCGCCAAAGCGCCAAAGCATCCAAGCGTTCAGGCTTTGAGGCTGGCGTAGGACACGCGCCAAAGCGCCAAAGCATCCAAGCGTTCAGGCTTTGGGGCTTTGAGGCTTTGAGGCTTTGAGGCGTTGGAAAAGCGTCAAGAAGCGCCAAAGCGTGCAAGAGCCGCCAAGCGCCAAAGCGCCAAAGCGCCAAAGCGCCACAGCATCCAAGCGTTCAGGCTTTGAGGCTTTGAGGCTTTGAGGCGTCGGAAAAGCGCCAAGAAGCGCCAAAGCCTGAAAGAGCCGCCAAGCGCCAAAGCGCCAAAGCGCCAAAGCGCCAAAGCATCCAAGCGTTCAGGCTTTGAGGCTTTGAGGCTTTGAAGCGTGAGGCGCCAAAGAGGCTTTGCAGCTTTGAGGCTTTGAGGCTTTGAGGCGTGAGGCGCCAGAGAGGCTTTGGAGCTTTGAGGCTTTGAGGCGTGAGGCGCCAAAGAGGCTTTGCAGCTTTGAGGCTTTGAAGCTTTGAGGCGTGAAGCGCCAAAGAGGCTTTGCAGCTTTGAGGCTTCGCAAACCTTAGCGGGCCTGATCCCCCATACTCTGGCTAGATAGCTAGATAGCTAGATAGCTAGATAGCTAGATAGGTAGATAGATAGCTAGATAGCTAGTTAGATAGCTAGATAGCTAGTTAGAAAGATAGATAGCTAGCTAGATAGCTAGATAGCTAGATAGATAGCTAGATAGCTAGATAGCTAGATAGCTAGATAGCTAGATAGCTAGATAGCTAGATAGCTGGTTGGATAGATAGATAGATAGATAGATAGCTAGATAGCTAGATAGCTAGATAGCTAGATAGCTAGATAGCTAGCTAGCTAGCTAGCTAGCTAGATAGATAGATAGATAGATAGCTAGATATGTAGATATGATTTGCCACTTCTGGGTCCTGTGGACAGCCGCGAAAGGCTGGTGCCGCTACTTGGAACTGAGTTAGTCTCGCCGCCTTCCCCAACCTTGCCGCCTGTGTCTCGCACTCGCAGCTTGCTCATCAGAAGTTATATGGTGCTTTGAGCCCCATGAGTTCGCGTCTTCATTGATGTGAGATGACAACAGAACTCTTGCCGGGAAATCTTCGGTTTCAATCGCACCAGTGAGTGCATTTCCACAATGCCAAGGACCGACATATTTCATCAATGATGCCTGGCAAAAAAATATATGACGCATGAGGTTCACAAAGAAAGTGGTTTTCAACATTTTCAACCATCCTTGCATCCTGCTAGAACTGACATTTTTCCCTCTTGGGCACATTGAGAAGCTGACTTCAGCCAAGGAAGGTGCCCACTGGGGCTATGAGTAGCCGCTTTAAACCACTAGCAGTCACTGCATAATCTTTAACTACTTGTCTTTGTCTGGATGACTCCAGCATGTCCTATAGCCTTGCGTGTGCTGTCAGCATGTCAGCATGTCGCAATTGTCGATGTAACTTGTTTGCACTGCGCTGGTTTCACCAAGTCTCGTCCCAAAGGACTGCATGTGCTGTTATGCCTGCCTGTTCTCTTATTCCTATTTGTTCTATGAAATTATGCTGCACCAAAGTAAGACGGAAACAAGTAAACTCCCTTTCCGCATCAGCATTTCTCTCATGCTGGGTGACCGTACAAGATATTGGATGTGTTTGCAAACTGCTGTGGTTCGGAAGTAGGTCTGAGATCCTGAGATCTTGATGCTTCATGATGTTCCAAGCCCAGCACGGGCAGATTCGGTTCAGAGACAAGCCATGCAGGCGCTTCATTGCTGTTGGCAACGGGTAGGACAGTCACAGTTAATGCTCCGAGCCCTCAGCCTCGCATCAGAAAGTCGTTCTTATCTCCACCATCCACCTACTCAGGTCTCAGGTGCATTGTTAACAAGGTTTTGGGAAATTGATGGAAACCTGGAGATGCTTTTGCAGATGGGAGCTCGGCACCTTGATTTTTTTTACAGTACCTTGCTGCAAGCAGCAACCCCCTGCGATTGCAGGGCAGCATGACTTCTCCGATCATGTACAGTCCAAAGGAGAAAGGAAAAAAAACATCTTGCTTTTCCATGCCTTTGCAATGATGGGCATGTTTTCCTGGCATTGGACATGTTGAAGTCACCTCTCAAGTAGTACCATATAGTACCACAGTACGGAGAGCCTTCGAGTTGAGTGGAGCGTCTGTATTTTGAGGCGTTGCTCTGGCTGTGGCCTCAGGAACCTACAGAGACGGGGGTCACAGTTTGGCAGTGTGTGAACTGCGGGCTTTGTACGGTATATCTTTGCATGACTAGAAGACTACAAGATACTATATTATATACCGTACTTATGATTCACTATATGATGGCACACACACATATGTATGATATGATTGATATGATATAATATATATATATTTATAACTATTTGTATGCTAATTAGTTATCACTATAATATGACACTTATGACTTTATCATACGCTATCACACTTTACCTAACATCTGACTGACTTGAATTGGATCTTGCGGCCGAGAATGTGACGTGCAGCTCGGCTCAAAAAGCCCTGGGAGTCACCCCTTTCCCGTTCCATATTTTCGTTAGTGGCTGCTGCCACCTTCCGATGGTGGCGCAGAGGCATGAAAACTTATTGGCGGGCCCCTCAGTCGCCCTGCTATTGTAAGATATTATTAAGATATTGTTATAGGTGTTGGCTTTTTGCAGCTTGATTTCATGCTGCTGTCCAGGTGCTTGCAGCCTTTCTACTTTTGAGATATGTTCATTGTGTGCATGCTAATGTGGGATGCGAGGCCCGCCAGACATGGTGTGGGAGTGTTTTGGTCGTGTCATTCTACAGGTGTATCCCAGGTGGTGATGGTTGAGAGGCACCTCATAGCCAAGCAGCTAAGGGGAGTCGGAGCCATTCAGGCGATGACTTTGAGCGTTTCCATGCGATGGCTGCAGGACTCCCGGTCCTGTGCAATTCTTCAAGATGTCGACGATAGACAGGAGCCGATTTGCTTGTCGGGCAGAAGTGACGTTTGTCAGACAGAAGTGTAAGACATGCACCTGGTGAATATAAATTGTATTGAATTGTAAGGTATACATGCATGTGCTTTGGCAGAACACCTGAACAAGGCAATGGAGGAAGCACGCGGATTCGTGTATATAAACATGTCAGATATTGTCATATATATAATTAGTCTTCACGCGGTTGCATCACAGCCCATTGGGCATAATTCGCGCTTTAAAGTGCCGCATATGGTTTATTATGGTTTTACCTTTCCATTTGGCAACACACATGTACACACACACACATCAGCGTATTCATTGCAAAGTGTTCAAAATGCGCATGCATTGTGGTCCACCGGATAGATATGTATCACGTATCACAGACATGGATATGCGATCGACGTCTGCTGCTGCTGCTGCTGCTCCTCTCTCTCCCTCCCTCCCTCCCTCCCTCCCTCCTCCTCCCTCCCTCCCTCCTCCCTCCCTCCCTCCCTCCCTCCCTCCGTGTGACAGGGGCCCAACTCTCAATGCTGGTTGACGTTTTTTTTTTTGGGGATTCGCGAGGCAAGTGCCTTGCTCCAGACGGACGCCTCTCATCGAGTGGTCCGCATTGACTCGCAGGCACTGGGGCCTGTTGGATAGGGGAGCAATTTGGAGCATTTCCAAGCGGAAAACAAGGACAGCTCCGGATAGGAACGCCTGAAGGTGATGTTAAGCGAGAGAGGGTAGGACGATCTAGGAATGCTTCGTGGTTGTGCTAGTTCCATGAACACTTCTAAAGTGCTGCTGTTTGCGATTGTTCTCAATTGTGATTCACTTATGATGGTGCTTTGGTTGTCGCTTCTTCCGTTGTTCAATGTCTCGCTGATGCAGCTCGATTGGCGATGGTTGTGTATTGATGGCACATAGCATTCTAGGATCCGTAGTTGCTCTGACTCAAAAGCATGTCCAGGGAAGCTCTCGAGAAGAAGAGCCGTCCCCCCAAAGTCATGAGCCAAAGGTGTAGACCTTAGCCATTTCGCAGTGTATGAGTTTCAAGCACCCCGGCGACCTGAGGCACCATTTTTTTGGTATTTTGTGCAAACTAGCAATGGGTTGAAACAAAGGCAGCTGGGAAGGAACTGCTATGCGAATCACTAGCAGGGCTTCAAGCTAGATGGTATATGGTAGTATGATTTTGCCGGCGCATTGACAGCTCCATGATCTTCATGATTCTTGGTTGCAAGGCCAAGCCAGCAGCAAGTAAGGCTTGCATCAAAGTTGTGTATATTGATCAAGAGTCTGGAAGACAAATGAAGACAATGTTTATCATTGTTTTTCAGTTTCCCTGCTGAAACCAAGTGGGCTTTGGCGCAGGTTGGCATAAATCTTTCAGTCAAGTGGATGAAGAATCCTCTCCCAGTTAATGAGGCTGGTTTATGTGGAAAGTTCCATGACATCAGAGACATCACATAAATAACATGACGAAACTTGAGACCATGAACCTGGAGTGCACTCTGAAAGCCAGTGTGGGGGGGGGGAACTCGCCCAGTTCTTGTGTTTGATAGGCAATAGCAGCTATCCCACGTATTCAGGACGAGCAGTACAGCAGTGCACACACACACACACTTGATGATCAGCTTTCCAAGTCAGCCTTTGTTTTGTGATGGCTTTGTGATTGGCTTTGGATGGCTTTGGACCCATGAAGACCTGCAGGAGTACCTGGGCTTGTCGCGGCCAATTGAGCGAGTGGTGCTCCCAGACGATGTTCTGTAAGACCTAGTGGTGGTGCAATTCACTTCCCATATAATGTATTATACATATACATATATATATACATATACACACACACATATATATATATGCGCATTTATATTGCGAGATCTTGTGATATGTTGTGATGGCATCTTCGCATCATGAGGTTAAGACTTATGACTTGGCGCCTTCCAATCGCGCGATTGTGGAGGATATGCTTTGTTGCGTTCATGTCTGTGCGTGTCAAATATGTCACTTCGCAGTCCTCCTTTCAGGAGCTTGTCCGACAATCCAGCAGAACAGATGCGGGTTACTCAGTGAAAGAGCTGGTCATCGGCATCGGGAACAAGGACCTGCAACAAAGAGTTCGCATTGCTTGCACTGAAATGGAGCTAGTACGAGCTAGCTGCAGCTAGCTCAATAGAACAGAACTGAAATGTTGTAAGATTACATGTTCTCAGCTCATCTCAGCTCAACCTTTCTGCCATCGTTCATGTCCAACCAACAGGAGCTGCCATTCGTTGATATGGACTGGCTTCGGGGTATAGCAGATGACTTCAAAGGTTCAAACTGCAGGGCCTGTCGATGGGGTTGGTCCACCATGGTCCACCTACCACATGGTCGAATGCCACTAGCAAACCCAAAAACCCAGCCTTCCAGTGAGGGGTTGAGATGATTTGGATTGATTTGGGATATAGAGATGTATAGAGTGGCTCCCAACTCGTCCAGACCAACTGATCAGAGAAGAGACAGTGATGCTATGTTGCGCTAAGTTATTCTGTCTATTTTTTTTAAGAGTCGTGAAGGCTCGCCAACGGTATTCGCGAAGGTTTGACAGAAACCCATCATGCGCCGCGAAAGCTCTTCGCTGAATGACATACGAAGTTACAAGAGGTGAAGCAAAACTTATATTTCATATATATATATTATCTTCTTTCCTGCGTGTTATCCTGGAAAGCCTGGAAAGCTTCCAAAGAGAGATGTGGAAAAACTGTTGTGGCAAAAGTGCCACAGAAGCCCAGAATCTCAGAACTGCTCAGCTCAGGGTAAAAAGACCCAGTCACACCCAATCACCAATCCATCCCCATCCCATCCATCGGCCATTTCCATCGGCCAACGTGGGCTCCGTTGCTGCCAGGTGCTCTGCACATCGCCATCGGCAATGAGCCCGACCGTAGTGGAGTGCATGCAGCTACCACCTCAGAGTTGTGGGGGGCAACCTCTGTAGTCATATGACATCAGATAAGTCAGATGTCTTCAAAGCAATTCAAAGCATCTATTTTGTACTATTTTATCATATTTTATCATATTTTATCATATTTTATCTATCTGTCGCTCCATTTGTCAGAGAGAGAGAGAGAGTGACGTGCCAGACAGACATGTGTAGATATATGCGGATACCCGATAACCGCGGATACGCTTGCCCACTTTTGTATGCATATACATCCGTCATAATGTATGTACGCATGCAAAGTGGAAAGGGTGATGGCATTCTTTTTTTTGGCCCAATGGCCACTTTGAGGATCGAGTCCTTGATGTCCTCAAAGCCCTTAGAGCTGAGATCCCAGAAGCACAGGCCAGCTGAAACATACAATTGAGTCAACAATTATTCCATGATCCAACGGCTGGTGATGGGTCAAAATTATCAACTCCCCAAAATGGACATCTCGAGATGTAGAGTCCACACTAAAATGAAGCAAAGTGGCGGATCCATTGGTTGACTAACAGTTTGCTTCCAAATGCATCTGGGCGTTAGAAACCCAAACTGGCACACCACAATGCAAGTCAATGTCCACTGCCCCGGCACAGGTCACGGTGCCTTTTGCCTATTCCATTATGCACAGAAGTCACCCTGTGGAGAAATCAAAGCTCGAGAAGGAATTCATTGACGAGTTTCTTGGCTCTTTTGTAACACTGGGTCACTCATGGAACCATAGACGGATCAGACATGATCAGACTCAGAGAGCACCTTTGCTTGATGCTTGCGGCTGTCGTTTGCGAGGTACAAGAATGTCCTGCCGTTATTGGACTATTTCACCATCAATATCTATCCGTTTCTTAGTTCTGGCACCAAAGGGGTTGCCATGTCAAACCTGACTGGTCCTGAGATGAACTTTTTGAACGACCAGATCTCTGCATTGCGTAGCTTGAAAGCTATTTGTCACTGGGAGGGGTGTGGGATGTTGCTTCATGGCGTTCCGATGCCAAGCGTCATGCAGCAGCGTTGTGGGTGAAGATTGCGACACGAGGCATAGCTTTGGATCGGGACTTCCCCCGCAACAATCTGCCTTTGGCAATTGGATTCTTGGCAGGGTTATCGCGAGTCAGTGCTCGGAAGACAACTAACCGCAGTGTGAGACAAGACTAGGCCTAATACGATTGTCTATGACAGTCTATGATAGCTGAACCCTGGGTCCCTGTGTGAATAGCCGAGACATTTCAGTAACCGAGTCCCTGTAGAAAATTGTAGAAATATATTGAAGATGATTGAAGATTAGTGAAGATTTCTGAAGATATTGAAGGAGTTGCATTCAAAATAGCGGAATAGCGCTATCAGATGGCCCCAGGTGAGACGGGATGGCCATCCTGTGGTGCTGCGCGCGCCTTTCCATACTCCTTCGCCACCTTGCCCTATGCGGAACGCTTTGTCAAGAATGTGGCGAATTGGATTCCCGGCTGTGGTGTTGCCACGATGTTCCTAAGGGCATTAAGACAGAGAGATAGAGAGAGAGAGACCTTTTGCACACCGGATCGCCACGTTGGCATTTCTTTTCCTTCCTGTGCCTGTGACGTTTTTTCCCTGCAGGCTTTTGGTGCTTTCCCCAACACGGGGATATCACATTCTTTGAGATATGGTTTCCACGGTCAGTGAGTCATGTGGACACACCATGTATAAAAATGATTAAAACTGAAAACTATATAGATAGAGAATAGATGATAATGGCATATAATGAAATATAATGAATATTATATTGATGAATATAATTTATAGATACGTATGCAACACTGTGCCACACACACATATGTATATGTAGTATGCATACATGTATTACAACATTTGTAGATCATTACAGTACGGTTGTCTTCCAAATAATGGCTATTCAAATGTCGGGGTGCTGATGATTTGATGCCATTTCACGGTCAGCTAAAGGTCCTCACAGCACCAGTTTTTTGGGTGAACTCGTTCTTTTAAACCTAAACTCAGATGAGGTGATAAAAAAGTGTGTAAGATGAATAAATGAACGCAGATATCACATGAAGAGATACATAAATTTCAAACACACACACATGTATATATCTATATATCTATATACATATTATATATATACACATAAATACATTTTAACTACCTCTCTATCTCTCTATACATGTTACTATAGACATATGTCTATGACATGTCATGATATGTCATGATGTGCCTAACATGTGCATCTCGAACGACTGGTTCAGCTTGCTGATCCAGGATGGAGTCGAGTTTATCCGATGGCCGAATCATCTCCGGGCAGCTCTTCACTGCCTTCGACGAAGAAACAAAAGGCACAAGAGTCATGGCTGCCTTGGCGCTATTCGGCGCTTGTGTCCTTGTGAGCTGCTTCTTCCGTTGGAAGTGGGGAGGGGACCGGGTTGGATTCACTCAATCATATGAAACCGAAAAAAGTACAGTAAAACTTGCAGCAATCTAGCCGCAAAAAGTGACTTGGGGTGAACCCAAGGACCGAGCGAGCGGTATTATGGCATTCTGACGTCGAAGGGTGAGATCAAAAATGACCACTCTTGCGCCAGCAATGCGACTGAAACTTGGATTGTTTATATAGAGGAGCTGGCTCGACAACTTTGCATCAAGTAAGTAGTGAGACGACAGCGACGACGACGACGACGACGACGATGACGATGACGATGACGATGACGATGAGGATGATGATGATGATGATGATGACGACGATGATGTCAATGTCGATGATGTCGATGATGTCGATGTTTATGTTGACGTCGATGTCGAAGTTGATGTCAACGGTGTGAATATTGATTCGATGTTGATGCCGACGTTGATGCCGATGTTGATCTTGATCTTGATGTCGATGTTGATGCTGTTTGCCACAAACCCAATGCTATGCGTGCATCATTGTACTTCATGTTTGTTGGAGAAAGACTTATCATAGTTGTGGCAATCATTGAGCCCCTGATCATGCATTTGACTGGTGCTTGGCGACTGGCAATCCCCTGCACAACTGCAACTGCACAAACTGCACTTGAGGAACCTTCGCAAGCATGGTTGGAGGAACTATATCCAGATTGTGAGAGCAACTTACTTGGACAATAACTAGCTTCATGTCACCTGTTCAAGAAATGGTCTCTGGGGCATCAGCAAAAATCCGTTTGAAGTTTTTAATGAACTGTTTTTGAGGGGAGAGCAGTGTGTAACATGGCCATGATGTGCAAAAACTGCTGGGGTGACAGGTGACTTGGATTGGATGGTTAAGAATTTTGACAATCCATTCCTGGCAGAGAAATTTGTGACTTGGTTGCAGGGAAACACCGATGCAAACAGATAGAAGTCACTGGTATGAGCATATCCTAAATGGATCTAAATGGTTTGTGAGCACTTTGTTTATCAATCTGCCCTCACGCTCACACGCAAATTTGAGAAATTGTCAAACTATCCATGTTGCGAGCTCCTTGACTCCTTGATCTCTTGAACCGTTTTCAAATCCCTGTCGCTATTTGTGATCCCTCAGTGAAACATGTGCATCCATCAGCCTGTCAAAGAACTTTGCCATGTCTGAGGCGAATAGAGAACGGAACTTAGCATCGCTGCACTGATGTGGTGTGCGTTCGAAGCCATAGGTGGTGATGTTGGTGTGTTCAAATGAGGATTGCCCCTACGGTTCCCTCGCTCCTGAGGGCCTCCCCCATCTTGCAAAGACCCCATGTGGAAGAATGGTTTGCCAATGGCATCACGACAAATCACAACAAATCACAAGTTGTTTGAGGAAATGGATGGATCACTTTGCTCCTTCCAGCAGTATCTCTACGACCGCTGGGCATCATGCCCTCCAGTCTCCAGAGTGCCAGGGGACTTTCTCCCTGTGGAAGGGCGCCTTGGGCAAAAGCACACGTGGCGGCGGTGATGTCTTGCCATCAAGTGCGGTTGAAAATTGAAGATAGCAATTTCGACGGTCAGAGTTTCAGAAGTACCCAAGCTTCTCAACATTTGAATTGCCTTTGGGATATTTTGGAACCATCACATCTGTAAGGCACATAGTCTATGGAAAAAGGACAGCGCAAACAAAGTGCTGGAGCCAGCGCTTGGCGGACAAGTTGCTTAGCAATAAATCAGCTTGAGTTTTGTGTGGAACACGTTGAGGCGAAACGATATCAAAAAGTCTTAGATCATCGTAGACCTTCAAATCGGCTAAATTGGTTTACTCCACTTGCATGTTAAATAGATATAATATGATATACTTAGATAGCACATGATAACACTGAAGATACAAATTAAAGTATGAACAGGTCAAATCCAATGATTCACCATGGTGAAACGATGCATGAAACGCATCTTCAATTTTGGCATAGCAGGCGGTGAAGGGAGAGTGCAAGAGAGTGCAAGAGAGAGAGAGAGAGAGTTCTAGAGACCGAGAGAGTGCGACCTGGACTTGACAGCTTTCATGCCAGTGCTTCGCCTCTGCAGTGAAGCTCGCCTTCAGGTACTCAGATCGTGGTGCCGTCAGCAAGCCAAACATATCCCATTTGACGGACAAAAGGGCTCAGGCGCATTGCGCATTCTTCCTGGATGACCTCCCAACTGGTTGTGGGGCTCTTGATGCACTGCACTAAACGGATCTAAACGGCATGTACACAGGCGCCTTCAAGCAAGAGTGACTCGCAGTCCTCAGAAATTAGCCCACTACCAGACCGTTTCGTACCTTGGACGAAACGGGTACGAAACGGGTACGAAACGGGTACGAAACGGGATGAGGGGTCCATTCTTGTCGGTGGCCATTGCTTCAAGATGTCAGTGTGCACTTTTCATTTGCTTGCAGCTTGGTTGGAACATTGCGACTCCCGATTTCTGACGATCTTTTGACCCTAGGTCGGTGAGGGCATCGAGCCTCCAATGGTAACAAGACCTAGGACCCTCCAGGCCCGGGCCAGTCAGGTACCGCAAGATCAGAATGACCAGGTAGGTGATAGTAGGACCACACACACAGATAATCACACACAGATATATATATATATACATATGTACAGTATACGGATGAACGGTGTTTGCCATGGCTGATGGCTGCGCAAGGTTTACTGGATCAACTTGGAGGTTTCGAAAGATCGTCGCGAAGCTATGGAGAAGATGTTTTCATCTCTGAGCGCGTTCCTGAGGATGTGAAAGAACATGACATATCATGAATAAACAGCAACTTGAATTCGAATTTGCTGCAAGACCTGTTCGAATATGTTCAAACAGTGGCCACTGTTTCACCTAGGCAGCAAGCTGCCATCCAGCTTGAAGCTGCAAGTGGTTCGAGTACCTGCAGTCAGCGTCCAGGAGGTGAAGGACTTGACCACGACCACTGGCTCTCTGTGGCTCTCTGGGTGTGCCTATCCAGCGCATCCAAGGGGTTCCCAACAAATTCCCAAGGGATTCCCAAGGGATTCCCAAGCTCCTCAAGAGGTTTGATGGCCTCAACGGTTTTTTTCCCCAGGAGATGCAGAAGAAGAATGCCTTCTCAGTTGAGGCCAAGTTGATAGACGCGTGTCACGACGCGTGCCCAGAACACCATTCCAGGCAGGACAACTTCGGGTGTGGGGCACGGATGGGGCTGTAACAAGGATCTCTGGCGCACTGAAGAAGAGACGACATACCATGTGTCACATAGTGACATAGTGTCTTGATACTGAGTCTGTCGACATGAAACAACAAAAATAATCCAAGATCACCCAAGATCCATTATCCCGCTTGGATTCACTTGGATCTACCCAGGGGAGAGCTCCTCTACACGGAGATGGCATGCAGTCTATCCCACTTGCGTGCCATCGAGCAGGCTCTGGCAGGCCAGTTGCTTGAACCTCTTGCTGCGACCCTTGGAAACTCTTTCATATGCCAATGTCGATTCATATGGCTTAAATATCTTTTATGTTTTTTTTTGGCTTCATTTGGGGTGCCAGGAAATGCCGGTTTAGCCTTGATTATGGAGGACCCGTGCTTGCAGCTTCTACTGCATAGCATGGCATTCCCTTCAGCGCAAGCGCCAGGATGACATAGAGATCTATCCCGAATTTGGAGCAGACCTGGAGCGATTGCTCACAGATGCTCCCACAGGCTGAAGTCATTGAAGAATGATGTGCGTGTGCTGACCCTTTCCACTTCTTCCCGTGTGCTTGATTTTCTTTGTCTCAATGGACCAGCCACCGGATCGTATCTTCAGGATGGAGCATTCTGCAGATGTCGTCGGTGAGTACGAAGGCGCTCCGCTCACATGGTGCCGTGCTAATGCTGCTAATGTTGATTGACCTTCTCAATCAGTGGCATGCCAACTGCTGTTGCCAAAGGATGCGATAGACAGATAGACATATAAAATATAAACACCTAACTAACTAACTAACTAACAAACAAACTAACTAATTAACTAACTAACTAGATAAATTTAACGAAAATAAGTATCTTGATGTATAATAGGCAGGAACGGAACAAGGCCCGTAAGTTTGGACATGCGGATACTATGCATGCAAGCCAATGCAGACATATTGTTACTTGATCAACTTTGATCGAATTATATCAAATTATCATACTGTATTTGATGATATGCATCGATGCCAGAGGTGATAGAACATGCCTCTTGAAACCTCTTGATGTGTTCATTAGCTACTTGTGCCATCTTATACCATGTAGCATACATACATACATACATACATACATACATACATACATACATACATACATACATACATACATACATACATACATACATATAGATATAATCGTATATATATATATGCTATCTCCATTTGATCAGTGACACATGCAGGGCATCTTGCAGCTGGCGAGCTCCGGCTCCATGTTTCAACCGCGAGAGCGGCAATTCTACGGCACAGGGTGGCTTGGCAACGGAGGGAACCGGATCGGATTGGGATGGGATTTGGCATCCATTGGGACTTTGGATGTGCCATGATGTGCCTGATTTTTCATTGGGCTTCTCGGCTAAGTGGAACGTCTGGCTGTGATTTTAGCATGCTTTGATTATGTTTTGACCAACTGTATTTCAAGAAATCCTACATCCACTTTGATGCTTAGGGTGCGAACCCATAAAGCCTGTTGCTTCCGTGCCATCAGCAGAAATGCACAGTAATCAAAGGAAATAGCATACAGCCTCCTGACACCACCGATGTTGTGCAATGTTATGTCTTGGGGCTGAGTCTTTGGATGTCTTTGGCAGCTTCCGTTTTGCAAGGTCGTACTTGATAAATCTGTCAGGAACCAAGTTTGGCTTTGGGATTCCATCATGGTTTCGGACATCAGCACCAAACCTTGCCAAACCACTGTGTCACCTGAGGTTCGGAATGACGCAGTTGCGGGATCGATATGTGACTTGGCCATACTTGGTCTGCGGGTTCACCCATGTTCACCCTTCCTAACCCATTTGAAGTGATAACAGGTCACATGGTTTGCTTTTAACATGATGTAGCATAGTTTGATATAGTTTGGAGAGATGAAGAGGGAGAACTCAGACACACGGAAAACGCTTCAAAATTCAGAAATTCACAGGCGGGAGTGGTGGTAATTAATCGCATAGCTGAGGCGAACAGACAGTTTCTGCGAAAACCATGGATGCCTGGCGCGGAATCGCTTCAGGTCTAGTCCTCATGGATCCAAACCAGAGACTACGAGTACTTATCCCGACAGAATGTAACCATTTTCGTTCGATTGTGTAGTGGTTTCTTTCTGTGAGGCAGAGGGTGTCATTTACGATGCTCTACCCGAAGGCTGCTGCACTACATGCCTAGTCTAGAATTGTTTCCACAACATTTTGCTTGATGGCTGCTTGATAGCCAAGATGATTTTTTGATTGGTAATATCAGTTTTGTCAATGATTGTCAATGTATGTCACATATGATCACATATGTCATGTCGTGCCATCCTGGCAGGTAGCGTGCACACCAGCACGCATTTCTATTTTAATGTCCTGGACTTTGCAACGACGGTCCATGTCATGAGCAACTCCTCCGAGTGGTACGCTGTGTCCAGCGTTTCTCAGCTCGGTGATCGGACCAAAACTATGGGAACAACTGACAGCAATGGGGATGTAACCAGGGACCCTCCGCAGTCTGGGCAAATTGTGGCACCACGCTGCCAATGAACGAGTTTTTTTTTTTTTTGTGACATTTTGGGGCATTTTTTTTCCTCCTTTCAATGTTCACACCAACCTCGCCAAAGGTTGCATGGCAAAGGAATTTTGTCCACCGACACCGGGGCCGTTTGCTCCCGGCAACACCGACCGTAACAACACCAGAGCGACTGGTGAGGCCGAAATTGGGGGGAGCTGCTCTTCAGTTCACCCGGTGTTTTTTTATTTTGCTGATCTTTGATGGGTCCTTCCAGCGGTGAGTTTGACGTTTAAACAGATTGGAGGTATCCAGAAGATTCCAGAAGCACCACTGCATACAATGAGGGTAAGACATGCTAAGCATGGGTACCGGGTACGCCATGGTACGCCTACCACTTTTTGTTGTTCTTTGTGAAGTTCATTTTTTGCCACAGATCTGCACGAGGTCGTCTTTCTTGGCCATGACCACCTTGGTTTGTAGAAACAACACTGGCTTTGACGGAGAAAGTCGTTCCATTGCAGCCTCCATTCGCGCGATGGCGCCCTACAACTTCTCATGGGCTGTATATGTGCCTGAGCTTAGAACCGGCATCGTAGTGTCACAGCACTGACTGCATGAAGTCTAACATAGTGTAACCATCAAGAGACATGGGAAACATGTTTGAAAGATGGAGGCCAAGATTGAAGCGGAACTGTCCATCGTTTGAGCATGTTTGAGCACATTCTTCCACCTAGACTGAGGTGATCGTTCCTGATAGCTCGGAGGAAGGAAAGTGCCCTGGTCTCGAGAGTTTTCGAGAGCTGCGCCAGCCGAATGTACGCATGCTGTACAGACCTGGTCTTAGCAAAGTGGCATTTGGCTCATTTTGGCTCATTTTGGCTCCATCTAAAGTCATTTCAAGTATGTTCAAGTGATTTTTGTTGCATCTACCTGAAGGATTTTCGGATGTTAGCATGTTAGTCCTTTCCTTTTTTTCTTGCGTAGTCTCAGTCCGTCCTAGGAGTCTCTGGAGGGCGCTTCTCCAAATGGGTTGCTTGCCATGATTTACAAGCCAAGAAATATGGTTCGTTTCCCCTTTCTTCCGCTGAAGCAACAGCACACTGATGGTTGTCCAGATCTTTTAAATCAAGATCCACGGAAGTAGTGCTATGTCGTCCCATGTGCCGGAGTGCTTGAACACAGACCAGTACTCAGTGGAGGTTGACCAGTATGTGTGTAGCAAACTGCGTAGGGGTGAGTATTGGTGCCTCCCATCATTTCGCAAAGAATCAGATGACAGAGAGCAGGGGCTATGCATTCAAGGTCTATTATACGGAGGATGTGGAGCAGTTCGCCAATTATGATTTCCTTATGGTTTTTGATGCAGCCACTTGCCGCTTAACGAGTCCCCTGTTGTCCTGCTCTTTTGCCATGATTTTGGTTAAAGTTGCAATTTGCAATGCTCTTGTAATGGAGTGACATTTGTGTTCGCGGCACACGTTTGCATGTTGGAGAAATTTTGCCCATGTGAGGACATGGGTCTTTCTACCTTCCCATGGGCAGAGTATTTTCGCCGTTATGAAGATTATGCAGCGAAATGGGGAATAGCCCCAGTGACTGGCTCAGACGCTTGGCGTCAGTGACTTCATGACTGATTTCAATGGATTTCATTGATATTAGGCCCATTTAGGCCCTCAAAGTCCCAAAATTTCTGTTACAATATGTGCTCCTACAGTGCATGTTTGGTGTGTCAGCTGTTGGGCGGTCGCTGAACGTTGGGCGAGTTCACGAATGCATCATTTGCCTGCGAAGGTCCGGAACCGATCACCATTCTATCCCTTGAAGGCTGAGTGGTGGACAAAATGCAATAGGAGCAGGACAGATCGTGGCAAGCTGTGCAACAGGATGGTATGTTATGCACTGGAGTTGCTGCTTTGTCGACCGGTGGTCTATGCTTGCCATAAAGGATACGCTTTGTTGAGTCTGACTTGGTGGAACAGTGGCAGCTTAACCGCATTTTCGAGATCTGAATAGAGCGGGTACATCATGACACAATACGTTTTGTTCAATATTGTCAATACCCCTTGTGGTGAAAGAAGCAATGTATGGAAGAATGTGGGAAACGGGAAACATGTATCTCTTTGATACTGTGTATATATTCACGTGCACGCATACATAATCAGATGACGATGGAGAGAGGGTGAGGGATATAACATGTAACACACACAGATACACACATATACATCTCTATATACGTATGCACGATATCTTTACACTCTTTATTCATTCTTTATTCTTTAGAATCTTTGTACCATTATGTAACATTATGTGACATTCATTATGTTTCTTTATATGAGATCTGCAAGATTCTGCAAGTGAAAATTAAATGCAAATCCATTTGTGAAAATTCCCACCTGGGCGACCTGGGACGAGGTTCGCCATGTTGACTGGCAGCTTCGCGACCTGGCGCCTCGGCCTGAAAAAACCACCCATTTGGGAATGGTCCGAATGGTCTATGCCTATGCCATGTCTATGCCATCTATTTATGGTGATTTGATGTGATTTGGGGGATGCTTTATCTATTTTATCTGAACTCAGGATGATCAACTTAGGTAAGGATTTCAATTGATGCCAATCTCCTTTCACTTGATTTTCCTTTTAAACCTCAATGACAAATCAGGATTAGTAAGGACTTCAATCCACTTGAATCTACTTTCAATTGATTATCCTTTCAAATCCACAAAGAAATCCAAGTTTAAGTAAGGATTCCAAACGAATATGGCTTTCTAAAGTAATTGCAAGATAAAACGTTTTGATATTTTAAAACCATCAGAAGGGCCTTAGCACAATAGAGTACCATCCAAACAATTCCATTGCTGAGGACCTGAGTGACTTATGGGCTACCCTGTTCATTTTTTGGGGGTGTTTTTTTGTTTAATAATTGGGTTCCCCAAAGGAAGTTTGAAAGAACTTCCGTGTTACGGATATTTATGATGACCAAGAATGAAGGAATGAATTGAATGAACTTGAATGGAATTAAATGAATTGAATTGAATTTAATTTAATTTAATTTAATTGAATGAATTGAATTGAATTGAATGGATTGAATTGAATTGAATGAATTGAATTGAATTGAGTTGAATTGAATTGAATTGAACTGACTTGAATGAAATTAAATGAATTGAGTTGACTTGAATTGAATTGAACTGAATTGAATTGCATGAATTGAATTGAATTGAGTTGAATTGTATTGAATAGAATTCAATTCAATTGAATTGAAAGCTTCGTTTTCACATCTTCACCTTTCACTTTTGGAGGGATGTCTCGCACGAAATGCGTTTTTGAAAGTTAGCGGATGCACGAAATGTTGTGTTCTGCTGGGCAATACGTGTCTCGGAAGATGGATGGGGAAGCTTGTCCGGCGGACGGGTGCGGAACACGCTCGTTTAAACCGGGATCATGGTCGGATCGGCCGCGCAGTGGAACTGCCAGTTCAGGCTTCATTTTCACAACTTGAACTTGCAAAATTTGAAGGAAGTCTCGCACAAAAGCTTCATTTTCACATCTTCCACTTTTTCAGATTTTGAAGGAAGCCTGGCACGAAAGCTTTGTTTTCACATCTTCCACTTTGAGATTTTGAAGGAAGTCTGGCACGAAAGCTTTATTCTCACATCTTCCACTTTCAGCTTTTGAGGGATGTCTCGCACGAAAGCTTTGTTTTCACATCATCCACTTTCAGATGTTGAGGGATGTCTCGCACGAAAGCTTCGGTTTCACATCTTCCACTTTCATTTTTGGAGGGAACTCGCACGAAAGCTTCGTTTTCACATCTTCACCTTTCACTTTTGGAGGGATGTCTCGCACGAAATGCGTTTTTGAAAGTTAGCGGATGCACGAAATGTTGTGTTCTGCAGGACAGAACATGTCTCGGAAGATGGATGGGGAAGCTTGTCCGGCGGACGGGTGCGGAACACGCTCGTTTAAACCGGGATCATGGTAGGATCGGCCGCACAGTGGAACTGCCAACTCAGGCGTCGTTTTGCCAACGTTCTTGCGCGTAATTCATCGTAATTCTATTGTGTTTTGAAACTCAGTCTGTGCAAATCGCGTTGTAATGGCTGCATCAAGGTTGCTTGGCGCCGCGGCTGCGTGCGTAATACTTTTTTTTTTGCAGCTGGACATCGTAAATCGTATTGGAGTGGCTGAATGAAGGCTGCGATAGTTATTTGTCAGCATGTTTTTTCTTAAATTTTGGCGCTGGCGATTTTCCTTTCAAATTTCCTTTTAAAAAATGCTTCAAAATCGTATTTTTTTTTTGCTTTGGCGTCGAGATCCATCCGGTTTTGGAGCTGCAATTTCTGACGCCATTGCGCGTACTTCTATTGTGCTTCGCGACTCAGTCTGTGCAAATCGCATTGTAATGGCTGCGTCAAGGTTGCTTGGAGCCGCGGCTGCGTGCGTAATTCTATTGTCTTTTGCAGCTGGACATCGTAAATCGTATTGGAGTCGCTGCATCAAGGCTGCGATAGTGATTTGTTAGTGGATTTCCTCATTTTGAAAGCTTGCGGTGTGTAAAATCTTCTCTGTGTAAATGCTTCTCCGTGTAAATGCTTCTCTGTGAAAGGGCTTCTCTGTGTAAAAACTTCTCTGTGCAAAAGCTGGCTTTGTGTAAAGCTTCTGTGTGTAAAAGTTTGCTGTGTGTAAAAGCTTCTCTGTGTAAATGCTTCTCTGTGTAAAGGCTTGCTCTGTGTAAGAACTTTCTGTGAATAAAAGCTTCCCTAACTCTGTGTAAAAGCTTGCTGTGTGTAAAAGCTTCTCTGTGTAAGGGCTTCGCTGTGTGAAAGCTTGCTGTGTCCAAAAGCTTTTCTGTGTCAAAGTTTGCAGTGTGTAAAAGCTTCTGTGTGTAAAAGCTTCTCTGTGTAAAAGCTCCTCTGTGTAAAAGTTTGCTGTGTGTAAAAGCTTCTCTGTGTAAATGCTGGCTGTGTGTAAATGCTTCTGTGTGTAAAAGCTTCTCTGTGTAAATGCTTCTCTGTGCAAGGGCTTCTCTGTGTAAAAGCTTCTCTGTGCAAAAGTTGGTTCTCTGTAAAAGCTTCCGTGTGTAAAAGCTGGCTCTCTGTAAAAGCTTCTGTGTGTAAATGCTTCTCTGTGTTAGGGCTTCTCTGTGTAAAAGCTGGCTGCGTGCAAAAAACTTCTGTCTGTGTGTAAAAGTTTCTCTTTGTAAATGATTCTTTGTGTGAAGGCTTCTCTGTGTAAAAGTTTTCTCTGTGTAAAAGTTCCTCTGTTTAAATGCTTCTCTGTGTTGAGGCTTCTCCGTGTAGAAGCTTCTCTGTGTGAAAATTTGCTGTGTGTAAAAGTTTCTGTGTAAAAGGTGGCAGTGTGTAAAAGCTTCTGTGTGTAACTGCTTCTCTGTGTAAGGGATTCTCTGTGTAAAAGTTTGCTCTGTGTAAAAACTTTCTGTGAATAAAAACGCCCCTAGCTTTGTGTAAAAGCTTCTCTGTGTAAAGGCTGGCTGTGTGTAAAAGTTTGCAGTGTGTAAAAGCTTCGGTGTGTAAAGGATTCTCTGTGTGAAAGCTTGCTGTGTGTAAAAGCTTCGCTGTGTAAAAGCCTTTCTGTCCCAATGCACCTGCGGATCAGAGACGGCGCTAGCAACTACTCTGAACTTTTTGTGTCGCCTGCATGGAAAAAGCTGCTGCGGTGTCTTGTTGGGTTTGGGAATGGCAAGTGTAAGAAAAACTGATGAGAGATCAGATGTTTTGACATGAGATGAACAACCATGAAATACCACAAGAGAGCAAATTGATTTGGAAGAAAATGAAACGACATCAAATAAGCTGAGATAAGATGACATGAGCTGCGAAGAGCTGAGATGAGGTGAAAAAACTCAGAAGACATGAGATGAGTTGAGATGAGATGGGATGACACAGACTGCGGTGACAGTGGGATGAGATCAGATGAAATGAGAAAAGATTCAACATTCGAAAGGCATGGCATCAGATTGACAAGTCCAGAGCCTGTTGCCACGAAGCACAGGAGGCTTGCCTGTCACCTATAGGCACGGCCTTTGCCTTGAAACTTTTGCCCCCGGCTTGCCCAGGTACTACTTGTAAGGAAATTGGTTCCTTGGGGAAATTGTCATTTTGAAGTTTCAAGATGATCGGGGTGATCAAGATACAGCAACTATAGTAAGAGGAAGGGTGGACAACGGTTTTAAATTCAAGGAAAACTACCCCAAGAAGGGACTGGACCTACAAAAATGACATTTTTTCTTGGACCTATTATTTTCCTCCTGAAAAAATTGGGTCGGGGAAAAAACTTTTCACAACAGAGGCCCAACCCCAACAATTTCAGGTGACTGAATTATTCTGAAAAAAACGGTGGGGATCGATAGGGTATCATCTCACTAATCGGCATTACACAAAAAATGGGGGCCAGGCAAGCTAGTGGGGTAAAAAGGGGAAACCGGTTTGATTTTAATGCTGAAAAGTTCTGATGAACATACTAGCCATGGTCACAATGTTGCCCGGTCTACTGGAAGATGTCTTGATCCATCGGGGATGGATGAAACTTCCGTTTGCTCAGGTATTTGCGCAAAGTGGTTATGAACTCAGCAGCATATGGGCCCTGGGAGCCCTGCTAATCAACATCAGAACTTGGGGTTTGCCGGTTTGCCCAATGATTGTCTTTTTTTGATTGTCAGTTATGTCCGCTTTGTTTCGTCGGATCTGTTTTTTTTTTAAACCAAGGTTGAGACAGGAATCATCCTGGAGCAGAGGGCCTTGGGGGTCGATTGGGGCGTCGACTCTACCTGGTGTGGAGCTGCAGCTGAATGGTCCAACAGGGAGGCCAGGCAACCTTGGCAGCCCATGTGCCAGTGCAGTTGGCAACCCTTGCAGGCTGGCTGTTTGCTGATCCCCATCGACATGTACCATGGGGACACCAAGAGTCTTCAGCAGGACAGTTGGGTCTGACATGAACTGCGAGAGGACTGTGGCAGGTATGGTGCAAGTTTTGGTTGGGTCTCTAAGGCACGACCAGACTGACAGAACCCAGGAGGCTGCAGTGTCATCCGATCCTTGCACTTCTTGTTGGGGTTGAGGACGTGGTGTTCCATCAAAATGGTGAACATTTGACGAATCTCTGGTGAATTGCTCAGCTTTCATGATTTCTCCGCCTGAATTTGCACGTTGTTTGCAATATGCTCCCATGTTTCAAAACAACTCCTTTTTTCATGCTGCCACACTCTCAGCCTGTAAATTATGCGCACATAATAAGAAACATTAAGAAACAAAGCAAGCCTATGCAAACCTTGGGAATTCCCAAGTGGCCAAGTCATGCTCATTTCCAAGATGAAATGAGACTCGACGAGGTGGGAGCGAGTGCCTCAATGGATGCATGTCTCCCAGGTGTGGCTGGGATCCTTTTTCCAGGAGCCGGGCCCACGGTGTTGCAGAAAAATGCTGTGTCAGATCTGTCAGATCTATCAGCCCAGGTTACCAGGTTGCCATATATGTTGCCATATGTTGCCATGCTTTTCCTGATCCCCAAGACATTCTGGATGGCACTGTGTAATGTTTGTGTAGGACCACATGCTCGGGTGCTCGCCGGTCGGGCTGGAAGAGCGTTTCTTGGCGGAAGAGTTGGACTCCCGCAGTCAGGTGATAGTCAATGATATTTGTGTTCGAAGATGTGAACATAAAATACCGGCATCCAGGATAAACATAGATTAATTAATTATGACTGATTATGATTTATGATCATTATGCTGGCGGACTCTTAGCTGAACTCTTTGAGAAGGCGATGGAACAGAGAGAGAGAGAGAGATAGAGATCATTATGCATCGTTCTGTTCCATTCTTAAGTGTCAAGCATCCATGTTCCCCGCAATCCCGTGTCCAGAAATCTGGAGATTGTCGCACTCCATACAAACTGTCCTTCATTTCCTGCTGCGACCCGTGCCAACGTGCAACTCTACATCGCATACAGAGACCACAAGACTACAAGAACCCCAGCACCACTGCTTCCCATCCCAAAAACAACATCCATATACATTCTGGTTTCTATGTGCTATCCTCACCTGTGCCAGTGTGAGCTCTGCGTGTTTTGGCAATTGCTCTTGAGCAGGTGCTTGGCTGGTTGAAAAAGTCAAGATGGACATTGGCTTACAGCCAGTCCAAATGGCATGGTTCGCCAGAACGAGCGTAGGCCAACCACTTTAAACTTTAAACTCTCAGTCTTGAAGTGGCCTTTTGCCTGCGGAGTTTGGACTTTTGACGCTTCGATGTATTGACGGTGGTAGCTGGCTTTTTTCAGGCTCAAATTTCATTTCTAAGGGTGGCCTTGGCAGTACCGCGTGCATTGCACAGTAAGCATGCCCTTGGACCTTGCAGCATTTGCAGCATTCGCAGCGCGCCGTGAGGTATCACAATTTGTCGAAGCTGTGTATAAACAGTGACAGGCATCGAGATGCCAGGGAACTTGTGCAGGATCTCGCCGAAGAACGCTAGCATTTGATGGCATTTGAAGCAACTTCTTGGGACATTGAAGGCGGGATGATACTGGAAAAAAATCTAAGTTCCCTGGGAAAAAATCTAGGATCCTGGGAAAAATACTGTGCTCCTGTGTTGGTACCCTGGTTTTGTGGTCCTCTGGTCCCTTGGTCCTCTGGTCCCCTGGTCCCTTGGCCCCCTTATCCCTGGTTCTTTGGTCCTCTGGTCCCTGGGTCCTCTTGATCCCCTGGTCCTTTAGCCAGCTCATCCTGATCCTTTACCTTTACCCTCCTCATCCTTTGACCTCCGGGCCTCTGTCTCTCCCAGCAAAATCTAAACCCACCCTGTATTATAAGCCCGAAAGCAACTTGAATAAGCCACAAACCAATCAAACCAAGACCAACCGTCCTACATAAACATCACTAAAATGAATTCAAAGAAAAAAACCAAAACTAGCCCGAGAGCGTAGAGCAGCAAGGTCTTCTGTTGTTAGTATTGAGACACTATATTACAAGACAATATATTAAAGATCTATTATAGGCAGATGAGAAGAGTAGTATCAAGACAATATTTTACAAGTACAAGTCAATAGTTTGCATCGTATACTTCGTAAAGTTTTTCACGCACAGAACCTTTTACACGCAGACGCTTTTGCATACAGAAGCTTTACACACAGAAGCTTTTACACACAGAGACTTTTACACACAGACGTTTTTACACAGACACTTTTACACACAGACGCTTTTACACACAGACGCTTTTACACACAGACGCTTTTACACACAGACGCTTTTACACACAAACACTTTCACACACATCACAGAGACTTTTACAAACAGACGCTTTTACACAGACACACACACACACCTTCACACCCGGAGACTTTTACACGAAGACACTTTTACACGCAGACACTTTTACACACAGACGCTTTTACATACAAACACTTTTACACAGACGCTTTTACACACAAACACTTTCACACGCAAAGACTGTTACACACACACACGCTTTTACACACAGACACTTTTACACGCAGAGGCTTTTACACACAGAAGCTTTTACATGCAGACCCTTTTACACTTAGACGCTTTTACAAACAGACGCTTTTACACAGACACACACACACCTTCACACCCGGAGACTTTTACACGAAGACACTTTTACACGCAGACACTTTCACACACAGACGCTTTTACACACAAACACTTTTACACAGACGCTTTTACACACAAACACTACGCACAGAGACCGGACCCGTGAAATCGCAATTTTACCCCAGTGTTTTCGGCGATCGAACTTCATTTCGTGCGAAAGGGTTGCGATTGGACGCCAGAAATCGCAATTTTACCGCAGTTTTCGGCGATCGAACCTCATTTCGTGCGAAAGCGTTCGCCGGAAACATGAAATCGCAATTTAACCTCAGTTTTCGGCGATGGAAGCTCATTTCGTGCGAAAGCGTTCGCCGGAAACGCGAAATCGCAATTTTACCGCAGTTTTTGGCGATCGAACTTCATTTCGTGCGAAAGCGTTCGCCGGAAACACGAAATCGCAATTTTACTTCAGTTTTCGGCGATCGAAGCTCATTTCGTGCGAAAGGGTTGCGCCCGGAAACACGAAATCGCAATTTTACTTTAGTTTTCGGCGATCGAACCTCATTTCGTGCGAAAGGGTTGCGCCCGGAAACGCGAAATCGCAATTTTACTTTAGTTTTCGGCGATCGAACCTCATTTCGTGCGAAAGGGTTGCGTTTCGTGCCATCTCGTTGGCACTGCCCCGCGCCTTCTAAGAGAGAGATAGAAACGAAGGAGAGAGCAAGAGGGCAAGAGAGCAAGAGGGCAAGAGAGCAAGAGGGCAAGAGAGAATGTGAAGATGTGAAGATGAGAAGATGAGAAGATGAGAAGATGTGAAGATGTGAGGATGTGAAGATGTGAAGATGTGAGGATGAGAAGATGTGAAGATGAGCAGCTGTGAAGATGAGAAGATGTGAAGATGTGAGGATGTGAAGATGAGAAGATGTGAAGATGTGAGGATGTGAAGATGTGGGGATGTGAGGAGGAGAAGATATGAAGATGAGAAGATGTGAAGATGAGAAGATGTGAGGATGAGAAGATGTGAAGATGAGAAGATGTGAAGATGGGCAGGTGTGAAGATGAGAAGATGTGAAGATGTGAGGATGCGAAGATGAGAAGATGTGAATATGTGAGGATGTGAAGATGTGAGGGTGTGAGGATGAGAAGATGTGAAGATGATAAGATGTGAGGATGAGAAGATGTGAAGATGAGAAGATGAAGATGATAAGATTTGAAGATGAGAAGATGTGAAGATGAGAAGATGTTTTACAGACCCCCACTATTGGAAGAACCCTGCGCTCAGACCCTGTTGGGAAGAACAAACAACTCCAAGTACGCCCCAAAATCAAACCTAAAAATAAAACCAAAAATGAATAATCCCAAAACAGCATCAAGCAAGCACCAAACCAAGCATAAACAGGCACATAGAAACACAAATAAACCCAAATTTCATCTTAAATGATCTATCCAAATAAACTCCAAGCAAACCTTAGATAATAAGCACTAAAACTAACCCCCAAACCAGCACTAAATAAACCCACGTACCATAACAAACACCGAGTAGTAGACTTTAAAACTACATCTAAACAAAGTTTAAGCAAGCATCCAATAGACCCTAAAACAATTCTAAAGAAGCACCGTGCCAGCACTAAATTCGCACTACAACAACTTTGAATCGACACCAAACAAACACCAAACCAACCCCAAATTCACACATAACACAAGCCGAAATAAACTTTAAAAGTAACCCGAAAGAAACCTAAAGCAACCAAATCGAAACGGTAAAACAATTGAACAAAAAACACGCCCAAACTAACTGTATTGTATAGAAACCCTCAATTGAACCAGAGATAACCCCAAATACCCCCTAAACCAACCTGAAATAGAATTCAAAGCTAACTCTAGACAATATGCTGCAAATACCGCGAAATGCTGCAAATAATCCCTTGCATAATACAGATGCTGGCTGGCTCCAAGATGCTGCGAGTACGGTGCAAACAAGGGATTCAAGGCCAACATGTTTTAAATACCATGCAAATGGCATGTTTAACTTCCAAAACCCTGCAAGCATTCAAGTATTGTACAAACAAGAGATTTCAGCTGCAAATGATGCTCAAGGTACAGATTCTTAATTTTTTTCTAGTGTATGTCTTTTTTCCCACTGTGGAGAGCAGGGGTGAACCTTAAATTTCTTTTCCAGCAGCCAAAAGATTTTTCCCATTGTCTACCCATTGAAGGCAGTGGAGGAAAAGGTGAAGCGACTGGGCCTGTCGGAGATTCACACGCTAGCGGAGATCCAGATGTCTAGGCAGGATTTTGAGGAGCTACTATTGAAGAACACAGACCCCAGCATTCCCGAGAACCGTTCTGTGATAGAGCGGTTCCTAGGTTCCAAAAAAGCAGTGGAACAAATTATGAGACGGTATGAAAGAGTCGGACGTTAACAGAGGCTGGCAGCCTGGCAACTCAAGTACGCCAACATGATGCCCTCGAACTACTCTTCGAATGAAATGCCTTTCATGAACAGGATTGAGTTTGAGATGCTTGGCTTTGCAGTCGTTAAGCTGTTCCTCCCCATGCTCGCCCTGTTGATCCATGTTGTGGAATTCTTCTCGTTTGATTTCTTGATGTTGGTTCCGAGCCACTCATGTCAAGGATTGGCCTCAGCGAAAGGTTCGCCCTATACCGGAACTTGCGAGACTGACATTTTGATGGCTATGTGTTGAGCTATGTGAGTGTCCCTGACGAAGCTTTGACTGTGTTTCCCAAACCAGTCATAAAATGGCACAGAATGCCACGGCACAGGCGTGATGCTGCAATGTCACCGGTGGCAAACGTCTTGTTCAGTTGCATCACCATGATAGGTTCTCTAGACAGGCTTTGGTTTGCAGCACATCTTGGATTCACCTTGTGGGACATTGCAGCTATTGGTTGACCAAGGAGCTGGTCAACATCTTTGAGTTGAATAGCGGCTAGCGAGTTTCCAAGGCCTTTGCTTTGTACATTCCCATCTTCTTGTGGATGAGGCGATTGCGCCTGATGATCATTCTGATTGGCTCATTGCACTGCCTCAACCTTCCATCACTTTGGCAATGGGTGTGGTGGGCAACCACGCTGCCGCAGTTGGCACAGGACTTGTGTTGACCTTCAAGAGCCAGTTCCTCCGCCCAGTATCCGGGAAGTTGTGGCAAAGGAAGAATTCCAAGAGTACCTGCGTAATGCTCCAGCATCAAACCTCCAAGGCTTGTTCCAAAGAGCTTGTAGCTGTTTGGGGCTTCGCAGAGCAACCACCACGCCACCTCTTCTTGGTGGCAGTTGAGGCTCTTCGGCACAATAACATTTGAGGCTAGCCAGCGAGAGGCAATTTTGACCGAACTTTCAATCAGTCAGAAGTTTTGACTGCATAGGCATCATGAGAGGCCAGAAGGGCCACGCTAGAGTCAACCTTACGGCCCTACCCGCCCAACACAGACGCTCAGGAAAAAAAGGTTTGAGACTGCCTCACTGATGGTAGTGGCTGGTTTCGTGGGGATTCACGCAAGCACCTCATTTACTATCATTTAATTAGTGATGCATATATATATATATATTTATGCCATATATATATTTATGCCATATATATATATATCTATTATATATATATATATATTCATATTATATTATACTGCACCACACATCGCAATACAGTTTTTACGCAGCTACATCCAAGATTTCTGATCGTGCTCTTGGTGAATGCAACAAACTCGAAACACCGATGTGAATAGCAACGTGTTGAGCAGGTTGCTTGATTGATACTACTGTAGGTGGGGCAAATCGCTTGCACAGCATGTGGTTGTATGTGCAGATGGCCTGATGCGGTGCGGTGAATTTTGGGAATAACACCGAACATGACTTGGCCCAATAAACATATGTTTTTGCAATCTTGTGCAACTGTTGACAGCTTTAGCCAAAATGAATGAGATGAATGAACATAGATTTTGACGGTTGTGCCTTTAAATGATCTGGGAATCCACATTAATTCTTAAAATGAATATGGTCATGGTATGTTCCACAGACAGATTGATGCCCCCAAATCCCCCAAGCATCCTGGACCAAAACCCGCTCTTTTGCGCATTACAAAGTTGCACGGATGATGCACAGTTGTGCCCATGTGCATCTGTCAGCTACAATGTTTGTACATGTTTGTACTGTATGAATCTGTATGGGTTGGCCAACGGACTTGTCAAGAAAATGCTTGCAGCAGTCAGTGCAGGCTACCACATGCCCATCGATTTGCGATCTGTAGTCCCCATTGTTCCGACGGGACTTCCAGACAATCGAAGCCACCACAATGCAGCTCGGCCTTAGTATCGCTTGGACATTTGTGTTAGTGGCACGAATATCACCCACCCCTAAAAATGTATTTTAGGTGGGGAGAGGCTAGGAAAAAATGCATTTATCGTCCTCCAAATTTGATTTGCCAGGACCCTCCTAAATACATTTTTTGACGAGGGGCGCCTGAAAAAAATTGGATCCATGGGTCGGGATATCCACACCCCCCAGGATCTTTTATTTGAGGGGGTGGTTCAATACATTTTTGGGGGTTGGTTTTTCCAGGATCCCCGAGGTATCCCCGGGAATGTCCCATTTTTTTCTGGGAAATGCCTTTTACATCCTTTTACGGCATTGATAAAGAATTAAAGGACCGGATAACTCCACAAATCAACTTCTTCCAAAGAAAATGAGATGGGAAAGGCAGGAAGGCAAGGAGATGGTGCAAGACAGGTTGGGTGAAAGAGCTGTGTGCGACAGTGTTGTGTGTGTAAGTTTGTGTATGTAAAAGTGTTGTGCGTGAAAGAGTTGTATGTGACAAAGTTGAGTAAGTTGTGTGTGGACAAGTTGTGCGTCAACTGGGACCCAAGCGCGCCACCAGAGCCAGCCCAGTGCCATAAGTGCCACGCCTGCCACGCAAAGTGACGATCCATGTCACCAAGTGCCACGCCTGCCACGCAAAAAGCCGCGGCGTCCACGGCGTCAACTGGGACCCAAGCGCGCCACCAGAGCCAGCCCAGTGCCATAAGTGCCACGCCTGCCACGCAAAGTGACGATCCATGTCAACACGTGCCACGCCTGCCACGCAAAGTGAAAGTCGATGTCGCCAAGTGCCACGCCTGCCACGCAAAAAGCTGCAGCGTCCACGGCGTCAACTGGGACCCAAGCACGCCACCAGAGCCAGCGCAGTGCCATAAGTGCCACGCCTGCCACGCAAAGTGACGATCCATGTCACCAAGTGCCACGCCTGCCACGCAAAGTGCAAGTCCATGTCACCAAGTACCACGCCTGCCATGCAAAAAGCCGCGGCGTCCACCCCGTCCACTCCGGCCCAAGCGCGCCACCAGAGCCAGCCCAATGCCATAAGTGCCACGCCTGCCACGCAAAGTGACGATCCATGTCACCAAGTGCCACGCCTGCCACGCAAAAAGCCGCGGCGTCCACCCCGTCCACTCCGGCCCAAGCGCACCACCGGAGCCAGCCCAATGCCATACGTGCCACACCTGCCACGCAAAGTGAAGATACATGTCAACACGTGCCACGCCTGCCACACAAAGTGAAGATAGATGTCGCTGTGTGTGGACAAGTTGTGTGAGCAACGCCTGCCACGCAAAGTGAAGGTCGATGTCGCCAAGTGCCACGCCTGCCACACAAAAAGCCGCGGCGTCCACCCCGTCCACTCCGGCCCAAGCGCGCCACCAGAGCCAGCCTAGTGCCACAAGTGCCACGCTTGCCACGCAAAGTGACGATCCATGTCACCAAGTGCCACGCCTGCCACGCAAAGTGCAAGTCCATGTCACCAAGTGCCATGCCTGCCACGCAAAAAGCCGCACCGTCCACCCCGTCCACTCCGGCCAAAGCGCGCCACCGGAGCCAGCCCAATGCCATACGTGCCACACCTGCCACGCAAAGTGAAGATACATGTCGCCAAGTGCCACGCCCGCCACACAAAGTGAAGATAGATGTCGCTGTGTGTGGACAAGTTGTGTGAGCAAGTTGTGTGAGGACAAGTTGTGTGAGGACAAGTTGTGTGAGGACAAGTTGTGTGTGGACAAGTCGTGTGCTGACAAGTTGTGTAACATAAGTGCCACGCCAGCCACGCAAGTGAAGATAGATATCGCTGTGTGTGGACAAGTTGTGTGAGGACAAGTTGGTGAGGACAAGGTGTGTGTGAGCAAGTTGTGTGATGACAAGTGGTGTGTGGACAAGGTGTGTGTGAGCAAGTTGTGTGATGACAAGTGGTGTGTGGACAAGTTGTGTGTGAACAAGTTGTGTGATGACAAGATGTGTGATGACAAGTTGTGTGTGTGCAAGTTGTGTGAGGACAAGTTGGTGAGGACAAGGTGTGTGTGTGTGAGCAAGTTGTGTGATGACAAGTGGTGTGTGGACAAGTTGTGTGTGAGCGGAAGGAGGAGGAGGCGGCGAGGAGGCGGAAGGAGGCGGCGGGATACAGAACCAAAAACAAGAACCCCACAGAAAGATGGGGAAAAAGTATGTTAGGGGGGTTGGGTATACGAAAAACACATTATTTTTGGCAAATGGATTTTATACATTTTGCTAAGGGATTCCTGGGTACCCCCTGCAACGCATACATTTCAGCATATTTCAGTTCTAGCACACTTCAGCCATTTTATGGCCCGAGGGTTCATGATTGAAACTGAAACCCACTGGGGTGACTTTTGTTTACGTAAGGGTCAGTAGGTTTGTGGACGTGAAAAATGAACCTAACATAACCTAACTAATTATTCGTGCTGCATTCACAACCGGCCAAGAAGCTGGTGCAACCTTTTTAGTTCCATGTGGAAATGAATCCACGAGGGTCTCCATGGCAATGCTTGGATATGCCTGGATCAATACGGCCCCACCAATGACATTTTTTTGCCCGCAAGAGAGGAAAAAAAATCAACTGAATTGAGTTGCAGAACCCACCATGTTTCCATACATTTGGAAAAGTTTATGTATCCATTGGCTCAGCTCTTGTCAGTTGTACCCCCCAACACAGCATACATTTTCAGATTCAATACCCCCTACACGCATCTGACACTCATACATGCTTCATTTTGAGGAGTACCCCCCCCCCGGTCCCCATACGTTTTTGGCAGAAAGTAAGGGGTTGACCCCCCTCCATACATTTGAAAAAATGTAGATCCACCCCCCTTACTCCTGAACCAGTTGGGGTGGGGGATGCACGAATGATTCTACCAGTGATCATGGCCCAAGCTGAAACCGTCAGAGGCACTGAAATGTTTCAAGAGAGCTGTAACTCCTCCGTCCCACGGCTCAACTGAAGTAAAGCAAGTGTGAGCTGGCTAGCAGCAGTGGTTTAAGATGTTTTAAGCAGTTGTATAATTACTTTGGCGACTTTCTCAGGTGCAGGAACTTGATTCTGCATCTGCATCTGCCTACGCCTCGCAACTGGGTAGCAGCTTGATAGTCGAGCCGCAAAGATCTCCCTCGATCCAGTCCTTTGTAGCCCGGTGTCCTAAGGAATGGATCCAACAACAGCAATGCATCCAATGTGTCCCATGCCAACACTACCACTACAGATGAACCTGATGCATCTGGGCTGATCAATCTCTCAGTATCAGGGGTATCAGGGGTCCAAACCCTTTGAATGTGTGCTGTGGAGCTCAGACTCCGGGAAGAGGGAAATGGACATGCCTTGACGATCTTGACGTGGCGTTGTCGAAGTATCTGAAAGTTCACTAAGGAGGAAGTGGGAGAGAGCAACAGACATGAATTCAAAACTGGGAAGCGCAGCAGTTCTCAAATGTCTTCAAATGCATTCAAATGCGATGTTGTTGGAAAGCCGAACACACACACACACATGTACACACTCATGTACACACTTGACACACTTGTACACTCACCAAACCATGTACATGTGCATCTACGTAAAGACTTCTTGGGTAGCACAGGAATCGAATAGAATCGATCAAATATAAACATAGACTTGGCACAGCACAAAGACAAAGACAAGACAGAAAGAGAGTCCTGAGAGACATAGGTCAAATTGCAAGAGTACGACAAGATACGACAAGTTATCAGGTGGGTTTTAGGGCACCTGATGATCTGCAAGCCAATGCAATTTGGGGATTGGAAGATCACACAGCACTTCGACGAGACTTTGGCTCTTGAGGAACGCTCTTTTGCAGGGCGTGCAAACAACTTGGCATTGCTAAGTACCTTTCTTGCCATGCAGGTGGGAGAGTTGCCAGGATGTGCACTCGGAATGCCTGAAAACTTCTAAAAACTTTATGGGAGAGAAGGGATGAGAAGGGGGTGCTGGAATCTGTGAAGGATTTTTTTACATTCTGCTACTGAATGCCATGCTTCTGCCAGGTCTTGCATTGAGATGCTGGGCCAGTTGGAGAGGACGGGCCTGGAGTGTCCATGTGCTCTAGCTGGCTCATGGGCCTCATGGGGCTGCACTAACTCTCTTACTTTTACAGCTTTCAGGGTTTTGGTTTGAGCCAGCTTGCATTTGCAACTCATGTAAAGCCTAATGCCGTTCCTGTTTTTGACTTCTATTTGGTCTCCTTTGGCCAAATGCTCCGCAAACAACAGCGGCATTGGACAGAGCGAACAAGAGGATTGAGATTCAAGAAGATAGTTACACAGCAAAAATCACAGCCAGAAAGGACCAAGATCGTGGTGATAGTTTGGCTGCCTGAAAGTGTGGTCATGCATAGATTTTACCTTGATCATTGTGCATCTCCTGTGTCACTTTGATTTGAATGAGGGCATCCCGAGGCATGGGCATCCAGAAGCTATCAGACTATCAGAGACTCAAACGGACTCAACGCATTTCGCCTTCGTTTATATAGTCAGCTTCAGACGCCTAGTGCCTTGAGTTCGGCTCCAATAGCAGGGCCCTGTGACTCGCTTCCAGCGCCGTGCTGGCTGCTGGAACTGAAATTTTGAAGCTGCGGATGGGCTTGAGGCAGTGCTGGATATGAAGGGCATCTTTCATCTTCTTTATGTATTTTCGACAGGTACACTAAAGATCGGTTAAACGTTGTTTATCATAATATTTGATTATATATATATATCTAATCTAATATACATATTTATACATTGATAATTATGCAAGTCAGACTTTTACATCGAGGAAAGAGACTTCAAAGATCTTGAAGAGTGCCGACTGAGTGCAGAAGGTGAAAGGTCTGAAGACTCCAGAGAACAGAGCTGCTTCGCATCAGTCCAAATGCACTTGCTCTCCAGCAGCTCCCAGCACGCCAGGTTAGATCGGCTAGATGATTTAAATGTCTCAACCTGTGGATCTAACAAAAGGTCATATATTCCCCCACTGTTTCACACACTTTTGATCTGGGGAAACACCCATTACCTCAGCCGTTGACACCGAGCGTTTGGCTTCGTGACTCAAAAGGTGGAAAGGGGCCTTGGCTCGACTTGAATTGGTATGGTTGTTGGTGTTGGCCTTGGGTGTTTTCCAAAGAATGAGGTGCGTCCCACACACAAAAAGTTCATTTGACTGCACTACATCTGAGTCTTTCTGAATCCATCGTCTGGCAGATCCGATCCTAGGTCTTGACAGCCAGCATGGGCTGGAGACACAGCAGCGCTGAAAAAAATGAATTGAACAACTGGAGTCAACGGATGTCAACAGGTTTGTCAATGAGTTTGGTGCGGATCATGGCCTTTGAGGTGCGGCGACTATGTCATTTATTACGAAAGCCAGCTAGCTGGCTAGTTGCTGTTTGCGAACGAAGTGAGAATAGGGGGTGTGGGGGGGGGTGGTTGCCGAAAGGGAACGAAATCTCGCCGTGCCCCTGTGTTGAGCGCCAGAAAACGGAGCATTTTGCTGGATTATGTACCACTAGGTAATTTGCTGACGGTGGGGTATCGATTCCCCCTAGGTCCGCCTTTTTGGTGGCCGGAGAGACCATGAGGATGTATTGGAAAATACAATGAAACTGCAGGAAAACATGATAACGATCAGAGGAAATCGTACAAAATCCCCTGGAAAACGGACGAAAACGGAGCGAATGCGAGGAACAAACCATGGAAAATCCCTTGGAAAATGGAGGAAACCGGAGCGAATGCTAGGCGCAAACCATGACGATGCAGTAAACATGCTGGAAAAATACAGTGAAAGTGCAGGAAAATGTGATAACAACGAGAGGAAATGGTGCAAAAAGGATCGGAAAATGAAGGAGACAGGTAAAACTCTTGGATTAATATTAATATTGAAAAGGTATGAAAATGCAGGAAACCAGAGGAAATGGTGCAAACACCTATGGAGGAAAGAGGTGAAAATGATAGGAAACATGTAGTAAAAAAATGCTGGACAAAACATATTGAAAACCCACGAAGAGGATGTATTGGAAAATACAATGAAACTTGAGGAAAGCATGATAACGATCAGAGGAAAATGCTAGGAACAAACCATGCAAAATCTGTTGGAACATGGAGGAAACCGGAGTGAGTGCTAGGAACAAACTATGATGATGCAGTAAACATGTTGGAAAAAGACAGTGAAAGTGCAGGAAAATGCGATAACAACCAGAGGAAATGGTGCAAAAACGATCGGAAAAATCAAGGAGACGGATAAAACTCTTGGACAAATACATTGAAAATGCAGCAAACCAGAGGAAATGGTGCAAAAAGGAGACGGGTAAAAATCTTGGAAAAATAGATTAAAAATGCATGAATAGACTGAAAACCCACGAAGAGGATATAGAAACTGCAGGAAAACATGATAACAATCAGAGGAAATCGTGCAAAATCCACTGGAAAATGCTGGAAAGATACAGTGAAGGAAAATGTGCTAACAACCTGGCAGGAAAATGTGATAACAACCAGAATAAAGGGTGCAAAATCTGTTGGAACATGGAGGAAACCGGAGTGAGTGCTAGGAACAAACGACGATGCAGTAAACATGCTGGAAAAATACAGTGAAAGTGCAGGAAAATGCGATAACAACCAGAGGAAATGGTGCAAAAACGATCGGAAACTGAAGGAGACGGGTAAAACTCTTGGAAAAATATATTGAAAATGCATGAAATGCAGGAAACGAGAGGAAATGGTACAAAAAACCATAGAGGAAAGCGGTGAAAATGGTAGGAAGCATGTAATAAAAAAAGCTGGACAAAACACAGTGAAAATCTACAAAAGAGAAGAAAGTAACCACAGGAAACGGTAGAAAAAGCAGTGGAAACTGGAAGAAAAGTTGTGACAATATTAGGAAAACGGTGTACAAGCTAGGAAATGCTTGTAACAACTAGCGGAAACGATGTAGAAAACAGTACAACATGGAGGACACGCGTGAACATGCTAGGAGGCATGTAACATGTTAGAAAAATACAGTGAAAACCTAGGAACATGTTATAACTAAAAATGCTTTTAAAATATAGTGAAAACCAAGACAATGTTAACGAGCGGAAACGTTGAGCAGGAAATCCGATTTGGTTTCTGTAGATAATGTTAGATGATGAGCAATGTAGTTTGGTGATAGGAAATAGTGGCTGACTCGCGTACAAGACATTGCCATGAAACCTTGGAGCAAGATGCGGATGGTATAGGAAAAAAGATGTATGAGTTGTAAGATTTTAAGAGTTGCATGGGAAAATTGGTTTCATGGTAATCTGTGTGAAGTTAGAAAAGTATGATTTCGTTCACAGAGTAAGAAAAATAAATACAATCTGCAGATTCGAGTATTTATAATGCTTAAAGCTGTTTGACGTTTTTTGGTGCCTCCCTGATTCTGGTAGTTTTGTGATAAGAACTACAAAAACGATCTACTGGTAAACGGAAGGAATAGTCTTTCCGGTTTAGAACTGAGTCGACTGTCAAGTGATGCATAGGCTCCAGGCCTCTGGTTATTGCCACAAAGCATTGGAATGAAGATTGCGCCCAGGAGCCACCTAGGTTAGGAGACAAATGCTGTAATATCATTGTAAGAGGCCGTACTGAGAAGGCTGAAACAGAACTAAAAGTGAATCTTGTACTAAAACATTGAGAAAGAATTTGAATCTTCTAATGGCAATGACGGGAATGATATGCATCTGTACGTCCGTGATAGTATGTGTGCCTTTTGAAAGGGATGTTTGGCGAGTGTGATAGCTGAGAAGATTTTCCGGGATGCCAAACAATTATCTCTATCGATGTCAGACCCTTGGGGGGTGGGGGGGGGTACCCAGGTCTGTAAATGGCCTAAATATATATGCTTTTGATTTGGACTGCATGTTCGCCACTGTTCTATATTTCCCGTGGGTTTTGCATTGTTTTCCTCGATTTTCATTCGTTCTTATACCCTTTCTTACGTATGTTATAATATTGTCTTGGGTTTGCACTGCCCATTTTGCGAGTAGAGCTGTGTTTTGATTTCTCACCGTACGGCCAAAATGTTGCGGAACTTCGCGGAGAAGCATGGACCACGATTCTGGGGAGAAAACAATTTAGACTGTGAGAGGTCACATGACCACTGTTCACACAAAAAAGCGGGTATTATTTATCTACAATAGGTGGGAGCAAACTTGCGCTGTTTTAAGATAAATGAGCAACCAAAGGCGGATTTACGGAACTTGAGATAGAACTTTTCACAATGCCGCAGTACATTGTAGGAAACATATTTGGATATAGAAGTTACAAAATCGCGGAGTTTACCCTAAAAAGGTCCATTTAATGATTGGAAAATTATGACCCGATAGCAATTGTTGATGTTGGGGCGCTTCATGTTTGAGCCATGCCATATGGATGAGGTGGAGTTTCACGCGCCCCCGCGCGAGTCAAAAAGCAAGCGCTGGCTTTCGTTCCACCCCTTCTCAGGTGTCAATGTAATTCACAGCCATTCACAGTATGATTCTGTGACGTTCTAAGAGATGTATGTATGAATTATATATGGTTATAAATGCGAGTGGCGGATAGAATGTGGGGACCCTTACATTTTGTGTTCACGAGCAGGTCTACGTTCCACAGTCATGCTCATGCCCCAGCTCCCAAGATCTTCCAGAGGTACTATGGCTGGAGGTCTCCGATCATGGGAGATGCTGCTAGAGACCGCATGATACAGTGCAGGGTTGGATAGAGGGTATGCTATGGTATGCTTGCTGGCTTCACTTCACAAAAGCTTTGGGTGTTATATATTATATATATACCGTAAAATGATGTAAAATGTTGTCAAGGAGGCTTTGAAAGAAGCTTGCTTTGAGTTGAAGCATCTATCAACATAGGTTTGCTGGGCAGAACGAGCCCGGACAGTGCCGGTTCACACTTTAGACGTGTTTGTTGGGCCTATCCACCGCATGGGGGCGTGTGGATGATAGATCTGACCTTGAATCAAGGACAACTTCAGCTGCTCCCAAAGCCAATATGCGCATCAAGAAGATTCAAGAAGATTCAAGAAGACATTTCATAAACTTTGGTGAAAATTTTGGAGGCCAGGAAGCTTCCTGAACTTCCCGGGAGAGTTTCACACTGCACGATGGGCACTGCTGCCATTGGTGCTGACGTGGAGGTGCGGATTGGCGATCGCGGGAGGGCTGCTATGGACCCCACCTGCAGATCACGCATGAAGCAGATATCACTGAACTAGTAGGAGAGAGAAATGCATGCAAACAATCTGCAAACTGTTCATTGCCAGGGTGAGTGCAGGTACAAGATGGTCAATCTTTCAAGAGCTTGCAGCTGCCCACGAAACCACCTACTACAACTCTTGGGAATGCAGCCTCATGCGTCCCCAACAGCGCAAGAAATTACTGGTACATTTGGGTAATTTTAGGTACATCAGCCACCTAAGCCACCAATATTCTCTCCTAAATGCTCTCAGTCTAGCAGGTTTGCTTGACCATGCAGAATTGCGAAGCAGAGATTTTGCTAACATACGGTTTGGTGGCACTAGTGCTTCATCCACTGGAATTACACTTGCAGCTCGGGATGCCTCTTAGCAAGATCCGCAAACCGAGGTGCGATAAACTACTTAAAATACTTGAATGCACTTCATAATCTTCATACATGCTGCAGATCATTGGCTTCAAAAGTCTTCTCAGACTATCGTGCGCTTTGCGGCTCCTTGCGTCTCATGGCTGCGCACGAGCGGCGTCATTTTAGGGCCTCCTGCTTGCATTGGAGTGGAGCCACCAACTTCCGACTGGACCTCATTTTTAGATATCAACATTCGGTCTTCAGTAAAACATAGTAATGCCAAGTTCGTATTAATAACCACCCCCCTAGAAGGTAAGAGTCCCCCCCAATAAAAAAAAATACTTTACTTCGTGTGATCCCCACCATGACATTTATACATTTTGTTACTGGCAAATCTTCTGGCATTCTATTTGACATTTTATCTGGCATTCTATCTGGCATACCTTCTGGCATTCTATCTGGCATCTTCTGGCATTCTATCTGGCATATCTTCTGGCATTCTACCTGGCATATCTTCTGGCATTCTATCTGGCATATCTTCTGGCATATTATCTGGCATATCTTCTGGCATTCTATCTGGCAAACATTCTGGCACTTTATTCTGGCACTCTATCTGGCATATCTTCTGGCATTCTACCTGGCATATCTTCTGGCATATCTTCCGGCATTCCATCTGGCATTCTATCTGGCATATCTTCTGGCATATTATCTGGCAAATCTTCTGGCATTCTATCTGGCAAACATTCTGGCACTTTATCTGGCATATCTTCTGGCATTCTACTATCTGACATTTTATCTGGCATTCTATCTGGCATACCTCCTGGCATATCTTATAGCTTTCTATCTGGCATACCTTCTGGCATTCTCTCTGGCATATCTTATAGCTTTCTATCTGGCATATCTTCTGGCATTCTACCTGGCCGTTGGGGTCCAGCGGTGCACACTGAGCTGGGCAGGTCCCAGGTTGAGGTCCAGCGGTGCACACTGAGCTGGGAAGGTCCCAGGTTGAGGTCCAGCAGTGCACACTGAGCTGGGAAGGTCCCAGGTTGAGGTCCAGCGATGCACACTGAGCTCGGAAGGTCCCAGGTTGAGGTCCAGCGGTGCACACTGAGCTGGGAAGGTCCCAGGTTGAGGTCCAGCGGTGCACACTGAGCTGGGAAGTTGGCAAAGAGCTTGGCGAAGGGTTGGCAAGGCGGAAGTTGAGGTGGAAGTTGATGCAGACATGGTCGAGGAGAAACTGGAGGAGGAGGCAGAGGAGGAGGAGAAGGCGGAGGACGAGGAGGAGGAGGACGAGGACGAGGAGGACATAGGAGGACAGCTAGCCGAGGAGAACAACTCTGATGAAATCTAACAACCCTCACCTGGCAGGTGGGGAACTAGGGCTTGTCATCCATACAAAACAAGGTCGAGATTTCTTTTTTTAGTGGCAACTTCCCTCCCAATGGGGTGACATGTTGAGATTGGGCATGGGACATCCCTTCAAAACATTACTTTTTCAACTTGTAAAACCATTATATAACAAATAATTATATCATGACTACCACGAAATCAGGATTTCTGAGCAGGGTGTTGTTTAATAGGGGGTCGCACGTGTTTATTAATAGGGAGGGGCCAACCCAAAGTAGTCTTGCCATATTTTTTTGGAATTTGGGTGTTGGTTAATTCGGGTATGATTATTATATAATATGAACTTAACAGTAAAACATATTAAAACTATAACTGGTTTCGACTTTGGGTCTGCTGTAAAAGTTGCACATCCAGTTGGACATTTGTGCAAGAGAATCTGGATCCAAATCGCAGTGCAAAAGTGTGGCAGTGATGGTCTGGATCCTGCTTCTGAACTCAAAATGGGTGCTGCATCGTGCTGCTATCATACCAAAACTGAGGTTCTGCTGGCCGCTATCCTTCTGACAGTATTTCACTGTCCGCATGTTGGTTCAGCTTCCCCTACGTCCATTCCTTTGGGATCAGAAGGTGGGGCGGGAGAGATTGTTTGACCAGCTGACACAGGGAACCAGGTGACAAGATTCAAAGTATGTTGAACAAAGCGGGATAGATGGTCTTGCCGCCAGTCATATTCAAACTCATGACATGAAGATAATTGTACAAATACAATCACACACGGTAGCACATGCATATATGAGCTGCATATATTCACAAGTTCCTGTGAGTGATATACTGTAATTATGTGATTTGATTAGCATACTGTGAGCTGTCCAGTTTTCAATACCTCAGTTTTGGGCTTATGATACTGATGTCACTCTGCAGGACTCAAGATGGGCTCTCTGCGTTTCGATCCGCCGCGGATGGAATTTCCAGATGTATCTTGGAGCGTAGCCTCGATCTGCTGATGGATGAGTAGAATCATAATGTCAACGTATGACGTATACTACTGACTGTAAATGATGATGATAGTAGAAGCAGATGAACGGAATATTGACAAATTGAAAGGATAGATGATGTTAGGTCGAGGTTGGATGGTAGATGCATGGACGATGACGTATGTATTGCCGCGCTGCCACAACTTCAGCAGCTTGTATCAGCGTGTTGCCTCCCCGTGGAAATCTCTGGATCTAAGGAGCTCACCTGCGTGGCGCACACCGAAAAGGTGAACATCTACTGCGACGGATGCTTCGATTTTCTGAACGTTGCACCTTGGTTCAGCAGTGGTTTAGCAGATCCATCTGCAGATGTCCCAGAAAAAATGGTAAAACGGGGATGCTGGGACATTTTATGTTAGTATGTTGGTTGTTATGGTTTTTATGGTGTTGTTCAATGTTTCTTCCTTACCTTTGATGTTTTATGTGGTGGGGTTCTGGGTCAGATTTCCCCCTAGCTTTCACTCTGATTGTTTGTTTCAATGAGGGGGACAATTGTTGAAGTTGTTAGGGTTTTATGTGTTGGTTTGTTGGTCAAGTGTTTGAAAAGACGGAAAACATATCATTTATGTAGTCTAATGTTTGTCGCTTTCTTTCTTTTCGTTTTTCTCTTTCAATTGCCTTCTGTTCTTCTTGGGATTTCTCGTTTGATTTTGTGTTTGACGTATTGCTGAGAATTTGTTGGTGTCTTTTTGTTTGCTCATGTATCGTCAATTTTTGCTTTGTCATTGTGATACTTCAAATTCATTTGTTTGCTTATCATTTTTTTTGCTGTTCATTTGTTTCATAAAAGTCTAAGCCCACCCCCTCAGAGCCTACCCCCTTGATTGGGGAAGTTGGGGGAATCCTTAATAAGCTGTTAATAAGAGCTTAATAAGGATTGGACCTTAAGTGGGCCTTAATAAGGACCGATTAGTGGAACCTCTCTTATTGGGCCCTTAGTAAGGGTTTGGGATTTGCAATGTGTTTTTTCTGGTGCTGAAATGTCACATCCTTATTAATGGCTTATTAAGAAGATGGCCTCCAAAAATATGGGATTGAAACTCGTTTGTCTTAATCAGTCACTAATCGGGAAATCACTCCGACCTCGTCTTTCACTAATCGGGAAATCACTCCGACCTCGTTTTTGTGAGTTTCAAGAACAAGAAGGGAAGAACCATTGAAATATTTCATTTTTCATTCCAGGGACCAAGAATCATGCTGAATTTTGGTCTGTGCACTGTGCGGGAGGGGGTAGTCCATGAGCAACCTTGATCCTTAACAAGGCCTTGTTAAGGCTTGCTGCTCTTTTTGTCTGCAGCTGATGTGTCAACCCTTAATAGGTCACTAATAAGGATCCAGGAACCCCTTGCTGAACCCTTAATAAGGGTTTGTGTTTGTTTTCCATTGCTGCAGTGGCCAAACCCTTAATAAGGATCGTTCCAGGAATTTGGTGCCCAAATCCCGGAATCCTTAATAACGATCGTCACATCAAGGGGGTAGGCTCTGAATTTTTCCTCCTTATGATTTTCATACTGTTCCTTGTTCCTCTCGGTGTGTTTCTCTATACTTTCGTTTGTATTCAAGACAGATTTTACATTGCGTTCTTCCTTCACTGAATTTGCTTTAGTTTTTTTTTTACGCCTTGGACATTGCTTCGTATCACTCATTTTAATATATATATATATGTGTGTGTTTATGGGGAGGTGTCATTAAATGCTTTCAGGGAAAATTGTCCAACATTGTTTTGTGGCAGGGATACAAGAAGACGACGAACCGCCTTCAAGCAGTAGAAGCATCTTAAAGAAATTCCTTAAATCATCCAAACCAGTCATCAAAGCAGTCGCCACAGCAGGAGGAACAGCAAAGGGAGGGTCAATAGGAGGACTAATAGCATCAAAACTGACAGATGCCATCATACCCGACGAAGACGAGGAAGAGAAACCGTCCAAGATAAAACCAACACAAAAGTTAATCAACAAACAAGTCAAAAAGGTAAATCATCAAAAGAAGTTAAAGGAGGAAAAATCAAAAATGAACGTGGATGTAGCGCCCGATGCCAATGAACCAATGGACACACCAGCAATACCAACAGCAGTAAAGAGGAAACCCTTAAGACCACCAACGCAGGAGAAGAGAGAATTTCAGGAAGACCCATCCACAACGACCAAACCACCCAAAGCAAGAAGAGTCAGAGGAAAGCAACCACAACCACAAGCATTAGGAGCAACCATCAACATCCCCAAAGGCAACAAGACACCCAATGTAGATGAAGCAGAGACAGCACAGGAAGAAACAGGGGTGTCATCTTCATCAAAGGCACCAGTCAGGAAACCAACAATGAACAAGGCAATATCACCAAGCAAGGTAGGAATACAAGTGATACGAGAGAAGTTTGAAGAGATGAACAACAGCAAAAGCATAGACACAGGAGACTATCAAAGGTTTCAAGAAGTCTATGGTAAATGGAAATCAAGCAAGGGAGAGGATAAGAAACAGCATCTAAAGGAAGCGAAGGAACTTTACAAGTCAATCATCTATCCAAAATTGAAATCAACATAATTAATAAAATTATTCATTATAATTTTATTAATTATTCACTATCTTTTTTGACAGATTGGGCTTTTATCTCCAAGATACATTCGTGTTCAATAACGATATACATTTTGTCAGGCATCAGTGCAGTATCAGTTCCGTTGTCTGTTGTATATAGGTCTGTTCCATACAATGGTTTAACACGGACAACCATATTTGAATTGTTCTTCAAATTCAGTCCAGTGTAATTGGCACTGTTGAGTTTCTTTAGGTTGACCCCTGCTAAAAAGGAATTCGTCCTATACATATGAGGTTTGATTGAAACGTGATTGTTTCGTGTTTCTTGTAGATGCTTGTAGTTGTCAGCAACCCCCATCGTTGGCATTTCGGGTATGACGGTATTGCATGGTATTGCCAATACTCAACTGAAAGGATAAATCAATATTTGCATAATATCTTTGAGCAATTGATGTTCCGCTTTCCCACGAAAGGGGGTGATAAAGAAGATTATGAGGTTTCAACACTTCTTGGAAACCGCCCTTATAGCCAAAATTTGAGTAGAAAGATATGAAGATGTTGTCAGCCTTACTTACATTTCTAACTATTGTCGTGAAGATGTCGGTGCTTCTGCTTGTTGTTTGAGTTTGAACCGAAACGCTGTTGAAGGTTATAGGTAAAGATTGCTTCGCCAAAATTTCAGCATACTCTGCGAAAAGTCCATCATCAAGTCGGTGAATATCACAGGTGATGATGGGTTGCTCTATGTTCCATAAGAATGAAGTATTCGCTACGGTGAATTCCCCACTTTGATTAACAAACGGTTCAGTAGCATCACTGACTAAAGTTAGTTCAATGACAATCGGGCAGTATGATAAAGGAATGAAGTTTGACACATTGAAGAAGGGACAAGAAGGTCGGTAATAAACGGTCTTTTTGTTTTTAAATCCACCGAAATTGTCAGGTTTGGCTTGGTCAATGACATTCTGAACATTTCTGAACTGTGTTAGAACCTGGGTTTGTTGCCACCTGCGTATATGTCAAAAATCGGTTTCATATATTGTAAAAGGTCTCACCAAAACCAAGATTGTCAGTATAGTTATAGTTTCTTGAACCGTCATCTTGTAAAATATCCATCATTGCCTTGCTTCGTATCTATTTAAGTCCGGAATTTCAGCAATAACAGAACCTGCCATCACTCGCATTCTTTGCAAAAATGAGGATGGTTTATAAGCAGGTCTCAATTCTGTTGTTCCGTCATTGTCAGCATTGATGAGGGTAAAACCTATTAAAAGACTTCGTAGATTCATCCGTTCGTTCGCCCCACCCGTTAGACCCCAAAATTACTTAAAGAAAAAATACCTATATATATATAGTAAGAGAAAATGAGTAGAGTAAAAATTGAGGTTATAGATACAGGGAATATTGGTATGTATGCTGACTTTGGTAGTGATAGTGAGGATGATGATTGGGAAAGAAAACAAATAGAAAAAGAAAATGAAGAGATTAGAGACTTTGTAAAGTGTCATCCTATGCCTTCACCAGATGATGAGGAAGGAGACAAATTTTGGAAGAAAGTAATTGATAGGATGAAAGAAGCAGAAGGAGTAAATGGTATGCTAATATACTCGTCTGTAAGATTTGACATTGAAAAAGATGTATGAAAACCTCACTGATAAACAAAAGTCATCATTGATTGTGGAAAGGAACTCAACCGTGATGGAGAATTCAACGCTATGATTATCAACCTAACTCTTTTGTCAATAGCAATGGGTGAAATGAATGATACAAACAAACCGTGCTTAACACAAATAAGAGTAATTGAACACTGGTGGGATGGAATAGGAAACTGGACAGCATAAAATGATTACTTCACAATATCTCAAAAAATATATTATGACGTAATCACCCGCCCAAACACAAACATAAAACCCCAACAGTCTAAACAATTCTCCCCCTCATCTTAAACCAAACAATGAAGTGAAAGTTCGGGGCAAAATAGTCCCAAAATCCCCACCAGAAAAAACATCAAAGGTAAGGAAGAAACATTGAACAACACCCTAAAACCATAACAACCAACATACTAACATAAAATGTCCCAGCATCCCCCTTTTTACCATTTTTTCCCAGCTACTCCCAACGATATGTTGAGTTTCACCATATCATCATGTACAATTCACATCAATAAAACACTATCAACCGCATATTAATTATACGCATATTATATATATATCTCATATTATTATGCATCAATAATAATATCATATTCACACATTGTTGTTCAGTTTTTTCATACATCACATATAAACTATCATCAATCCAACATCTCCCCATACGCCTCGCCAGTTCCTTCATGACGTGCTTCCCGGCACCAAAAGTCCAGAGCACATCCAGAGTCTCCGAGGAATCCGCCTCATCGGATGTGTTGGAGATCATACCAGCCTTGGCTCCCCGGAGCGGGGTAAAGACAAACAAGAAAAAGGGCAAATCGCCGATCATCGCAGCAACCTGAGTTTGAGAACTTGCGATGAGTTGTGCTGTTTTTCCTGGTCACTTCGGTGATTCTTTTCTCCAATTTTGTCCTTGGTGGTTTCTGTTCTCCTTTTGTTGGCATCTCCGCGGCCAAGGCGGTTCTGCACGTGATGTTTATTGCGCAACAACCGGGTGAGATCTATGGCAAAATCGCTGTTTCGACCACTGCAGGTCACTGACAGTGAGCCATGGGGGATGCGGCAGATGCTCCAAATTTCCGATTTTGATCGGAACAATTATGATAAAACGTGGGCTGTCGGGTGTTGGGTACCCAATTTGGAGACAACCCTATAGTGACATATAGTGACCAGCCACCACAATTTTCAGTTTTGGCGGATGCCAGTCTTCCTCTCAACGGTTTCAGGTGTAATCAACTACGAAGTGTCAGGGACAGCGAAGCCAAATTCATATGGCCTCGAGCCAGTGGTGCATTCAAGAGTCCCTGGTCGCACACAAACTGGGGTAGAGTTGGGGATTCAGATGTTGAAGCAAATTGGAAGCTCTCCGCTATTCTCCGCTTGCTAGACAGTCATTGAGCTGCTACAATAGGTGTCACTCGCTAGTCAACCCGCACACAAACACACAAATGACTCATTGAGCGTACTTGCAACATGGTTCCGTGTAGGTTAGTGCCAGAGCATGGGGTGTTTTTTTTCTTCCTAGTTTAATATATATATATGGAACTACTTCTACCTGCTGAGGGGAGAAAAAAAACAGTCTAAGGCGATCGGAGGAGAGGTGATGCACCATCCTGTGTCTGTCTTCAATCCTTTCAATGACGTGATGCAGGTCACTCAGGCGGGTTCAATTAGTGCAGCATGGTTGCGTGCTTGCAACACAGCATGTGCCTATTTGGATCTGTTTGGATCCCGCAGCGCGCCGGAGGTTTCAACCAACGACACCTTCATTCAGCTTCTGGCGCCTGGCGAATTTCGCCCGGTTGGCCAGAAGAGGACCCCTGCTGGATCCAGCAGGATACTTCCAGAACGGGCTGGTGCGGTGGCTTGGCGCAGCGGCCATGATGCGTGAAGTTGACACCAAACTTGACCGAAGAAATGTGAAGTATTCCCCTCGGGGCCACGAAGGATGAGAAGCGGGAACCAAAGCCCGCTTTTCAGCCAGATTTTAAGTCAGAACACTGTTGTTATCTTTTGTTTTAAATGTGCCACAGGTGTTCCTTTTTTGGGACACCGAGTTGTGCTTTTGTCAACCCTAGAATTGTTGGTCACAGTTCGTTTTGTTGTGAAAACCCTGGGCTCACAGGGTTTCATTCCAGGAATGTGTCTGCACCACATTGTTGCGAAAGGGGGCTCAGGATTTCGCATCTCAAGACTTGCATGATTCGCACATGTTCGCAGCATGTTTTCTAGCCTCTGTGGACCCAGAGGGTTTTGCCAAGAACTGCTTCCACTAAGTTGATACCCACCAATTGCTTTCTTTGATCTGCGTGTTTCTTCCTTGCTGACAGTGGGGAAAACTGGTGGAGAAACCATTTATAGATATTTATAGGATTTTGGACTTTTGCGGTGGAATAATCTTCGAAGGGTGCGCCGTTGAAGGAAACGAGGTCATACATGAATGAAATCATTTGGGTTAGAAAAAGCAGATGAGTGGCAATGAATTTGCAGACTGCTTTTCAAAAACATGTTGAAGGGAAAAGGCACGGTAACGGTAATGTGTTCAGATTGTAACAATCTCCTACAGACCTTGTTTCGGAATCTCATTCCAGTGTTATTACAAATAGACTCAGATAGACTCCTTGAAATTGAGGTTCAGGTTGCCAAGATGGACTACAGTAGAAAGACTTGGAGCTAAGACGTCCATATATTTTACGGCGCTGGAGCTAGCCACCATGTTCAATCTAGACTCTGGAATCCAGAACTTGACCACGAAACTTCAGACAGTGCTGGGACACGCTGGGAAACACAGCATGGGATGGAAAAAACACGAACCATTGGCAGTCAACCTGCAAATCATGCGCACAAATATTTGTTCCATCGATCTCAATTCTTATAAATGACAGGACAACCTCCGACCTTTGTTTGAAAAGGTGTTGCATCAGAAAAGAAACATGGAACTTTCAAGCGTTCGACCAGACAGAGAACAGAAATTGACAGCTTCTTGCGTTTTCACGATTTGTCAATCAAGTCATTCGATCGTCGTCAGTGGTTTCATTGGATTTCGTTGTTTCGGCCCACGATGGCCCACCACTTTTCATGAACTTGATCATGTTCTGCTGTAAACTCAGACTGGATGGTTTTCGATCCAAATTTCAGTCTTGAGTTGCATCAATGGTTGCAGGTGGAGAGAGAGAGAGGTTCTCATCAAACACAAGATGCAATAGACATATAATATTTATCATCATACATCAGTCCACCTTTTCATGTTTTTCAGGGCCTCCCTTGAGCCTGCAGGCATTCAGCATTTGTTAATATTTTTAGCTGACCACCTGGTACTTGGTCGTTCTGGTACATTAAAGAGAGATATGAAGTTCGAATGTGAAACTCAACTGAGGCATGGACCATCAACCCGCAAGAGACCAGCATCGTGGGCTATGCCAAGTTCTCTTTGCCTCCTGGCACCTGGGCTGAATGTCTGACATATCATGACAGATCATGACAGATCGTTACATATCATGACAGATCTAAAATGATCTAGTCTAAAGATGTGCAGCTGGGAAGGCACCAGTCTCTAAGGCAAGTATCGGGGCATCTTGGCTGATACCAGGGATGTGGTCAGAAGCGTTCACACGAACTGACACTGCAAGGTGACAGAGACTACTCACCGGATCTCACCGGTAGTATCTTCAAAAAGAGAGCGTACTGGTGAAGCGGTGACTTTGTTTGAAGATGTAAGAGGATAGCTCGGATAGCTTGTGCCTCCAGCGGTGAGGATTCATCAACCTGAAGCTCGACAGAGACCCCTCTCGAATCCTGATTCCTGTGTCACTGGGGGTCATGAAGGTGACAGGGGTCAAGACTCTTGGACTCAGAGAGGGGCATCCGGGCATCCCGTTTGTTTCATCGACATGCAGAAGTGCAAACACATGTGTTGATATATGTTGCGTAGTGTTGTTTTACGGATTGGTCAATGCTGTTCTGGCGACAGGTCAGAGCAAATGGTGTGGAAATGTGTGGAAGTTGTTGCGCTTGTTGCTTGAGGGCTTGGATCTCTTGTCTCGCTTCCTCTATGTAGACAGCCCCGCAAGCACTGCTCTGGCAAGGGGGGAAAGAGACACCATGCGCAGAGTTTTGCGAAGAATGTGATGTAATTAATATGATGTATATATGATGTAATGCTGGCAGCTCTCACAAGCCAGAACTAGTTTACAAGCCTGCAATGATTGCCAGGCCAGCCAGGCCATGTCCCATATATCAAATTGCTCTAACAGCAGTGATGGAGTCTTTACTGTCAAAAAGCGGAGGATCACGCCTGACATTGTCGACTTCCAGACCTTGGTGTCGTCAGTTCAAGCCAGCAGCTGGTCTTCACAGGGTGACGATCATGACATGCTGATGACGACTGTCCATGACTGTCCATGACTATCCATGAGTCCATTCCTCCCCATCAGTGCAGCAATGTGCAGCATTTCACACAGTGCTATGGCATCATTGATGGCATTGCTATGGATATCATTGGTCATTGGATATCAAATGGTATCGTTATATATCATCTTTGCTCACATCATTGATGGCAACATTGGATATCATTGGCATATTATGATATCATTGGATACCGTTGGGCCAAGGATCGATTTGGTTATCCGTCACCAACATGAATTCGCAGCCCATTCAGCTGCTGTCCTTGTTTGATCCAACCCAGCCTCTTGGAAAAAAATACGCAGGTCCCGCGGCACTCCTTCAGTGATTGTCTATCATTCGACACACCCACACAGACTATGTCTGCACATGCATATATATTTATATTTATAGTGAGTATATATATATATATATATAGTGATTATATATATAACACACACACACATGTATATATACATATATTACATATATATTACATACATATTACATATATATTACATATTACATATTACATATATATTACATTACATATATATATATATTACATATATATATATATATTACATATATATATTATACATATATATATATATTACATACATATATATATATATTACATATATATTACATATATGTATTACATATATATTACATACATATTGCATATATATTACATATATATTACATATATATTACATATATATTACATATATATATATATGTAATATATATATATTACATATATATATATATATTACATATATATTACATATATATACATATATATTACATATTTATTACATACATATTACATACATATATACATATACATAAATGGGAGGTTTATCGAGCTTCTCATGTGCCTTATCGAGGTTTCCTACCTTATCGAGGTAGAGTAAGTTACTTACCACAGGTGTGTGTGAGTTTGGTGGATTTTTTTTTCTAGGTGATTGTACAGGGTAATGTTGTACAGGTTTCGTTTTGACACGGGGGCCTATGCCTCCCATTTATTAACTACTCGAGTTTCCTCTGTGGGAAAAATGAGCTCCTTTCATGTTAAATATATATTATATATATATATATTATATTACACATATATATATATATTACATAATTATATATTTATTACAAAATTACATATATATATATATATGTAATATACATATATATATTACACATATATATATACATATATATTACATATATATATATTACATATATATATATTACAGTACTGCAAGAAGATGGTGGTTTAGAGTGATAGTTGGAAATTTGTTCAAGTTGCCTCCTCAACCTGAGAGTGGAAGTGTGATGAAGTGAGCAAGCTCCGACTGCAGAAAAAACAAAATGCGTGGCCTGTGATGTTTGCCAGAAATTCCCAAACACAGCTAGGAAGGGACCCCCGGCACCAAGATACAGACAACTGATTATATAATAAAGTATCATCATTTAAGATGATGTTGACAGTGCAAGATTTAGCCAATATGAAGAAACAACAAATGTTCATGCATTTTTCGTTGCTTCAAGTTATTGCGTATAGCTACGCGTGGTTATGCAGTACATGTGGTTATGCATGTTTGCATGTTGCATGTGTCAACTAAGGAACCCAAATCTGCAGATTTCAGGTTTCGACCACAAGAAAGGCATGGAGGGTGATGGTGTATCCCATGTATCCTGACATACCAGCTGCGGTGGAGACCAGTGCTTTGCCTCCAGGCATTAGTGTGGCTCCCGAGTCGACCATGCGATTCGCGAAAGTGACCTACCATGGTTCGAGGGAAGGCGCACTTCATGGAAACTTAGATCAATTATGCAACCAACATCCAGTAAACCGCAAACTGCCATGCACGACCCTACGAAAATTCAAATTTGCACGATGCGGAGTGTATAGAAACTGCATTTGCAACGATCCACCCGCGTATGGGACGGGACGTAGCTCGCGCTTGTCAAGGACATTGGTGGCCAACAGCAAGCAAACAACGGTTATGATAAAATCTTGCAAAGAAGAAACAACATCCGGAGACTTCAGATTTCATTTGGATCATTTGGATCCATTTGCGAATCCACTGCCGGATCGTTTCATAGGCGTGCCATGCACAAAAATGGCGCGCGGCACCTTGGAGCTGAGGCAAATTGCAGTTGATCGTTAATGACACAGATGCTGTATCTGCCACCCTTGCGGTACCATACAAGGCCAACGAACCTCGACAGCAGGGCAAAACATGGTGAAACCATGTTAAACATTGTTAAACTGCTTCAATTTTGGTTTCATCTAGGCGTGGACAGGCTGATGGCTTTGATTTAGGAATATTTAGGATGGGTCGTGAAATTGTTGTAAAATGGCTGGGCAGAGTGGTGCATAGTGCGGCACTTGCCAAACGTTTGCATTTCTCAGGTTTTATACGGCTCTTTGGGTCGCTTGGATGCAGGCGTTACAAGATCCAGGATCCAGCAATGAGATCCTGTGAGATCCTGTGAGCTGATCCATTCGCTGTTTCTCTGGAAAACATGATGCACGTGCAAATTATATAGGCATAGTTAGGCATAGTTAGGCCTAGGTTTCTGCACATATGTGCATGGACACCTGCACATTTTCCCACTTCCTGTCACCCCAGTCTTGAGAATGTCAATGTCCCCAAGTTGTCAAGAACCGATGTTGCTACATACATCTACATACCGTACCATTTGATTTGCATCATGGGAGGAGTATCCAATGTAATTTTCACCCACGCCCATATCATCATACCGAGCCTCAAACCTGAGGCTTCATGAACGACAAGACCAAATTTCTGGCCACCCCAGGGCGAGTCACATCAACCATGCGCGCAATCATGGTGTCCAACAACTTTTCAGAAGCTCGGTTTGAGCTCCAACATTTGCAGCTTTCGTTGGAATGGGTCATTTTGGGAAAGACGTGCCAATGGCTTTCATATCTTTCATGCTCAGTCACCTAGCTCTGCGGCAGCTGAGGTTCCAATTCTCATCCGTTCAGCCAAAATAGACGAATCTTGCCTACAATGTTGAGAGAGGTTTTGAGGGCGCACTCCCGGCCACTGTTTGTATGTTTGCTGTCCATCATGCACTGAGAGACAGTGTTTGCAAGGACCCCAGTTTCAAGATATCGCACTTCCAGCCAGACACCGTTTTGCAGCCTGGTGAGGCAACTTGGAATCCTCTGCACTGTCGATGTGGGATTGACACGTCATTGACACGTCATCATCTTTGCGTCAGGCAGCTTCCCTCATGCACCTGGAATACACTTCCAATGGAACTAGCGCTTGGGCCTTACCACGTTGCTTTTTCATGCGCACACCAGCGCACCCCCAGCGAACAACACGCCGTGTCCACCTTCTCTGAGGCCCTCTGCACCAGGGACCTAGAGCTGGCCACCAATGTTACGGTGGGAGCCTGTGCAGCCTATGCAGTCTTGTTGGTTCACAAGTGAGGTCGTTTAGACTCAGGGAAGGGAAGTTTGAGATAGGCAAACATTGGTGTAAACAGTGTAAACGTATGGTATGCACAGCAATCAACATAGCAAGTGTGAGAATCATCTGAGCACCTGTTGGCCCATGTGTGCATTTCTCATGTATAGCACTGGTGGCCCTATCGGCCCAACTAACCCTAGGCGCCTTGAGCTAGTGGTAAAACATGTGCCATGTGCGATTTCTTGGTGGTTCACATCACTGAGTTGTTCAAAGCAAGTCTGAAGTGAACCTTAGACATCGGCCCACCTGCAAGTAGCCATGTGCTCACAGGCGATGAAGATACCACTCCAAGTGTACCATGGAAACCTGCACTGCCAGGTGCAAACCTGAGGGTTTGAGATGGGTTTGAGGTGATTACAATGGGACTCATAGTCTGAAAGTGAAACAGCGGTCATGATACGTGATCAGGATTGAAGGATTTTGTTTGAAGCCTCAGAACCTGTCTAGAACTTGCCCAATTGGCCATTGAATGTTGTGTCTTGCCTGGGATTCTTGTCATCCTTGTCATCCATGATCCACAGCCGTGACTGCCAGATTGAACATGGTCCACTGCAAGAATGCAGTGCAGCTGCTAATAGTTTGGCCACGGAGCTGCAATTTATCCAAGCAAATCATAGCCTCATAGCCTATTTTGTGTATGGCATGACATGGCATGACAAACTAGTCACCAAGATTCACCAAGTCTATGGCGATGTGTGGGGATTGGTGGGTTTTGAGCCTCCCGACCTGACTTGTACCCAAGTGCACTACTGTACTGTTTTCCTTGAAGGAACTATTAAATTGATTTTTGATTGGGCCATATTGGGCCTTGCTGTTTGCGGTTGTTTGCTCATGTAGCCTGACAAAACCTGAAACGTGTGCGACTTTTGCTACTCTTGAAGGACACTGGAAACTGATTGAAAGTGCCTTGAGGATCTCAACATGGGCATTTTGAGTGTCTCTGAAGCACGGCGCTCGCGAAACTTGGATTGTAGTCACTATGCACAGCTTTGGGGAGCCAAAACCTGTCAGAAAGCTGTCATGGGCTGTTCTAAGGATTGAACATCACGTGACCCACCAGCAGTTAGCGTTTTGTCTTTGATCTTAACTTCTGAGTGCCCACTTGCACTTGCCGAATAATTGCTCATCAGCAATCATCAATGATGAATCGGGCTGGATTTTCCGTGTGTGCATGGAATGCATTGGAATGCAGGAACCTGAATCCAGTGAACGTGACGATCGAGGGCTGTAGCTTCAGTCACCCCAGCGTCAGCCTTCACATGGACGGCATTTTCACTCCTCAGGCTGAGTCTTTGAATTGAAGATAGCCTTTGTATTCCATGTGCCGTTCTTTTGGGCGATGTCCATGGCATGAATCTGAATCCACCGTAGATTCAAACAACAGCCCTGTCAGGGGATTCAGACGCGGGGGTCACGGCCAATTCCAAAGCAATCAAACACGAAGAAGGCTGCTGGCCTGCAAGAAGCCACTGCTACTAAGTATGTTCCAAAATGTTCCAAGACTCCGAAAGGCATCTCACGATTAGCTCAGGTGTTGACACTCCAAGCAGGACATCGATTGGCTCTAACTTTGGAGGTTCTTGAGAAGGACCAGCAGTTGCAGCGTTGCTTCCTGTCTCACTTTCGACTTGAATATGGTGTGAACATTGTGAACAAAAGCTGAAGTTTGGTATAGTATGACATGTATAGACTAGATACATACACATATACAGTACATATATATAGTTATAGTATAGCAGTATAATGTCACATTTGTTTGAATCGAAGTGCTTAACAGCCCCGCAGGAACCGACTGTAGCTGGCGGACCACCTGTGAACGGACCTTACTTGTCGCTGTGTTCGTGCTATGTCATTTGATGTGGTGCAGTGTCCCTTAGAGTTTGTTTCGTTTTTTGTATTGGCAGTCCCTGCTTTGCAATCCTTCACATCCTTCACCATACTTGCCAAATTACCAGCAATCAGTTCCTCAGTTTGTACCTTCAGCACCTCTCTATGAGACGGCAAACCTGGAATGTGGCGTAGCGATGCGTAGCGTATATAGCCTGTCACATTCCTTTACTGATGGGGTTGTATAAGGATTATATAAGGATTATAAGTTTAAGGCTATTCGTGGTTCTTCCATGTTCTTCTATTGAGTCGTGTTCAGTCGCAAAAAGATGCAAAAAGTCTTGGGGACTATGGGATGCTCAGGGAATCGGTGCCTGAATGTTTTCAGTGCTCGGGCGCTTTGATTTTTTTGCAGTCTGTGTTGAGGGTGGCCTATCGAGATATGATATATCGAGATATAACATGTTTGGAGGAGCTTTTTTGTAAAAACGCGCTTGCGTTTTTTGTGGTCCCATTTCTAGCTGATTCTGATGTTTGCTGGTGCTCTTGAAGTTCTTGAGCTGCGTTTGTCTTGTTTCCCGCTTACACTTGTATTTCTACTTTGCGAACTTGTTTGTGGAAGTTAGACCCCCATGGCCCATGCCCTCTGAAACGAGCTCAGGAATGCCAGTGTACAGCTGCTCACAAAGCGAGGGGAAAAGATCACCATCAGAATCAGGCACGGGATGAAGAATCAGCTGGAACTCAGTGGAGTGCACACAGATGTCAGTAGCCCACAATATTGGGCAACTGCGGCAACATGCGGCAACAAGATGCAACAAGCATTTTTGATCCAACGTTGCTTTGCTCTCTGTGTCAAAGAAGCAAGGAAGAAATAATGCAGGTTCATTGCAGGTTCATTGCAGGTTCATTTGGTATGGATCTATATGGATCTATGAAAGTCGCAAAATAAAGCCTTCCAGAAACATCGCTAAACTCTTGCAAGTTCCCGGAAGGTACGAAAGCGTTCTGGGCGGGCTAAGCTTTTCTCCAGCGAGCTTGCGATTTGATGCATCTTTCCCTGGACAAGTGCCTGAGATTGAGCTAGAGAAGAGTGGCCACGTCAAGCTGCAAGTTTCGAAGATGCAGATTTTTATAACTTTACTACTGCAACTGAGTTCCCTGTTTGCTCCTTCCATCTCCTTTTCCTCCTTTTCGATCTCTTCGTGCATTGATCCAGGAGTGTGCATCCAGGGTTTTGAGTCGCTACCTCCCAGTTCCTTGAGGTCCAGAGCCGTGTCGTTGCTGCGCGGTCAACCTTTGAGCAGCCTTTGCAGCTCAATGCAGGCAGGACATGGCAGGACAACTGAGATCAGCTGAGAAGATCTGAGGAGAGCTTCATGCTTCGCAAATTCGTCCATTTGGTATGGCAATCTCTGGCATTCTCTGGCCATGTATATGGCTCAAAATGCATCCATATTCCGAGAATGCATGAATGCTGGCATGGATGTTTTGTGGGCCTATTAAATTATATAGTGCCTCATCTTGAGCACGCAGTTTGTGAATGTTTTAGGTCTTGGATGATTTTGGTAGGTTGATGGCATTTGATCGAACCCACGCCCTTTGTGGCCCTGTTCGCCAGTTCGATCCACCGATAGCCGCATCATTCCAGAGCTCCTGACCAAGACCCTCAAACCGTTGGCTCGGACGGAAGTTGTCACACAGCTGCATTTGGAATCAAGTGCTTGTGCTGTTTGCATCATAGTTTGGCGGTGTAGAGAGTTGGTTTGCATCATAGTTCTGCTGCAAAGGTTAGGGTCTACTACGATCCAGCGAAGGCCCAACCTTGATTCGCCACTTTTGGCCGGTCTGGAGAAGATCCATTTATATCCATTTATATCCATTTATATCCATTTATGATTATAACAGTTTGTAACACTGATTCCTGCTCTTTAGCATTGCATTTGCTCCCGATGAGGATCAACAGGAATATTGCTCCCCAAACAGCAGAAACCAGTTGACTTTGTGGATGTTCCCAAATTACTTCCATCATTGCTGGAGGCAACCTCTGTGCCTGGTGCTGGTGCCTTGCATGGCAATCTTTGTGGCTCTGGTTTTCTATAATTTTCTTGAGTGGCCCTCAGACCATTTGCCATTTCTATCCCCATCGCAAGGTACAGCAGAGGACTGGGCGCAACACTTGGGAAGTGCCAATTGAGCAACACAAAGACGACGCAAAGAAGAGAAACAGACAGTCATATAGAATGCAAATGTTCGATCAGAATTGATCAGAATGCGACCCAGCACATTGGCTTTGCCTCACACTTCCCGCCGATTTGTGTTCCAGGATTCAGCTCGTGAGCTTTTCGCTGCTTCAGAGTCAGGTGAAACAGTTCATTGGAATACTCCATTGACGCCCCTTGGATGCAGCAAACCAAGCAAACCAAGTACATCCAAGTACCAGACTACATCGAACTTAGAAATTCAGTACTTGAACAATCTCCATGGCTGGCGATTTCAGCTTTTGGCGTTCAAGAGAGCATGGATGCTTCACAGCCCGATTTGAGGGTCATTCTAGGTCATTAGTATCCCGTATCCCTTTCCTGTAGGCTTGACTTTTTGGAGCGGTGGATGGCTCGCCAGAAATCAGTTACGAATTCAAACGGTATCCCGTCCGCAAGTTTGGATTGCAACATGTTGGCCAACATGTTGCAACCGAGTGCAGTGCATAGCTGCGGATTCATGGGCAGATTGAGCAGCAGCACGGCATGTCAGGCAGAGGAACATCAGAAATTGAAGCCATGTTGATTTTTGACACGCATATCGTCTTGGGCGCCACCCTTCAAGCGTCTTGTCTTGGCAAACACAGACACTGAAATTGGCGAGACCCCTGATGGCCCATGAGCATGCACTGCTGGCGATTCCATTTTTTAAAGATGGTATTGAAGGATCCACTGTCCAAGCAATGAATTTGGATGTACTAAACACCATGCACCATGCTGTAAGCCTTTGATTTATTTATTACTGTACTGTAATCCTATTGTCACCTGTGCGTGTCTGGATGTATCTGTTCTTTTTTTGACTTGGCGGGCTAGGATCTGGAAGATGCGAATTTAAAGATAAAGTGGCGTTTTCATTCCAGCATCACATTGTGGTGGCGCTGGTGTGGTAACATGTTGAGACTCTCATTGATGGGATATGAATGGATATAGGAGCAGGCGAGCAGATGTAGCTTTTGGCCTGGCATCATATTCGTCACATTATCCCAAAGTCTCAACTTCAACCATCCTTCAAATTACTGTAAACACGTCTCATTCCTCCCCGCCAATTTCCTCCCCGCCAATCCGGAACCTTCACCCATCAAACGGAAACAGCCAAGGGCAAAACGGATACCCCTGCACGATGTCCGAAAAAATTGGAACGGAAGACTTTGGTCCAGGTGCAAGCTTCCCTGATGCAACCCCATGCTCTGTTTGAGCCTATGCTGGCATTTGACCTCACGCAAGTGGGAGCTTCAAAAGCCCGTTGCTTGGCTTTGACCTCGAATAGTTCTGACGACACATCGCAGCTGTCTGAAAAGGGATTCCATACCTACATCATCCTACATCTACCCACCACCACCCCGAATAGAAAAGTCTAAATGAGTCTAGAGTCCAAACTATCCAAAATATCCAAAATATTCCAAAATGCACACATCACTTGGCATGAAGCCTTGCCAATGCGGCCAACAGCCAAGGCTGGTTGCTAGCGCAGAACCCCTCCGATTCTACACTTGTCATCATCTAAGTTGTTGGGAAACGAGAGGACTTGACCACCCAAAGGGTCGGGATAGGAACGCACACAATAGTCATTCCCAGCAGCCCATTGTTGCTCGAGTTGAACCTGCTGATGCTGAGCAAGCTGTTCTGTTCCGTGTCAGTTTGTGTGTGCGTGAGGCATTGCAATTGGTGTTTCCAGTGTGCGCGGATCAAGCGCGAGCCTCAACAGAGCATGCATTGAGGGATGAGCAAGTCTAGGCTGGCAGCAGCTTCTGGCATCAACGCTAGAGGTAGGTAAGTTTTTCTCGTGCCAGATGCTGCTATTGATCAACTCCTGTTTGTGGCATCAACTGTGAGAAATGTGATGATGAGACTCCAGTAACACACAGATGACCGTTGAATTGGACCAATTATATAGAGGAATGATAGGAATGCAGAATGTAGAATGTAGAACTAAGGTCAGCATACTTAGGTACATCCACCCATTCATACATGCATTTCGAGGACTCTGAGATCTCTTAAAGGGAATTTGAGGATGAAATGGAGTGGGAGTGGGCAGGTATCCAACGTAATCACAAAACCCGTCTCTTCTGAGGCCGCAAAGTCACGCTCGAGCCTTCTTCAGCAAAACCTGACAACCTCGACTGCACTTCAGGCCTGCTTGATTTGCAGTTGATCACTCTGTGCAGCGATATTAAAAGTCAAGAATCAACGCATGTTTCATTTTAGATTTTCAATACCACCCAGCAATGACCTTTCAAGCCGTTCAAGCGATGAGCCCTGAAGGATGGCAGTGGATCTCCCAGTCTAGCAGCAGACTGTGAGGGTGGAAGAGCTTTCCACTTAGGGCCAGAAGCAGAGGGAAAGGCACGAGCTCGATTGTATATTGTTGTTCACCTTGATTCACCTTGATTCACCTTAATTCACCTTGATTCACCTTGATTCACCTTGATTCACCTTGATTCACCTTGATTCACCTTGATTCACCTTGATTCACCTTGATTCACCTTGATTCACCTTGATTCACCTTGCAGCATTCTCAAGCAGTGCGCAAATCATTTTTTGGCACTGAATTCTGCAAAACAATTCCCTGTCAGATATGGCACGTAGAACCATATGGTGAAGCTTCAATTGGGCCCATCATTTTTGAGCCTTTTCAACATGCACAGTGTCTGGGCTGCATTGAGCTGCACAGCAATCCTGGCAGCTTATGGTATCATGTTGCGCCGCGATGTGTGCTGCATGTCATGAGGTTCCGGACCACGTTGTACGTGCGAAATAACCTCACCACACTGCATCCGGTGGAGCTGAATGGCCATGGCGGTTCGAGTCGGCTAGTTTTTCCTGATGGTATTTTAGCACCTCGGACCCGCTCAGCTCTGGCTTTTTGCCCATGTAAAAATGATGAAATTACACCTTGAAGCGAGTACTAACTCAATTTGGATGAATCCTGTTGCTTGCCGAACTTGATGCGAGCTTAGCGCAACATTTGAGCTGGTGCTCGGGGTCTTGCTCTCTTTTGGAACTGACCCATCCCAGCACAACATGATCACAGGGGCCATTGGCCCGATGTCAACACTGAGGAATTCAATTTGACAGTCTCAGACTTCGCCGAGGAGGGTAAAGATGCGTCAGGCTTGTTTGCAAATGACACTGCTTGATTTGCTTGCAAAAAGTGTTGGAAGATGTGCTCCATCGACAGGCTTGCAGGGCATCAGCAATCTCAGACTGAATGAATCAGAGCCTTGACTCAACTGCTGTTCAATCAGCAAACCGGAAACTGCTGGCAGTGGATCAGGGATCGGTAGATAGTGTCTCAATTTCGGGACTTGTTAAAATTTAAATATGTTTAATATTGTTTAATCATATTCAATCATCATTTTTGGGTTGTTGGGGATGATCCTCCCTTTTATTCTCGGGTGATGTTCTTTCATGGTATCTGTCATGCTCGTTTTACCTCTGCCATGCTGCGTAGCCATTCCAGGATGATTTGTATGCTGAGAGCAAGCCCGGATGGTTGTCCTGGATGACGACAGCAAACCAAACTTCTGAGAGCACCTTGTCCTCAAAAATGGCCGTCAGACTCAAACGGTTTTGCACCGACTGGTGGATCTGTTGGGAAATGTAAGATATGTAAGGCAATTATACGATATTATACGTACAAGAGGAGAGGGTTGAAACACAGTTTTCCATGGTTTTCCTGTAGTTCTTGGTTCATCAATGTTCACCAGTTCCGTGTGGTCTTCCGCACCTGCCATGTTCTGTGCCAGGCGGTCTTGGTGAGGGTGACGACAAAGCGTACCTTGGCCTCAGCGCAAGCATGGCCAGTGCAGGCAATCAAGGCGCAAGCATGGCCAGTGCAGGCAATCAAGGAGCTTCAACACATGAAAGCGAGCCATCCTTTCCAAGGCTTTCTTGGCTCATGGAAATGGTGCTAGATGGTGCTAGCATCACCAGTGTAGCTATGCAAAGGCTTGCGTATCTAGCAGCACCTGTTAAAGTTAAAGTTTGCACATATCTAAATTGTCAATACGTGTTGGGTTACGGCAGATTCTCAGATGGGCAAGGTCAAAGCCCTGGTGGAGACAACGTCGTTTGGCTGTGACGCGAAGCATTGTGGCCACCAACGACTGTGAACTCCCAGTTGAGGCGACGAGTTGCGTTTTGTGATAGGGCGGACATGGGCTGATGTATGCTGCCGGTGTAGTTTTGAGACTCTGCCGCGTTCTTATTTCACAGTGCAATGGATGGCCCATGATGGCCCAACAACGCCCAACCATACCTAACCCCAGACTTACAGTGAGGTTGCGCAAGTGAACATCGGTGGCATTCCTGGATGCAGTGCCTTTGGCTTTGAGGCAGGGCTTGTCTCATGCGAAAAAAAATCCACCAGTTTTCTTGAGCCAAACCACGAAACCCGACTGGAATTTTGGAGCCTCAGGTGAGGGATTGCCAACTGCCACTCACTGTAGCGCCGCACGAATCTGTCGCTTTCATGGTGTCCTTTACTCCAGAAGTGGTTGCTTCCAGATGGGCTTCTTGGCTTGGACAGGCAGAACGCAGAGCAACTGGTAGCAGCTTAGCAGACGGAGGACATTTATGGACTTTCGATGAATTTGGTCATGTTCTTTCAACATTTTGAAGACTAGACCAATGCCATGATATACCATGGACTTCGTCAGTCAAATCATTCTCAGCACTTTGTTTGTCAACACCGGGCAATGCGCTAGACTGAGCTGCTTGCCTCGCCGGGCTCAAGTTGAAGTCGTCTTTTTGACGTCCAATTCAATAAATTCATCATCGGCACGAGATCGATGCATGCGGCACGGCGCATTTGTTTTTAAACATTGTGATGAATAATCTGAATCTGATGATTCCATTTTTGTTTCACGCCTTGCTCTTGGCGCACCCAATGGGTGTCTCGGGAAAATGTGAATTAGATATTCCCTTGAGGCCGAAGCAGGAGAGAACTATCAAGGTCGTGAAGCGTGATTGGGTGTCCCACCAATTGGTTTCTGAAGTGGCTGCCATTCTTCTGGAAGATGTTCTGATGTATGATGTGACACGCCATGCCCCAGACACCTCGCCACTTGACGACCTGCGGGCCTTGTCCTTGGAGGAAGCAGATGTGAACTTCGAGGTTTGGGAAGGCGGCAAGGGTCAGGAGCTACGCAGGTGGATTTACAGTGGCTCTGCCGAAGTGGTGGGGAGTCACGCCACGTTGGGATACGATGGCATACATACATTGAGTCATACCATTGAGCAATTTCCGGAGGCGGAGTTCTACCAGTATTTGCAGGCTTCAGAGTTCCAGTGGATATTTGCGAGCAGCGCCTTCCGTAGAGGTGAAGCATCTGCAGATCCAGGACATCTATGCCAAGGCAAGGCATGGAACTGCACGGATTTTGTTTGGCAACCTCCGCTATGCAGGAACCAGACCAAGAGGTGCTTGGGTCAGGTATTGCATGATTTCAGTCACTACAGTCAAGGAGTTATGGAACAGCAAATTGCTAACGATGGCTTGTCGCTCTCGATGGTCTACCTGACACAGAGATCGAAGCAAGTTGCGGTGTGGAATGCCTTTGCATCCAAGAAGGACATTCTATTTCAACACCACACTCCGTCCGAAGGAGTTGATGGTGTTCCTAGCAATGCCTTCATTCCCATCCAATTTGCTCCAAGGCGTTATGGATGCAATGCCTCGGAGAACTCCTCACCAGATGGTGGCTTGAGCTGCCGCCTTGAAGCGAAACCACTCTTGAAAATTGTTTCTCCCAGCTTCCATGAGGCCGGTGACGCCTATTATTTCGCCCAGAAATTCAACCTGGACAAGGAGAGCTACGAGCGACTCTTTGAGCTCTGGAGGCAGTATGACAACGCTTACGAAGCAGCTTGCAGCTGGTTGAAAGAGACCGGGAGTCGAAAGTGGGGATGCTGGATTCGATTCAGCAAGCAAGTTCGGTTCATACGGGAATTTCCTCCAACTACCGGATGTTTCCCAGTCTTCTACCTCTTCATGCTCCTGACTGGCATGGTCGCGATCATGCATTATGTCACGAAATCAGGTTGCTCAGCGGTCAAATGCTGTCGTTGGAGAAAGTCATCCAAAGATCCCATGGAACCAACTGACCTTAGCGACATCCAAAGGCGCATGAACGACCGTGCCAACTACACCACACCAGACTTTACTTCAAAGCTTGTCGCTGCCAGGAGTAGAAGTGCATCATTTGTTGAGGTGAAGATGGCATTGCTGGAAGGTTCCATGAGCTTCATGAGCTTCTTCAGATGCAAGGATGACTTTTGCTGCGATGTTGGCCACGCGTTCCTCCCGCCAGCAGCTTCTTCATGCTTCCGCCAGTATTTCCACACGAGTTTGCAAGTCTTGCTCTATATCGTTACCTCGAGCCTCGGTCACATCGCTGCCAGTGCTCTCACTTTTGCCTTTGCAACTGGCATGGTGGGAGCCCTGCTTGCCGAAGTTCGAGCAACTGTCCAGAAGAACATGCAGCTTGATCCATCGCTTCAGGTTGAAGACTGGTACACCAGCTGGCTCTCAAACATGCAGACAATTACCGTCTTGATGGATGATTTCAAGTTCTTACCTACCTTTTTCATCACGTACATGATCGGACAGGATGTAAATCGCTGGCTTCAGTGGCTGCAGACCATGTTCCGTGTTCAAGGAAGGCTACATGACGTTGCTTTGGTGCTTGCTAGTTCTTACCGGAAGGCGAGGGTCTTAGGGTCCAATATGTCCAATAATTCGGAACCCCAAAATTGATTGGCTTGCCATTGGTTTCACATGGGTTCATTGTTTGATTGTTTACTTCCAACTGCATAGACAGCAACGAAACACCAACTTCAGACGCCTTCAGGTGAACGACCAAAAGATCGGCCAGCAGCAACGAGAGATGCTTTTCAAGTGGTATCGGTATCTCAATGCCATTCACTACATGGGTTACTTCAATCTTGTCCCAAGCATTGGAACCTCTGCAACTGATGCTTTGCAAGACCTTCGCGTCGTTGGCTTGCTCACTGAGCAGGAGTGCGAGCAACTCCAATTTTCCACCGCCAAACTTCGCGACACCCTAGTCTGCTGGCTGGGTCAGCTATGGCATGAGGAACTTGAACGTGGATGGGTCCAGGATTTGGATTCGGATGTCTTCATGCGCAAAGTCTGTGAATTGCGCGGAGTCTTGGCACAGCTCAGTGACATGCAAGACCTGCGAATCAGTCAGATGGTCCGAGTCATGATGGTGGTGGTGACCAATGTCCTGTTGGGATTGGCATTGATTGGCTATCCCACCAAGATGTATGAGCAAACAACGGAGTGTTTCCAGTTCTGGCCCCTGGTTGCATCTTACCTCTACTTCATTTGCTACAGAGGAATGCTGCATGTGATGTTCATTCTGGACAAGGGTCCTTTCTATGCCAAAGGGGACTGTGTGAACGTTGACGCCTTGCTGATCAGCACTGAGCGATATCTTTTTTTGGTATTTCGTTCCCCCTTCACACAGCAGAAGGGACAGACAATTAGTTTGGAGCTCAATCAGCACATTTCAGCTGATGATGTGTAGAGTGCAAAGCCAACTACTGGAAGTCTTCACTGCGTACAGGCCCAAGGTGGTTTGACTGTCCGGCAGCCAGCGCTTTGGAATTCGAAAATTTGCCGCGCTGCAACCCATCCCATTGCACACCTGCTTAAAGGCATGCCTTTGGAATTCTTCGCTTCGGTCTTGCTGGAATTCTTCGCTTCGGTCTTGCTCATGTGTGGAAATTGGCCCAGGGATGGACAGAGTTTAGATTCAGATGTGTTAAAATCTTATCTTGTTCGAATTGATGTAGCCGTTCGACTTCTCACGCCAACCCCTTTCGAGAGCTCATCTTTGATGCAGGGTAATGGGTAACGCACATTAATGGACCACCAAGGCTCAAAATCTTCGTTTTCTCAGCGCCTCGGGCCGGCTGGTTTTGCAGGCGCGTGAAGGGGAGATAGAATCAGATAGAAGGGATAGTACGGGATAGCAAGAGATGCAGCTGGAATCAGCTGGATGTAGACCGGTTTGAATGGTGGCTCAAAGATATAAAAGAAACGTGGCATGAGATGCACAGTCATAACTTGTGCTGGATAGTACCTGATGATGCAAGGGAGACCACGCTGATGAAGCAATAGGGAGAATGTGAATGACGACAATGATGAAGAGATTGATGAAGGGAGCGATGAAGACAGTGATGAAGACAGTGATGGTGGTGCTGATGGTGATGATGGTGATGATGATGATGATGAGGAGGAGGAGGAGGATGAGGATGACGACGACGACGGTGATCATGACGATGATCATGACAATGATCATGACGATGCTGCGGTGACGATGACAATGACCGACGTGGATAACATTGATTGATCACGGCGATGGGGCGGTGGTCGGCGGTGACTTTCGCTTTGGTGATTTCAGGTGATGTTTTTTCTTTTCGGTAAACATTGGACACATTTGGTGGCAGGTTCCTCTGGAAGTCAATCTCCAGCCGGAGCTTTTGCCAATGCTTAGTGACTTACCGACGTGCCTCGGATGATCTCGGAACCAGGGATGCCACCAGAAGTCCATTCGCCCAGTCGCCGCGGTGTCAGGTCGCTTCAGATCTTGGGAGATCAAACGGAAGCTTCGTTGCGCAAGGCAGTGGTTGGCACCGCCTTCACCGTGCTTGTGATGATGCTCGCAACTTGCCACAGCTGTGTCGAAAAGCGATACATAATTCAGAGGCCTCAAAGCCGCTTTATGCAGCAATCAGATGCAATCAGCAAAGAATCACAATCAATGCCTCAATAAAGTAAATCACAATGAAGATCAATGAAGTAATTATGCATAGAAGTCTAAATAACAGTAAATAACATTATATATATATATAAATAAATAACCATAAATTACATATGGTAAACATCTTTTGCCGCCAGTGCTCATGTGATACAGGATGCAGGTTTCTACTAGATTCTACCACTGTTTGGGGAGAATCATATGTGCAAAGCTGACAGATTGGAATGGTTTACATTGATTTACCCATTTTTTCAGCAACTCGAGGGGTGCTCGTGGCCATGTGGTAATGTGCCATTTGCACTGGTGCCCATGAGGGTGCATATATCTTATATATATATATATATATCAGATTGAATGAACATCAATTTCAAAGCACTTCATGCCTTTTTTGCATCCGCGATTGAGTCGCCCCATCTGAAATTCCTATGGAAATTATGATCACAGAACCATACAGAACCCTACATTTGATACATTTGGCCCATGGTTGACATCACAAAATCGATTGATCCTTGGCGGGTTTTGGCCGAATGCGCCTCCGGTGCTAAGGCAGTTGTGGCAATGGACAGTTTCCGAGCATGGAAGGCACCTGTAGCTCCAGGAGAGAAACCATCTCCCCTTGAAATGTCTCCAGAATATGGTGCTGATGGTGCTGGTATGTGCTGGTATGTGCTGGTCATTAAAAAATCCAAAAAAAAAAAACATGGGGAGATATTCAAAAAACATATTGGAGATATCAGCTACATTCAGTTTAGCATATGGAAGTCGTCGCGGTACCTTATTGCATCGGCAGGACATTTGAGCAAATTGCCATGAACTCAGTGCAAAGGCAATGCTCTACACCACATATGAGAAGAAACTACCACTACCGTCACCCTCAAGTCAATGATCAGGTTGTCCTCACAGTGTTGTCCCCGCATCCCAAGGTTGAATGGATCAGCTTCAGAAACATCTACTGCAGCTCGAATTGGTGAAGTCATCTCAATGCTTTTCGTCAGCACTGGACATTGGCCAGCACACATGCTGTCCACGATGAATTCGGCATGTATGTGACTGACTTGTTCAACTTGTTTGCGGGATGAACGGTTTGTGTATAGATTTGATTCCATTTGTACTTTTTTACTGCGGACAGTTCCTCAACTCCCTCTATCTCCTTTTCCAGGAAAAGATTAATATATGATCACACTCAACTTAATATTGTGAGAGTTAAAGCTGCAAGCTCTTCCAAGGGCGCATTTGGTTCTGATGGTTCTGTCTCAAGAGCAGGGGCACCAGATGACCGTGTACAATATACAATGTCCTTATGCAATCCATTGTATGCATACAGCTACCAGCCTTGCTTCCCTTTCTTGCCTTCGTCTTTGGCAGCCAGACTTTGGCAGCCAGATGCTGAGGGTTAGTCCTGCAATATGTATATATATATATATTTATATTTAATATAGATGGATAGATTAGATTAGATTAGATAGATAGATATATAGGTGAGAGAGGTTCAAACAATTTCAAGCCCTACCTTGAACGATGATCCCACTCAGGCTCATTGCTTTCTAAGACAGTTTAGAACACTTTAGGAATTATAATGGATTATACTATATCATTATATAGATATAACTATATCAGTTCCTTTCAACTCCTTGAACCCAAAATGTCATCACATATTCCCCAAAATCACCTTCAGCATAATCAATACGATAGAGTATGGCATGATATACAGTGATACAAACACCATGCCGATAACTGTGATTATGTTGATATTGTGTGCGTGTTTTGTTCGGCTCTGGCAGCTGTTTCTTGGTTCAGGTTATCCTGGACGAGTATCGATACTTTGGCGGGAGTGCAGGACAATGCCAGAGAATTTCAGCGACCAGGGATATCCAGGGAGTTATTTCATGTTATTTCTGCCGTGGTAATGCCACTTTCGTTGACCACGCTGCAGGAGAAGGAGCCATCTCGACATGAAGATGCTGGACAGTGGCAGCCTCAGATGACTTCATGTTGTTTCATGTCGATGTTTGTGCTGTGAAGTCTTTTCCCGACCACGCATACTTACGTAGAACATCATAGAATTACATATATAATCACACAATATAATATTACACACACGTATGTGTAGACATATATATATATATATTATAAGATGTCCACATATACATATCCATAACATATATATATATATATTTATTTATCTATTATTTATTTTTATTTATTTATTTATTATATACATATGTTATTATGTATGTGCTATTATGTATTCATAATTATCTATATAATCTCTATATATGTATGTATATATATATATATGAGTGTGTGTTTGTGCATCACTGCCGGTGATCATGGTTTGGCAGCATTGTTTGGCTGAGTTTTCCACAACGTGACTTCTTGTGTGGCTGAGGCCACAGCCAGCTCAACAGCCCCAGGTCGCACCAGCACAGCAGACTACTTCCCAACAGCCGCAGGCGCAGGTTGCCTCGCGTGCGGATGTCTCTCAGTCCGAGCAGCTCAAGGAGCAACAGCAGCAACTGCAACAGCAGCTGCAACAGTTGCAGCAATTGCAACAATTGCAGCAGCAGCATTTGCAACAGCATTTGCAACAACAGATGAGGCCAGAGACGCAAGGTGGCGGCAGCCAAGGTGGCCAAAGCGGCCAAGCGGCCAAGGCACAAGCAAAGTCGCAGCCAAAGGCTCAACCAGTGTCTAAGAGTCAACCCCAGGCCAAGGCGCAGCCTCAGCCAAAAGCCCAAAAGGATGGTAAAAATCAAAAGGAGCAAAGTGTGCAGAGCACACCCAGCGCCAAAGCTGCAGCCAGTGCCGGACATGCTGCAGCCAAATCGCCCCCACCCGCATCCAGCCAGACCGTGGTTGAAAGACGGCCATCGCAGTCACTGAAAGAGGATGCAAAGACCAAAAAGAAGGAGAAGGATGTTGCAAAAGATGCAGCCAAAGAAACGGAGCACTCGCCGCAAGCCAAGGCGCCAGCACTCAAACGCCAGGAGGAGGAGGAAGAGCGAAAACGTGAGGAGCGACGGGAACGAGAGGAGGATCGGCGTAGAGAAGAGGAAGCCAAAAAGGAAAAGAAAGAAAGACTTTCTGCCGAGGAGACAGGTAAAAAGAAAGAGAGCAAAGCAAAAGCTGCACAGCCATCAGCAGCTCCATCGGTCGAGAAGAGCGCTGGTTTCTCCAAACAGCCGCCCACACATCCTCCTGTGCAACCCTCGCCACAGCCAGTCCAGTCTGAAAAGAAGCTTCCGCCGCAACCGCAACCACCAGCACCACCTTTGCAGCCACCTACCCTGCCACCCGCACAGCCACCGGTGCCAACGCAGGCACATCCAGCACATCCGGCAGTCCCTCTGAATTCCATGTGGGCAGATCACAAACCAAGTGTCAACCTGGACTTTGCTGGCCCATCAAGTCAGACAGCGATGCAAGAGGATTCAACGGCGATGGCACTTCCACCTCCGCCTTCAATCCCACCACCACCAGCACCATGCGGCAACATGGCAGGGGTGAAGCCAAAGGCCATCAGCCCTGCTCCAGCTTCTGAGATGGATCCAAGCATGAGGAACATTCAGCGCCCTCCTCCCGGAATCGATCTTGGCCTGTTGTTAACAGGACCAGCTCCAGGTTTGTCCCCACAACCTGTGTTGCCACCACCCGGCATTGCCAAGCCCTTCCCCAACGACTCTACAAGTCTCGCGCCAGCAGAAGCAGCAGCTGTTTCAGCTGTGCAAGGGCTGGGAACGGACAGCTTTTTTGGTGGAGCGCCTGGTTTGGACTTTGGAGGATTGAATGGTTTGGGAGCCATTGGCTTCCCCCCTGGCATTTCTCCGAAACAACCTCATGGACACAGGTTGCTTCAGCGTCCAGGCTCGATTCCAGGTATGCCAGGGAATTCGATGCCAGAGGAGTTCTACCCGCAGACGATGCCAGATACTTCCAATCGCTTGGGGATGTTTCAAGAAGCGCCACCTGCGAGTTCCTCGCTATTCTCTTCGCCATTTGGCATGTTTGGCCCTATTGGCTCGCACAGTCGTGGCCTGAGATTGCTAAGGCTTGCGGCTTGCCCTTGACCTACAGAAACTCCGACTAACCGGCACAGCAGACTCCAAAGCTGAGTAATTGAGCAGGACAAGAGCACATTGACTTAGCTAAACTTAGAACCTGAATCGGATTTGCAAAAGGGCAGTTCAAACATGTTCAAACAATGAATTTAGTTCATTGATGTTCATTGAATTTCGATGCTCAGGCTATGGCGATGGAAATCCAGATGGGAATGACTTTTTGTCTGATTTGCGATCAGACTCTAGGAGGATGGACAAGTGAGTTGAGAAGCAATACGAATGATCCTCAGTGTCTTGGTCGAAGCTTGTGGAAAGTTGCCAGCATGTTGGTCACATTTTTTCGCATCATTTCAATCATTTCACATTTTTTCACTATTTCCTGCTAGCGTCATAATCCTGCGATGCTGCCATGGATCAAATCCTAAGGTGCGTTGGTGTCACTGACTGAGATTGCGAAAAGCACGCAGGCTACTCGAGAGTCTCAGGACACCCCTCCAGTAGACACTGCCCAGAGGCGTAACGCCATCCGCAGAAAAGAATCCGGTTTGCTGCTGTCCGCTTTTGCTTGGGGTGCTGGTTCTCAGTGGTACAAGCTTTATAGTATGGGATATGGGATATAGGTGTGCATATAGAATATCCACATTTGTCTGTTTTGCATTTGCAGCCGCATCTGAATTTACAGTTTTATTTAGATTTGTATCTATATACATGTGATGATTGTGATTGCAACCATGGCACAAGGACGTGAGTGCGTTCGCGCTTGATGTTCTGGCTGGCGACTGCAGTTCGCACGTGTATGGATTGTAGTCCTGCCGTTCTGAAGCTTTCAAATGATGCAGCGATTCAATGTGATTCAATGATTTACATGTCAGGTGGTTCGACTGACGATGCTTTGGACGGCTGCCTGTGCTCCGAGTCAAAAAGAACGAAGAGACCTGCAGATCCGGGAAGCCGTCAGGACAAGCGCTGCTTCGATCTGTTTCTCGCTGCGAGCATTGCCAATAGCAGAAGCTGAGGCTGAGGAAGCTGAGACAGTGCTGCATGCATAGCACCATGTTTGCAACCGTGACTTACCCCGCATTGACATCCTTGTCACTGGCTCAAGCAAATAATCAGTTTGGGAATCGGGTAGAAACAGACACGAATACAGTAGGCTCACCCAACACTGTTCGCGAGGCCAGCGCAATGGGTGTTCCAGCATTTTTTGGTGTCCGGTTGCAGTTGAAAGCAGATAGATGTGCTGGAACTCGTTCCCTTTGTTCATATTTGTGCCAAACCCGTTTTGTGTGTTCCTCCTAGTTGATACTATCCGACTACCAACGTTTTGCCTCTTCTTTTGTTGATTACCTTCCCGGATCTATCTATATTATCTATATAACTAGTCTTATATTTTATCATATTTTATCATTTGTCTTTTCTGTTCTTTTCTATCGTATCTTGTCTTATCTTATCTTAGCTTATTTTTATAATCTATATAATCTTATTTTATCTAATCCAGTCTGATCTAATCTGATCTAATCTGATCTAATCTTTAGTCTGAAATCTTTAATCTTCGTCTTCGTCTCATCTTATCTTATCTATAGATCTGTCCGTTTCGTGCTCTATCTCTCTCTTCTCTTTGTGTCTTCTCTCTCCGTACCCAGAAACAATTTCCAAGCCTTCCAAGCCTTCCAAATCGATCATCACTTTGCTATAGATTCTATAGATTGCGGTGTCTTCAGTTCCAACTCTGCCATTGTGGATTTTTCAGCTAGACCCGCAGCTGCCGCAGCTCCCAGGGGAGAGGCCTCATGGCTGAAAACGGGAATGGCGCCATCAGCAAGCTTGGCACCAAGCGATGGCAGAATTCAAAAGCTACCAAGACATTGAGAATCATTGAGAATTGAGAAAGTATGAAAGTCAAGTAAAAACATGTAAAAACAAATGTGAGGCAGATTGCGGCAGATTAAGTCTATTCTACACGATATGTATGTGTATATGATTGTATACTGTATACCTGTATGTATATATATATATATTTATTATTACTATTATTATTATTTACGTCATGCATTCATTTAATTAAGTACGTGTATGTGTGTGTGTGTGCTGTCTTTCTTGTTTAAGGAATTCTGAAACTGTAGTGACTGTAGTGTCCAAGCTGTTGCGCAGCCTCCATCCTATGATGCATTTCTCGTGGAGGATTGGCGACATGTCTGAGCTGCTGGGGCTGTCCAAACTGCAGGCAGGGACCGTGCTGCGATCGACGGCTCGACACATTGGAAATGTAGAGATGGAATGGTGGATTGGAAGTCAAAACCAAATAGGACAGCAACAATCCAGCTTATTGAAGGCTTATTGGTCTTGCCCCGATGTTGGCCTGCGCGTGGGTCTTTGGCATCTCATTCTGTTGCTCCCCCCCGAACATTTCTTGTGGTTGTTCTTCTGTATCGCCTGCAGGAAGTTCTTAAAAATCTTGCTGACGATCAGGCAAGGTCGATGTTGTGGCAGTGACATGGTATTATGATGATTTATGATGTATATGATATTCGCATCGTGCTGTGACACGGTACATACGGCCTCACACCTGCCATAGACTGTAAGACCCATATCGCTCTTGCACACTTCTGCTGGTCCAAAACAGTGTTGCAAAGTTTGGTCTTGCAGGCCAAAGTGGAAGTCGTTCAGAAACAGCAGGTGCTCCCTCAATGATGTCATTGGGCAAAGCACTCAACTTAAGTGACGTTTTTTTGATATCTTTTGATATCTTTTGATCATTTGTGCATTTTAATGCATTTACCCATGCATGATTCATGACATATGTCAGGATGAACAAGTGTCCACGGCCCTCCAGCGCCTAGCTGTGGTGGAGGCACTTGGCCTGTGGCGGGGTTCCCCAACGGTGCTGTATATGAATAACATTGAATAATCTTTGTAGACCGTTATAGTACCCGATTGAAAGTTGATAGCAATTTCTCAATTTTTCTCAGGCAGTCCGGATGATTTGATTAGTGTTGGTTTAGAGTTTAGACGATTTGAGAAGTGGCTCTGGTGCCAGGCTACCTGTGAAACTCTCCCGCAGATTCAGCATCAGATTCAGGCGGTCCAGGAGCAGACAAAGGCGAACAGTTGTGCATTCTTGTGCTTCTTTAATCTTCTTTGCATGATTTAGATTGAGGAATTGAGGACTCCGAAAATCCATATCAGTTCAGTTGTTGTATTGTTGTTTCTTATTCTTGCATGTTTGATCATGTTTGGATAGTATGCCTGAAACAGGCCTTGGAAGAGGCCACCCGTCAGCTTCGTGAACAAGAGGTGCCTGAGTTTGAGGCAAACATTGGAACACCCGGAATTCATTTCAGGGAAAATCCAAGAACATCCAAAAACAAACACAACACGGGACACACCGGCCTAATTATCATTAATTATCCTGGTTTCATGATCCCTCTATGTTCAAGCGCCCAAAAATCCACGTTCCCTTCAGCCATCTTCAGCCTGTCCCGGGTTAGCGGTCTCCAGGCTCAGCTCTCCAGTCAGGCGGCACGTCTTACTCTTTTGGAGAAGCAGGTGCTGCACTGGGAGTTACTTGGGGCCAGTGGCGACACACCCTTTATATCAATTTGTATGGTGTTATACCATGTTATACCGAATTTTGCATATTTTATGTATGGAATTGATTGCAATTGTGCATATGCGCGTATGTAATTGTAACATACAAGAACACTTATGTATTACACACACGCACAGATATATATATATATATATGTATATCTATATCTGTGCGTGTGTGATATATATATATACAAATATGTGTGTGTGTGTACGTGTGTTGGTGGGGGGGAATGGTTGTGTGCAGCAGTTTTAAGACATCGCATGCGTGTGTGTGTGTGTGTGCGCGCGCGCGCGCACGCATGTGAATGTCATTGAATGTGCGAGTGTAAGTAGGACCATGTTTTGATAATGCGGATGATGGTGGTGATGATGATGATGATGATGATGATGACGATGATGATGATGCTGATGCTGATGCTGATGCTGCTGCTGCTGATGATGATGATGATGATGATGCTGATGATGACGAATGACGATGACGATGATGATGATGATGATGATGATGATGACGATGACGATGACGGCGATGGTGACGGTGACGGTGATGATTACGATGATGCGGGTGAAAAAATGAAACTGTCATACACTGACTCTTAAATCACAACCAAGGTCCTAGCAGCTTTGATGTTGAAAACATTGGGTCCTGGTAGCGGGTGGCACTCGCCCTGTATAATTTGAGGTGAATGACCGCTTGGCATCCTTGGAGAGCAAGGTGCAGCTGGGTCTCATTCAGTTTGGTTTCGAGCACCAGTTCCAAAGGTCTTGAGCACACAGTCCTATTGGGGAATGTGATCGAATGAGAGGGTGTGGATCTTTATCCCGACATGATTGTGAGTCATGGTGTTTTGCTTCTATATATTCCCACCTTGATAGGATTTGGAGAGTATGCGTAGATATCCTACTAGTTGGTCGCTAAGACCAGGCCCAGATAGAGCTTCTGCTGCCATTTCTTCAGGTGGTCCGCTTGGAAACCAGCGAAGAGAACCACTATACCGAGGCAGATCAAGCAGCCAATCTTTTGCATCACCGAGGAACCTGGTTTATTCTTCAAGCCGGCAGGTGAAAGCTGCTTTGGTCAGTATCCGCGAGGGTTGGGTGCTCAATCAACTTGTGGTGAAGTTTTTTGTGTTTTTTGTTGTGTCTTCTTTTGTTTCCATAATTACATGTTCAACCCCCCGTATCTCTGATCATTGTTTGAGGAAACGAGCGTGCTGCTGAAGTTCAAGCCCAAGAGGATAGCACTGTCGTACACTTACTTATACTCGTATCATTGAGTATTAGCCTCGGCTAACCGTTTCCATCATGATTCAATATGACTCATCAAACTTATATAATCAAAGTTCTATCTCATTCCAAAGCATCCAAAACTAATTGTTGTGGTTGTTGTGGTTGTTGTGGTTGTTGTGGTTGTTGTGGTTTTTGTGGTGGTGGTTGTTGTTGTTGTTGTGGTGGTTGTGGTTGTGGTTGTTGTCGTTGTCGTTGTGGTTGCTGTTGCTGTTGCTCCGGCTTTCGCTTTGCAACCTTTACATTCGACATTCAAAGTTCAAATTATGAAGGATGCTCGTCGCAAAGCACGAGAAGAAGAGGAGCGTCAGCAAGAAGAGGCTGGCACGGCAAGTGGAGGTGAAGGGCTAGTAGTGTTGTGAGGCTTCACCAACCAATGCAACTATTTATAGAACAGCCCTCAGAAAGGACACCGGCAAAATAGATATCAGTGAAGCTAATCAGAACTGAGCTGAAGGAAATGACAACCAAAACATCAAAGTTCCACGACTTAATGTTGCAGAATGTGGCCACCCAGCTGTGATTTATCATGATTCGATTTGACTCGCACTAGTCGCCCGGTTTTGTCGCGGAATTGCTGTGCTGCTGCGGAGGCCGCTGAGGAACAACGTCGCCGTGAGCGAGAAGCATTGGAAGTTCAGCTGGCCGAGCAGGACTCGGCAGAGGGTCTTGGAATCTAATGGCGTGTAGGTTCATCATGTAATTAAGATTATTGGTTAAGCGTGGTTAAGCAAAATTAACTATATAAGCATGTTGGCCATTTTTTGTAGACAAGCCTGGGGCAAAAGCCATCACAATAGTCTGAAGGTGAGCTGAGCGCGCTCATGGATTATAATTTTGGCTCACAGGGCTGCGGTAGCACCCAGAAACGAAGCATGGGCCATTGCCACTGGGCAGTTGTTGTGCCAGCCCCAGAGTGGACGTTGACAATTTCTAGATCTACCTTTGGTTGATTCTTTGCAAGCTGGGTTGGGTCTGGTCAAAACCGACTCCAACGAATACTTTGATATGCTTTGGCCCCCTTGAGTCATGGGCACGCGGATGGGGTAAGGTGCTCTTAACTTGCCGCCTGGTGGCTGCCTTGTCATCAGATCGCACGATACTTTTCAGCAAGCTTCAGTGCAGTCCCATGTTAGTTTCTTGCAAACCAGGATGCTAGACTCTGGGATTTTTTTTTGGGTCAAATAAACTATATATATATATATATACGATTCGCGTATAATATATATATATATTATAACAATAATAATAGGATGAATGATAATGATGATGATGATGATGATGATGATGATATTATATATGTATGTGTGTGAAATTGTGTGAATATAATTGAATATATGTCCGTGATCATATCAGAATATGACAGTCAAAATGCATCAGATGACAGTATATGTTTATATAAATCATTGCGCACAAAGTGCCGCGGACTTGATTTCCGGTTCGTTAGTGTCGAACTGTTGGGTGTCCTGACCATTTGGTATTTTCCAGTCACTGGGTCAAAGCATGCCAAGGAAATGGAGAGACAATGAGCCTAAAGATCAGGCTCAAATTGTAGGGGGCGGGGTAGGCCAACACAAGAAGCATGTCTTACAGTATACTTCACTAGGACGAAAGTTTTTTCCCGCTCGTTGTTTCAGAACAAAGCAGTTTATATCTCTTTGCGGATCAGCGTTCTGCTTCGGATAGCCATTTCGCGTGGCCTGCGTGGTAGATCGAATTTACTAGCCGTTTTAAAATTCAAATTATTGTGGTCCGTGGTCCATCAAGCCAAGTAGAAAGTTCTTAAGTAGAAACTTCTTTTGTCAGAAGAAGTTTGAAAGTCTAACTTCCGTGTACCGGATTTTCAGAAAACACTATCACCACTATCACAATATCACCAATATCACGAAATCACCACTATCACAGCATCACCACTATCACAAAATAACCACTATCACAATCACAATATCACCACTATCACAAAATTACCACTATCACAATATCACCACTATCATAATATCACCACTATCGCAACATCACCGCTATCACGATATCACCACTATCACAATATCATCACTATCACAATATCACCACTATCACAACATCATCACGATCACAACATCACCACCATCACTATATCACCACTATATCACCGCTATACCACCGCTATATCACCACTATATCCTATCACGGTATCACCACTATATCACCATTATCACAATATCACAACTATCACAAAATCACCACTATCACAAAAACACCACTATCACAATCACAATATCATCACTATCACAACATCACCGCTATCACAACATCACCACTATCACAACATCACCACTATCACAAAACCAGCACTATCACAATATCACCACTATCACAAACATCACCACTATCACAATATCACCACTATCACAATATCACCACTATCACAATATCACCACTATCACATGTCTCGCACGAAAGCTCCGTTTTCACATCTTCCAGTTTCACTTTTTTGGGGCAAGTCTCGCACGATAGCTTCGTTTTCACATCTTCCACTTTCAGATTTTGAGGGAAGTCTCGCAGTAAAGCTTCGTTTTCACATCTTCCACTGTCAGATTTTGAAGGAAGTCTCACACGAAAGCTTCGTTTTCACATCTTCCACTTTCAGATTTTGAGGGAAGTCTCGCACGAAAGCTTTGTTTTCACATCTTCCACTCTCAGATGTTGAGGGAAGTCTTGCACGAAAGCTTTGTTTTGACATCTTCCACTTTCAGATGTTGAGGGAAGTCTCCCGCGAAAGCTTTGTTTTCACATCTTCACCTTTCACTTTTGGATACTTTTGGAGGGAAATCTCGATAATCTCGCACGAACTGCGTTTTTGAAAGCTAGCGGATGCACGAAATGTCGTGTTTTGCAGGAGAAAACGTGTCTCGGAAGATGGATGGGGAAGCTTGTCCAGCAGACGGGTGCGGAACACGCTCGTTTAAACGGGATCATGGTCGGATCGGCCGCGCAGTGGAATTGCCAGTTCAGGCCTCGTTTTCCAATGTTCTTCGACTTAATTCTATTGTGTTTCGCAACTCGGCCTGGTTTCTCTGTGTAAAAGTTTGCTCTGTGTAGAAGCTTTCTGTGAATAAAAACTTCCTTAACTTTGTGTAAGAGCTTGCTCTGTGTAAAAGCTGGCTTTGTGTAAAAGTTTGCAGTGTGTAAAAGCTTCTGTGTGTAAAGGATTCTCTGTGTGAAAGCTTGCTGTGTGCAAAAGCTTCGCTGTGTAGAAGCCTTTCTGTGTAGGAGCTTCTCTGCGTAAAGGCTTGCTGTGTGTATCCCAATGCACCCATGGATCAGAGACCGCGCTAACAACTACTCTGAACCTTTCGTGTCGTCTGCATGGAAAAAGCTGCTGCGGTGTTACTGGATTTGGGAAAGAGATTGAATGGCAAGTGTAAGAAAAAACCGATGAGAGATCAGAAGGTGTGACATGAGATGAACAACCATGAAATACCACAAGGGGGCAAGTTGTTTTCGAAGGAAATGAAAGTACATCAAATAAGCTGACATAAGATTACATGAGCTGCGAAGAGCTGAGATGAGGTGAAAAAACTCAGAAGACATGAGATGAGTTGAGATGATGGGATGACGCAGACTGCGGTGACAGTGGGATGCAATGAGCAATTTCCAAGATAAGCTGCGATGCGATGAGATCAGATGAAATGAGGCAAGATTCAACATTCGAAAGACATGGCATCAGATTGACAAGTAAAGAGCCTGTTGCCACGAAGCACAAGAGGCTTGCCTGTCACCTATAAGCACGGCCTTTGCTCCGCTCTCTAGGCCATAAGGGTTTCAAGTTTGAAACTTCCGCCCCCGGCTTGCCCGGGAACTACTTGTAGGAGTCTATGGGGAAAGGATGTTGGAAAGCCCGAGGGGAAAAACTTTTATCATGGCGGCGTATTCTGTGCTATTTTTGCCATAGCCCGGCATCAAAGTTACATCCGGTCTATCTGCGCTGGCCAACCTCAAGGTTGAAAGAAGTTTTCTGAGTTTTAAGTCTGGGTGTCTTGGATGCAGTGCATCGCAGTTTTGCTGGGATGTCTTGTCTGGTTTTGATCAGCCCAAAACGTTGGGGAACTAACCATAGTGCAACACAGCTGTCAAGCACTATCAACAGCTCAGGTATCCCAAGTCCACCAGCGAGGATTGGGAGGCCAGGTTGCGCTCGTCACACCCTGCAGCTGCTTTGGCCTTGACACATGTTCCGACTGTTCCAAGTTCAGATCAGGCAGACCTCATCAAGGATGGGGATTCTGACGGAGGTGCTTGGGAGGCTCGGGTGGACTACGACAACGCTTTGCATGGAGCTGAGTGGTTTGACCATGCGTGAAGGTTTCTTGCAGCTGCAGTAGGGGATACCTGGACCTCACTTGGTGGCCTAGGAAACAGCATCATGACCTCAAAGAAGAGGCGCTGCGAATGTTTGCTGCACTTGGACTTTTCATGGCACTTGGGCCAGCTGAAAATTAGTGTAGGCGCAGAAATTTCTGGAGAAGTCCCAGATTGCCGAGAAAGAGTACAAGGACGCGGACATTTGCATCTTAACATCATGAAGATTCAGTACTATTGTGCTGATTGAAGATTCTGGAGCACGAACTTGGCATGGGGCCAACAGAATTGCTGCTGTGGTGTATTTCAATTGGGTCAACATTGCCATTCAATGGTCCAGTGCCCCTGTTTGTCTCCCAAGATTCTCAACACATCGTTTGTTGTGTCAATCCTCGTCGCAAAGGACGCCCAAGTGAAGGAGCTGAAGCTCCGAGACAAAATGGTCAAGGCTTCGTGCTGCGATGTGCCACAGTTATTCAATTGGCAGCGGGTGAGTCCACGAGGCCTTTGGTCTGGCCAGACAGCAGAAGAATGGGATTGAAGCCCTGGAAAATAAGAAGACTTATCAAGAGAAGGCCCTCAAATGGGTCCAGGACTGCAAAGTGATAAATGCATAGCCGCATAGCTCAATGGAATTTGAATGAATTGGATGCCATTCTTCTCCTGTGATCTTTGTTCACCGGCACATGTTGTAGGAAGACGTCAAGTACGGCCAGAGCCAGGTCCAAAAGTACGAGCAGGACAGCTGGATATGTTGGACTTTGCTGGACTTAGATGGATGGCGGCAGGTCATCCTCCATTAATTCCTGCACCTTGCCTTGCAGGACATCAAAGAAGTTGAGGCTGACATTGGTATGCTGAAGCAGAGGACGGGCTGCAAGCAATTCTAGACAGGTGGAAGAATTGATGCAATCTTGCTCTCTGATCTAACTGGGTGCGAGGATACGCAACATCACGGAGGCTTGATGGCGGTAATCATTGAGGGCAAGGGCTCAAGCTGCCGCGTTGCACTTAGTCATGTGCACATTTTGGCAGTCTTGCTGCATGTTGCTGCGTTGCTCCTCAGATTGTTGCAATGCTGAGATCTGGCTGGCTCAGGTTCCGAGGTCCCATCCTGTTCATACGTTGTTCATTTGAGCCGCGCTATGTGGCTTGGAGGCCTAGTTTGCCAAAAGTGAATGGAATTGGAACATGTTGGAACAACACTGAATTTTTGAGCATTTTTAAGCAACTACCATCCAGTTGCCAAGATTCCCTGCACACCTGCAGGCCATGGTGCATAAACTATCATAAACTCATGAACTATCACAAAGTGTTGGAAGTAAGTGAGATGATCACAGTCCAAAGGGCCTCCAGCCTTCCGTGCTGCCATTGAGATGGCAAAGTGCCGTGGAGCTTGAGCACGGCCAAACAAAAACCGCGTCAGTGCTGCGGTGTTTTGAGCCAAAGCCGACCATGTGATACCCTGTCCCAGGCCTGTCCCAGGATCCTGCAAAACTGTCGCGCAAAAGGGTTTTTGAGATCTTTTGCCATCTACTTCTCTTTCTTGTCCTGGCAGCATGAACCATCAGTACTGTAAAGATCTGTAAAGATCTGTGAAGCAGGAGTTGGAGCGACAGAAGAAGGAACAGGAGGAGGAAGAGCGCCGCAAGAAGGAGCTCACCGAACGCCAACAGAAGCAAGACGAGGAAGGGCATGGATGGCCTGGGTAGGGAGGGGAATGGGAGGGGCTAGGTGGATGAGGTGGGGCACCATCGCTGTAGCGTTTTTGCATGGTGCAATGCTGCAAGTCCGCGTTGCCATTTCCAAAGATGGGAACGTAGCATGGTACATAGATGACTCTTGCTGCTGGGATGGAAGGAACTCGCTGCCAAAAAGGCAGCTGCTGCTACTGCGGCCGCGGAGCTGGCGGCTGCGGAAAAGGCTGCAGCAGAAAAAGCTGCAGCAGAAAAAGCTGCAGCAGAGAAAGCTGCAGAAGCGGAGGTGCATGAATATGACAAATGGATAAAAATGAAGGGATACCGGGATATCCTGGGTCACGATCTTCAATCTTGAAACTTATGGGTTCTCTGGGGGAGCAGGGCACTGCTCATTTTGAATCTTGTGACTTGGGACATGTTTTGTTGTTGAATTTTCTTGAGCTGTGAAGCCTTCATTCGGTCATCGGGAGCTCGCACTCTTCAGGTGCCGGCAACAGAGACCGCAGAACCTGCTGAAGTCACCCAAGCCCCTGCACCAAGTGCGGGAACTCAGATGCTTCCTGCCAAGATTGGTTGGAAAAAGATGGGACCCACAATGACCCACAACATTCAAAGGTAGTGAACGGCCGTTTTCGTCACCTTCGAGTGTTGATTGGTATGACCCAGTGGTGCTTTTTAGATGAATATTTCATGAAATTTCTACACAATTACACAGTTTCTGCGCACACCATAGCTTTCTCAATCCGAATCCATTTGTGTGGTTTCTGTAGTTGCTTGAATTCAGTAGCTGGATTCTCTTAGTGACAGTTCTAGCTTGGCGGCCGGAATGCTTGGTGTTGTCTCAAAAGGCAATCCTTTGAAGCGGCTCACTCCGGCCTTCACCTCAGACACCTTCAGCTGTACTGAGTAGCGGCAAGCAGTCAGCTGTGTGCCATGATGAAATCTTCGGAAGGCACAGAGGAATCAGCACAAGCTTTGCAAGAAGAAGTTGAAAGAGATCGAAGCCCTTCAGGCGCCGGCCAAGTTTGTGAAGCTAAAGGGAACATGAGATGCGAAGCAAGACCTTAGATATTTCGATGAACCGGATTCAAATCCATCCAACCCTGCTTTGTATCAGCAGCGGGTTGTGTGGCCACTGAGTTCAAAGATCAAATGTCGGTCCGCGGACAGCTTCACAAAGCTGCACATTATCATACTCTTCAACATGTTCCAACTGCTGCCGTGGGTGTAATGGGACAACCTCTTTGATCAGTTTGGGTGTCTTGAGAAGTGCTTCCTAACCATGGTATAACCATGGCACAAGTCCCCGGACTCGGTCATCCCGGATACCTCACATAAAGGAGGGTAAATTAATTTGGGATTTTTTTTTTTTTTTGGGGGGGTATTTTTTTTTTTTCCCTCCTCTCCTGGTGGCTTCTGTGGCTCCTGGTGGCTCCTGGTGGCTCCTGGTGGCTCCTGGTGGCTTCTGGGGCTCCTTGTGGCTCCTGGTGGCTTTTGCGGCTCCTGGTGGCTCCTGGTGGCTTCTATGGCTCCTGGCTCCTAGAGCTCCTCGCTCCTATGGCTCATTTATCATCTATCGATCAATCTATCAGTGAAGCATGTTCACCAGGTGCATGTTGTGCATTAGATACACCTTGAGTATCTATCTATCTATCTATCCATCTATCTATCTATCTATCTGTCTATCTATCTGTCTATCTATCTATCTGTCTATCTATCTATCTAACTATCTATCTGCCTATCTATCTATCTATCTATCTATCTATCTAACTATCAAACTATCTATCTACTTGATTCTATCTATATCTATCTATGTCTATCTATATCTATATCTATCTGTATCTATCTATTTCTATCTATATCTATCTATATCTATCTATATCTATCTGTATCTATCTATATCTATCTGTATCTATCTATATCTATCTATATATGTATATATTTATCTATATATCTATATCTCTATATATATATATCTATATATCTCTATATATTTCTATATATATCTATATGTATATATATCTCTATATATCTCTATATATCTCTATATATCTCCATATATTTCTGTATATATATATATATTTATATCTATAGTTATATCTATATATCGATATACCACTATATATCAATATATCTGTATATATCTATATATCTATATATCTATATATCTATATTCCTATATTCCTATATCTTTTAATCTATATATTTTTAAATCTATATATCTTTAAATCTATATATATCTATATATATCTATCTATCTATCTATCTATCTATCTAAAAGGTTTGCATTATCATCCGGATGATATTCAAACCCCAAGCCAACCCTGAACCAAAGCTTATATAAAGAGATCTTAAACCAACTCGATGATAACATCAAATGAAACTATTGTGCATCGTTGTGCCTTAATCTACATTCCACATGTTTCCAAGGTGCATGTCGTGTAGTATATACACCTTAACTTGAGTATCACATTCAACCCAGCACCTTGCATGTGAAAATAGGTGTTTCCAATCTGCTTTGGGGGGGAGGCGCTGCGCCCTCTCCCCCAATCCCCCCCCTCCCGCTTTTTTTTATTTAAATTCAAACTTGCACACATTTCAATACACTAGTTTGGTTAGACTATATATATATATTTATATTGTATATATATATATATACATATGGTTGTTTATATACACAGCTTTCATCCCAATACATTGTAAATAATCATGTGCATGCATATGCGTCCACAAAAAATAGTTATTTGTATGTGCATGTTGTATCCCAAAATAAACTGTAAATAATCATGTGCATGCATATGCGTCCACATAAGTATAGTTATTTGTATGTACATATTGTATCCCTAAATAACCCCTAATCCAACCCTAAACAAACCCTAAACAGACTCTAAACCAGCCCTAAAGAAACCTTAAAACCAACCCTAAAACCAAACCCGGCAGATATATTGATTACACTTGTAAATACATTGATCTACATATGCATATAGTCATGATTAGTCATGCATGTATACCTACATCTATCTATATCTATCTATATCTATCTATATCTATATATCTATCTATATCTATCTATATCTATCTATATCTATTTATATCTATCTATATCTGTATCTATATCTACATCTATGGCTGTATCTATATATCTATATATGTATATAATTATCTATATATCTATACCCCTATATATATATATATCTATATATTTCTTTATATTTCTATATATCTCTATATATCTATATCTATTTATATATATATATATATACATATTTCTATATATCTATATCTATATCTATATATGTATATATATACATATATCTATATATCTATATATCTTATTTATCTATATATCTATATATCTATATATCTATATATCTATATATCTATATATCTATATATCTATATATCTATATATCTATATCTATATATATATATCTATATATCTCTATATATATATATTTATATCTATATATCTATATACCACTATATATCTATATATCTGTATATAAGGTTGCCTGGGAAGACGCTTTAGCTGATTCTGAGTGGACGCTACTGCTCCTCCTCAGCCCTCTCCCCCATACCCCCTTCCTGTTTTCTTATTGAGGAAGGAAAGAAAATGTTAGGAAAATGATGAAAAACCAAAGAAAAAGTAATGGAAAACGAGGAAAAGTGAGGGGAGTGAAGGAAAACCAATGAACAACTAAGAAAAAATAATTGAAAACGAGGAGAAAGTGAGGAAAATGATGAAAAACCAAGGAAAAGTAATGGAAAACGATGAAAAAGTGAGGAAAATTATGAAAAACTAAGGAAAAGTAATGGAAAACGATGAAAAAGTGAGGAAAAATGAAGGAAAACCAATGAAAAACGAAGGAAAAGTCATGGAAAACAAGGAAAAAGTAATGGAAAACGATGAACGAGTGAGGAAAATGATGAAAAACAAAGGAAAAAGTAATGGAAAACGATGAAAAAGTGAGGAAAATTATGAAAAACCAAAGAAAAATACTGGAAAACGAAGAAACGTGAGGAAAAATGAAGGAAAACCAATGAAAAACAAAGGAAAAGTCATGGAAAACAAGGAAAAAGTGAGGAAACCGTGCCCACGACCAAAAAATAATAAAATTCCCAAAACAAGAAAAAAAAATCCCCAAAAAATTCCGCACCCTCACATAAATCATCAAAAATCCATAATTATGCATGACTACAATCGGATACTATACCATTGTTAATATATGCTGATATGTATTGATCATCAAGCAGCTATTTCATAGTTATTTCATACTATTCCTGCATAAGTGGATGATCCTCCACATAGGATGCCAGGGTTTGGTAGTCAGAGGCTCAACCATGCTCAACCACACAGCCGTCATGTCCATTGATTCTATTGAGTCGATTGACAACAAATCATGCTCAGTGACTCAGTCACCCTTCGCAGCGTTTTTGGGCTCTGGACTCTGGACCTTGACAGGGCGAACGCGGCCATGGAGTGGAGGCATATTTACAGCATTGCTTCTGCAATCGTCGTACTTCTTGCTGTTGTACTCATGTCACTCTGCTCACTAGGCCTTATTCCTTCAGATTTCAACGAGGGCGTGATTTACAAATCTGAAGGGCAGATAGAAGTATACACTGGTGTTTGCACACATTCTAAAACCAGAATTATTTGCTTCATGTGATGTAATGTGCTGCGATACAAATTTACAATAACTGCAAATAAATGTAAATGTCATTCTTACTCCATTGCATCTAAGTCTTAATCTAAGTAACGTAACGTAACCTAACCTAATGTAATCAATACATAATACATATCAATACAATGTAATATATGTATATATAGTAGTATATGTATGCATGTATGTTTGTGTATCAGTTTGATGTTGGCCTGGACATGCCTGGGCCAAATGAGCATTCTCCCACATTCTGCCAGCATGCATTGGCAAGCCCCTCGTCCCTTCTAAGGTCAGTTTCTGCAGGTGGCTGGGATCTCACAGGCAGCAAAGGCACCGCCATGAGGTCTGATTTGTGCGATGATCAGAGGGACATCCCAGACGGACGCGGCCTTTTCAACCAAGCAGCTTGACTTGGCAGGAAGCACCACTATCAATTTGCTATCTACTACCCAGATGCCTTTGTGGCACGCATCATTGCTCTCAGTTTGTTTCTACCTTTACTTCTTTTGCTTCTTCGACGGCGAAAACAAAGGGGGAAACTCACCTAGCGCAGAATTATGGAGAATTTCCCCCTGTTGATCCTATTGAACCATTGCTATTCTTCAGCCAGTGATTTTGGTGATTTGGGTGACCCTCAAAGATTGACGGTCCGCAATTTTGGTCTGAGAAGACAGCAAATGGTCCCGGGCACTCATTTTGGTGGCTCAATCACCATCAAGCACCCATTTTGTTGCATCAACCCATGAACATGTACAGAAAGGCTTGAACATACAGTACCCACCCATATTTATCATGTTCCATCATTCTCCCATCCATCAACAAGTTGTGGCTGCCTATGATGAAGGTGTTTTGCGGCAGTTTCTTCTCCAGAGTAGAAAAGTCAGATGAACAAACCGGTCAGCCAAGGTATGCGGAGCCGGTGGCACGGAGCGTGCATTCAGCGGAATTCATAACACAGTGAACAGTTCCAACCTCAGTCACTTGGTTTCAAGTTTCGGTTCATTCTTCGGCCTATGTTACGCACGTTTTTTGGGTGTGTTGCTGCTATGTTGCTGGGAACGCCACTCCATGCCACTCCTTTTCCCAGCCAGGTGGCACTTATAGATGCGCGTGTTGTGGCACACCTTTGTTTTCAGCTGCGGAAAAGTTCAACTCTGGTACTGGATGGCCAAGCTATACGGCGCCTCTGGATGATGCACTCGGGTACCGGAAAGACTTGCTTCAGATGGGTAGCACTGAAGTTCACTGCTCCACCTGCGGTGCACATTTGGGTCATGTTTTTGATGATGGACCTCAACCCACTGGATTGCGCTATTGCATCAACAGCGTTTGCCTTTGGTATGATTCAGAATTGTCAACTGTTGCCGCGGAGCAACTCCCTTGGATCCTCAATGCTTACTTGGTCTTGCTGCTGTTGTTTGGTTTTTTCGCAAGCTGCTGCGTGCTTACCAAGAATGCGGCTGTTGCAGCATACCCTATTTGGGAAAAGCGGTATCGGCGGGGCAGTGACCACAACAGTTCCAGCCAGGAGGGCAGAATGAGTGCCTGGTAAAGCCGTCTGGCAGTCTGGATTTAAAAGTTATCAGATAGGGATGAACAAAAGTCCCGAATCGATGCAGTAAACCGGCGGAAGATGGCGGAAGTAAAGTGTCGAAGTTGCTCAAAGCAAGGGCGCAGAACTGACAATCAATGCAGAGCTTCAATGCCTTGGCGTATGGTTGGCAATTTTCAGCCAAGGCTGTCAAACTTTGCCTGTCAGCTGTCTTGGGCCTTTTATGGCCTTTTACCCCTGAGACTTTCGTGGCTAAGCCACCGTGAAAGTGTTACTTTAGCTGCCTAAGCCACCGGTGTCATCCGGGTTTGGTCAGCGGTGTGACCAAGGCCTCGCGAGAAAAAGGTGTCTGAAATCCCAAGACCTGCAGATTTGGTGAACGTGCAGATCGTGCAGCAATTTATGATGTCGTCATCATATGATGTTAAACATTATGTGTTATCATGTTATATGGTGTTATAATATGATGATGTTATATGGTATTATATGTATGATATATGACGTTATATGATATTATGGCCCTGGGACGTGGGATATAGTTTTTTGATGCTGTTTGCATGGCCAGGAGCAGATTAATGCCAAGAAGGCCAGAGCCACAGCAGTGCCATTGTCATGCTGAAGCTGGCCAGAAGGGAACAACGTGGAACAATACTCAATTAGATATCGATGGAGCAGGTCATAAGAAGTGGAATTCGCAGGTGAAGTACTACGCGCTGTCAGATGATCAGAAAGAGAAGTGTGAAACCCAGATCTCAGCTTGGCCATGCCTCCCGTGCGGCAGCTGAGTGACAACGCATACATGAAACTCGATATTTCAGAGATTGTTTTTAGACACGTCAGGTGATGCACATAGATGTCCACACCTACTCCTCGACTGTTATATACGTGTGCACCCCCGGCTGTCTCTATTATATATAAAGAATGTGTGCATATGTTTAGGAGCACATGTGGATACGGGTAGTATAGCTACATATGATATCATACAACAACCCGCACATTTACAGATTGACTACTCCGATACCAGGATGAAGCGGCGTGCAGAACTGGAGCAAACTGTCGTAACCTTGGCGCTTGGGTCAACTAAAGCTGATCCGGAACGAGTAGGCCACATGTGCACCCGTGATGTTTGGAGTATGATTTGGATTTCTGAAAATACAGCTAAGACATGCCAAGACACTATTTACACCAACTATCAACAACATAAAATAATCTACAGACCCCTGAAATCCCTTGAAAATAGAAGCAACATGAAGCAACAAGGCTGAATAATAGTCTGAAATTCTCTCAGGTGGGTGATTTGGAGCGTTTGGCAGAGGCGCAGCATTTAGCGCAGCAGTTCGTGCAGCCATGACTCGATGTGTCGGGTGTGACGCATTCCGGCAGGAAATTGAAGAGGCACAGCAATCGCAGGAGGCCAACCCTGCAACCAACTGTTGGTTAAAAACGGATCGGCCATGTGGGTGTGTCTGAAAATGGTGATATGGTTTTAAATAAATGAAAAGATACATGAAATAAATAAATAGATTTCTTGAAATATACCAGTAGTACCGCACAAGGCGGTGGCGGAAGCTTCAAAACATAGGAAACCTATAGGAGAGGTTGGTTGTTGTGAAACACGGATGGCAGAGCGAAGCCACTGATGGATCGAAAGGTGATTGATGTCTCCTCTCTTTCTCTCTCTTTCTCTCTCTTTTTCTGATTATCTACCTAACCTACCTACCTACCTACCTACCTATCTATCTATCTATCTATCTATCTGGCTATCTATCCACCTATCTATGTATCTATCTATATTTCTTTCTTTCTTTCTAGGTATCTATCTATCTAGATATCTATCTATCTAGATATCTATCTATCTATTTATCTATCTATCCATTTATCTATCTAGCTAGCTATCTAGCTGCCTGCCTATCCATTCATCCATCTATCTATCTATGTATCTATCATCTATCTATCTATCTTACTCATCTATCTAGCTAGCTATCTAGCCGTCTACCTATCCATCCATCTATCTATCTATGTATCTATCATCTATCTATCCATCTATCTATCTATTTATCTATCTATCTAGCTAGCTATCTATCTATCTCGTCTGTCTATCTAACTATGTATGTACCTATCTATCTACCTATCTATCTATCTATCTATCTCTCTATCTATCTATCTATCTATCTTTCTAGATATCTATCTCTCTATCTCTCTTTCTTTCTGTCTGTCTGTCTGTCTATCTATCTACCTGTCTATCTGCAAGCTTGAAAACCAAGATATTCTGCGAGACTTCTTCATTTTTCAGAGTTGACAACATCAAAAACGAAGCAATTCTGCGAGACTTCCTCAATGTTTGTTTCAAAGTTGACAACATCAAAAACGAAGCAATTCTCCGAGATTTCCTCAATGTTTGAACGTGACAACGTCAAAAACGAAGCAATTCTGCGAGACTTCCTCATTTTTCGAAGTTGACAACATCAAAAACGAAAGAATTCTGCGAGATTTCCTTCTAAAATGGAAAGTTGAGTGCAGAGCTGACGGCCTCGTACCAATGCGTTTTTGCGATTTTTTCCAATCCATCTGTCTAAAGTACTGCGATGTACTGCGCCTGCCACGAAGCAAACCTGAAGATCTGAGGCTCCAAAATGGAACCCCTCTCAGGAAATCAGCGCCCGGACGTCCTAACAGCTCTGATGAAGATGTCTCTTGTACTGCGCCTGCCACGGAAAATGCATCTTTGCAGATCCTCTTCAAATGTCCCACGCCTGCCATCGTTTTTGGAAATGCTACAAAACCCTCACGTTTTGCTCACTTTTGACAAGGTCCACAATCCCTTGCGCTTGTCACGCGGAACGACATCTCAACGCCCAAAAGTGGTCCGAACCCCTGGTGCTTTTAACATTTTGACTTCGAAATGTGCTTTGCACCACAACGGCGTGCACTTTTTCGAGATCTCAACTTCCAAAAGTGGTCCGAGAATGGTGTGCTTTGTACATTTTGACCTCGAAATGTGCTTTGCGCCACAACGGCGTGCACTTTTTGACATCTCAACTTCCAAAAGTGGTCCGAACCTGGTGTGTTTTGTACACTCTGACTTCGAAATGTGCTTCGCACCACAATGGCGTGCAATGTTTCATCTTTCATCTGGCTAGATGGCTCCGCACCCGCCGCTTTAGCGAGCCTATAATTCGACCCTCCGGAGCCACAAATCATTGGAAAAACACACTGTTTCGCGACTTTCCTACCTTTTCGCGCATCTGCGTCTTCTTTCTCCTGACTCTTTCTCTTCTGATCTTCTCTCTTCTATTCTTCTCTTCTCTCTGACTCTTCCCATCTCTGCTTTTCATCTGTCCATATTGTCGGAAGCTTGACTTCTAAACTTCCTTCGGTTAATATAATATGTGGTATAAAATGTTAAACGGGCGCTCTGCTAAGCCATGGAGCTTTGGGTTTTCCCTATAATTTTCACAGGCGTGTAACGATGTGTACCAGGATGCAGGTGAGGAAGTTACTGCACCTGCGGTTGAGGAGGCTGAAGAAGCCGAGGACGGGTTACCTGGGGTATCCCAGGGGGATAGAGAGATCCCAAAGGTGGAAGTCCTTTGGTGGTTTGAGATCGTTGGACTTTGTTAGATTAGAGAGGAAAGTAATCTGAACCTGTTATTTTTGGGGTAATGGACATATTCTGTACCTTGGGCTGGTAAAGATGTATAGGCAATGATTTTGCATCTTCGGTTCCCATCATGACCACTCTGTGTGCAGCCCAGATGTTTGAACCCAGACCTGATCCTCATTTCAGGCACCTGCTGAGGAGAAAGATCTTGGAGAAGGACCGATTCCATCGAGAATCGCAAGAGAGCGCAAGTAAGTTGCAAGCAGTTTCTGGGTTTTCAGTATTTCACTTACTATGCACATATAAATAAATAAATATATATATATACACACACGTATAAGCAGACACATGTTTCAATCGAATGAGTGTGCGTGTTAATCGCTGATGATGGTTGATTGGTTGAGTTTGTGCGCATGGTGATTGGGTTCTGTTAAATCCAACCCCACCCAATAGGACCCAACAGAAGAGCCCCAGAGCCCGATTTAATTTTCATGAAGAGTCCCATTGCAAGGAGAGGTTGAAGCAGAGGAAGAGGAAGAAGCTGAGGACTTCAAATCTAGAAGGGGTTGTTTCACGTTTGTTTCCATGTTGACATGATGCAATCGATTCAATGACCTTACGCCATGGTATTCTGTTGCGCCGTCGTACTCTGTTCATTTACGTGCCAGATGCAGGTGGCACTCATGTATGTGGCAGGGTATCCGGTTTCTTGTGGCAGCCGTTTGCCTAAGCATCACTGGCCAGCAAGGATCCCGAAGTACTTGCAGCCCGCAACAGCCACAGAGACGGAAAGGCTGAGACCAGGACGGACATTTGGACATCACGTTGCAATATCAACTTCAACTCTTGGAGCACTGAGGTGCTGCAGAAGAAGCGGCTGCGGCAGCTGCAGCTGCTGCTGAAGCCTTGGAAATGGAGAAGCAGGTCCGCTATGCGGTCGGATCCACCGTAATTATGCACGAGGAGGAAGGCAAAAGCCATGCTCAAGTTCAAATGACTTCAGATTGCTTTCAACAGCCAAGACACAGGAGTGGTCAAGCGTTGGGCACTTCTTTCTTTTGAGGGCAGTGCAATCACATGTTTTTGCGGGTGACTATGTCTCAGGCTCTTGAGGAGAGAAAGCAGGACTGACTCGTAGCATTGCAGAGCAGTGATATAGTATGATATAGTCTAGTGATCTGTCTTCACTTGGCCATGATTTGGGCCAAGAACGACAACATTCATTGGGGACCATGCTCTTCCCACCGATACCAACTGTACAATCTTTCCCTAGAATTGGTCTAGTGAAAGATGTGCAGGAATTCATTAGTATTGAGAATGAAATCGGCGATTTCTTGATGTTTTGCCCTTAAACTGATCAATTGAATGTTTGCAATCAAGTACTGGAAGAAAGGCGAGTCTGAAGCAGAAGAAGAACGCCATGAAGAAACTGAAGGAGATTGATGCCATAGAGGCAGCAGGGCCATGCAGGGCCTGCAAACGTCATGGATGTTGCAGTTGAGTAGCCGTACTGTAGCCTTGATGACTTCATCCGGTTCGGGATTATGTGGAAGTGCCTACCATTGTATCATGTGATGTTTTCTTTCGGTTGTGTCAATTTAGCATGTGGGGGTACCAGGGGCTGTAGGATGTTTGAAAGGTAAAGGATCGTAAGCCATGACGATCAAGATGCTTCCAAGACATTCGCAGTGTGGCAACGCTTCATCTTCGCAGTTTTCCAGGCAAAGATGCAGGAGAAGGGACAAACTTTGGCAGATCTTTCTTCAGAGGTGCAAGAGAAGGCCAGGGAGATGCGATGTTCAGAGATCGGATGGTGACCGGATAGTGTTTAGATGGGTTTGGAACCGATTTGGAACACATCCGCCAGTGGTGTTCCGTGGTCCAGTGGTGTTGCAGGTTTGATCATGATTTTTGAATAATGTTGGATGCTGGTGGATAGGTTCGCTATTGTGCCAAAAATTCTCCAAATTATTCTGAACCCATGCATTGTTTGGAAGGTTCACTATTGTGGCAAGAAATCTTGGGGTTGCATTTTTTTTGTCCAAAAAATGTTTGTAAAAAAATCTGAACATGTTTTATGAAAAAAATCTTGCTTTTCTCCCTGTCCCAAAAGAATCAAACCGCCTTTTAAACCCTTATTAAAGAACAGTTTTCCCACAAATTTCCAAGGCACTGGGCCATGAGATGGTCCAATTCACTTTAGTAGGTTTGTTCTCGGGGCTCACGATTGCAGCAAACTTTTCCAGAACTGACCCTGTAGCCAAGAGAAGAAAGAAAAACCTTTTACAAAGGCAATTGCCAAGTTCAAAGCCCAAACCTTTCCCAAAAGAATCAGACCGCTTATTAAACCCTTATTAAAGAACAGTTTTTCCACACATTTCCAAGGCACTGGGCCATGAGATGGTCCATTTCACTTTAGTAGGTTTGTTCTCGGGGCTCACGATTGCAGCAAACTTTTCCAGAGCTCATCCTGGAGCCAAGAGAAGAAATACAAACCTTTTACACAAGCAATTGCTAAATTCAGAGCCCAAACCTTTCCAAAAGAATCAGACCGCTTATTAAACCCTTATTAAAGAACAGTTTTGCAACAAATTTCCAAGGCACTGGGCCATGAGATGGTCCAATTCACTTGAGTAGGCTTGTTCTCGGGGCTCACGATTGCAGCAAACTTTTCCAGAACTGACCCTGTAGCCAAGAGAAGAAAGAATTAACCTTTTACAAAGGCAATTGCCAAGTTCAAAGCCCAAACCTTTCCCAAAAGAATCAGACCGCTTATTGAACCCTTATTAAAGAACAGTTTTTCCACACATTTCCAAGGCACTGGGCCATGAGAGGGTCCAATTCACTTTAGTAGGTTTGTTCTCAGGGTTCACAATTGCAGCAAACTTTTCCAGAGCTCATCCTGGAACCAAGAGAAGAAAGAAAAACTTTTTACGAAAGCAACCTGCCCTTTCCCTTTCTCTTTTCCTTTCTCTTTCTCTTGCTCTTTCTCTTATCCTTTCTCTTTCTCTTCCTCTTCCTCTTCCCCTTCCTCTTTCTCTCCCTCTTCCCTTTCCTGTTTCTCTTCCTCTTCCTCTTCCTCTTCTTCCTCTTCCTCTCTCTCTCTCTCTCTTTGTCTCGTTCCCTTTCTCTTTCTCTTTCTTTTTCTCTTATTGCATGGTTCATTAAGAAAAAGTTTTAAGGTAGAAAAGGTAACGCAATCAACATGCTGCACCCCACTCCCTACAAGTACTACATGTACTACATGTACTACATGTACTACATGTACTACAACTACTACAACTACAACTACTACAACTACTACAACTACTACAACTACTACAACTACTTCAAGTACTACAAGTACTACAAGTACTACAAGTACTACAAGTACTACAAGTACTACAAGTACTACAAGTACTACAAGTACTACAAGTTCATCGAAAAAATAATTAGATTTCAAGTGTACTGTAGCCAATTGGCCAGTTGAAATCCTTACTTAGGTGCGGATTTTTCCCTCAAGTTTGAAGAGGGTATAGCTATTGTTGAAGGGGGGAAGGGGGGGGCCTCACACTAATCAGGACGCAACATTATGTTTGACAGGTTGGCCGAAAAGCTGAGCTCCTCACATCCGCAATCCTCTCAGGATCCATTGTGACAAACTTGTCAAATCTCGTCACTCTGCTTCAGCTCAACTCAGCCAAGAACGCTCACATTTCACACGTTTCACAGCGGCAGAGCTGAGGTAAGCGAGATGGATCGCACGGTGTCCGAGGTGGGATCCTTTCACTGCACTTGAAACTTAATTGATTCACATACATTGTTTCCTGCCTGTCGGAAGATGACTGCACAAAATACGAAAGCGGGACAGTGGGACAATGGAGATGTCAATCACCCAACGAGTATAGGATTGGCACTCGGGCCATCTCGAGCCTGAAGGGTGCCAGCAATGGCCTCAACATGCGTTGCTTGTGCCTGACAGAGCCCCAGGTGGAAGAAAAGTTGCAGAAACTCTCAGCAAGCGAAGAGGACTGGCAGCAAACTCTGGAGCCTGTGGCAAACATTTGGAATATCGTTGCTGCCTAACCTAGCTTCACAACGACAGTCCACCCACTCATGGAAAGAAATGGCATGAACACACAAATCTCTCAAGACTTCTCCCATCCTACATATCCAACCGGGCAACTAGACCGATCTGAATGAATTTGAATGCAGGAACCAAAGGAGCCTGAGCCCGCACTCCCAGATGCAACAGAGGCATGGCCAACACGGCTACCTGGTAGCCGATGGGAGCCCCTTTGGTGCAAGGAAGCAATGGCGACTGCAACCACCGAACATCACCACGTCATCATCAGACAAGCCGGCAGGCTGAAGCAGAAGAGATCCCTGAGAAGGAAGAAGAACAGAAGGCATCCTTCGTGGCACCCAGCAGTCCCATAGATTATATAGATTGAAGGGCTACTGTGGGAACTCACAAGCGGTTCCCCAGTTTGTTCCTTGCTTTGTTTCCTTGACGGCAATTATTTGACCCGATGCTGACAGAGTTTGATAGAGTTTGTGGGTCCACCATGCACTTGGGAAGGAGGAGTTGCCGGAACCTGAAGCAGCAACCGAAGAAGTTGCTCCAGAATCAGTACCTCCTGAAAGTGCACAAGCTGCTTATGCAACTTGGACGAATTGAAAAACTTGCAAGAAGGGCAGCTGGTTGGGATGGCAGTGGAATGTAAAGATACCTTAAAGCCATTTGAACCCTCTTGGGTAGCAAAAGCAGAAACACCCTTCAAATGCCATTGACTATCATAATCATAATGATCATAATGATCATAATGATCATCATCATCATAATCATAATCATCATCATCATCATCATCAAATCATCAAATCATAAAATCATAAAATCATATAAAACAAAATCATAAAATCATCATATTTTTTAAAAAAACATTAAAAAAAAAAAACATTAAAAAAAAAAATGTCAAGTCAAATCAAGTCCTCCCGCCCGAAGGGTGTGAGCTGGTGGCATTGGGTAGTCAAATCATGCCCTCCACAGCGTTGTGCGCTGGGCTATTTCAGGCTGGGGAGCAGTCGCCAGACGAGGAGGATGAGGTGGCAAAAAATGTAAAACTGGCGTCACATCCGAACTTACTTTAAGCCCGAGATCCCCAAACTACAACTAGCAAGCATGTTGCTGGCCATTTGATTGTAGGATGACACATGTAAGTCCAATAAAAAGGGGCCAAGGGTTTAAGAGAGAAATTCAGAGGCGTTTGATTCTGAAAGTTCCCTCTTGCAAGAATTTCTTGCAGTAGAAAGCTTTGCCAGGAGGCAGCACAAAAAAGCAAGCCCAAAGCGAAAGGCAAAGCGGCACCCAAGGCAAAGCACGTTGAACTTTTGCAGAGCTGTGGGCAAACAGGCTCAAGATGTTGCAAGTGATGAGTAGATGTCAGCATTTGTCAGCATTCGTGTGCAAATTCCATCAATTTTCATATAAATTAAAGGGATCTCTAAATGTTCTGTGCTGCAAATCCAGCTGTTTCGTGCTGCACAGGCCAAGAAGAAGGGCAAAAAGCCAGCTGCTGGAGAGAAGAAAAGAGAAAGAGACGATTCTGTCAGGGACATGGGCCAGTCAAAGCTATTGAATTTCATTTGTTGCTATTTCTTTTTGCAGCCTTTGCTTTTCCCATGATTGCCGCAAGTGACATCCATTGAATTGACTTCGAGGCAGAAATTGACGCGCTCGCTGCACGAATTTCAGAGGGTGGAGAGGCCAGATGGATTTTGCACGGCCTGCATATGCAAGTGCAAAAAAGTTCGCAGTCATCGGGACATGGAAATGCAATACTGGCTGTTGCTCGCATGATCCAGTTTGTAGCTCCGCCTTAATTATGTGGTCTTCCATTCTGATCCAATTGGATCAAATGCAATTATATACTGTGCTCCAGACACCGGATGGTGAGCCAGATTTTGGGTGTGTGAGCCGTTTGCCCCTGCCACGCAACGCATATTGGTTGCAGGTACTCGTACCAGCGGGTTGCTTGTTTACTGTATACTGTATACGATATACTGTATGCAAGACATTGAATTACAATACAGCACATACATGTAATTACATACATACAACATACATAACTACTTGTCCAATACCATACCGTACCGCACCATACCACACTATGCCTACCATACCATGCATACGTATGTACCTACCTACGTACATACAGACATACAGACATGCAGACATGCAGACATGCATACATACAGACATACAGAGAGAGCCATACAGGCGTACAGGCATACGGCATACAGGCATACAGGCATACAGGCGTACAGGCGTACAGGCGTACAGGCGTACGGCATACAGGCATACAGGCATACAGGCGTACAGGCGTACGGCATACAGGCATAGAGACATACTTACAGACATACAGACATACACGCATTCAGACATTCGGACATTCAGACATACAGACATTCAGACATACAGACATACAGACATCCAGACATGCACGGACATACAGACATGCAGACATATGCAGACATATGCAGACATATGCAGACATATGCAGACATGCAAGGACATACAGACATGCACTGTAGAGATAGACATACAAACATACAGACATACAGATATACATGGCGTATGCATATATGCATGTCACTGTAGGTCTACGCACAGTTACACCTACATTGGATTGGTGTGTCTCTCAAATGCAGGCTGAAAAGAAGAAAGGACTTTTTTCGCATCGAGCCTCAGGACCTCAGAGCAGACGAAGCCACGGCATGCAAAGAAACAAGCATGTCCGTCATTCAGCCGATTTCGGCGGCATGAAATAGCATGAACGCAGAAGTGGGTTGGATTCGTTTGATATCCTTTGATCTCTGGCTTTTCTCCGAGGTTCTTTGGGCTTTGAGTGGCATGTGCCTGGAGGCTGCTCAAAAAAATGCTTGTGTTGGAGACGGAAAATGTTGGAAACATTCGTGTCGGTGCGGAGCATCCGTTTGCCTCGGGGAATCTGCACAGTTCTGACCACAGAAATAGGAAAGGTGTGGATAGGAGTGGTGCACCTACTGTATTGGTTTGTTTTTAACATGTCGTATTGATATACTTTAGTGCTTGCTTAGTGAAGTTTCATGAAGTTTCATGCTATATATATATATAATTATATATATATACATATATATATTCAGATCCGGCTTGTTGATGTTTCTTGCCAATCTTGCCAGCATCGACGGAGGTCGTTCAGCCGGGTGCCCTGAGCCGCGGAGGATATGCCCGGGTGAATGATAGGTTTTCAACAAGGCACCGGCAGAAAATGTAGTTTTCAATGACGGAGGTAGCTGCAACATGCCCCATGGTGCCCCTTGTCATCGATACAGAAACCCGGATGCAACAGATATCAACAGATTGTTTCCCTGAGACTGCTGTGCATGCTGTGCCCAGCACCGAAATGGTGCAGATCAGCAAAGATTGGTTAAGTCCTCGAGATGTGCTCGAGATGTGCAATTCTCGAAGCATTCACTACGAGACGTGCCAAGTAGATACTCTGTAGCAAGCAGCCGAAGTGGGATTCATGGGCCATCTATGAAATAAAATTGTTGCTGCCGTCTGATTTTAGCACCTTTGAATGTTTGTGACAAGCCTTTTGCTGTGGTTCACAAGTCAAACTGATGACGCCTGGATGGGCGTCAGGCTGCTTGAAACCTTGGATTTTGAGGTGTCTCGACACTTTGATAGAGCGTAGAAGTACATTTCCCGCTGTCTCCACCGGCAAGATGCAAAAAGGATTGAGCGGCGTTCAGAATGAATAGAGCTAATATATTTATAATATATATATATATATGTAGCCAATATATATATAATTATATAGCCAATATATATATATATATTCAGAATGAATTGAGCTAACATATATATGTTAAGTGCATTCTCCTGCTTCCTGATAGTTGAGCAGGTTTATGCAGGTCGTGTCCCATCTCTGGCAGCTAGATTCGGCAAGCTCCATGGTGACATTGGTCCATGTCGGAGGAATGACATTATAGGATTTGGACCGATTTGGTTTTGCTGCATCACATTGCCGCAATTGCAATTAACATGGATGCTCACATACACCCACAGACGCACACATTCATATATATATATACATACATATATACACACACACCACAAACAAGCAAAGTGAGTGGCAATCTGGCCTGCGCTGGCTCAGTGTGGCAACGGAAGATGAATTGGTAGGTGCTTGTTCCAATGACACAGTCCACCAAGAAGCCCATCGGCCTATCAGCCAATGAGCATTGATTGACACACCAAAGGTTGAACCGATTCACAGATAGCAATCTAGCATATAGCATCATATAGCCAGATTCAATTTGGAGTCGGCCAACACCTTGGACTTTGCTGCCGGAGGGCTCGCATGCCATGTGCAATCTTTAGGTGACTTGAACTGCACAAAGCGTCAATGACCTAGCTGTGCATTTCTTCTAATTGAATGTGTCAAGTATATATAATTATTACTCTGACTACGTGCTAGTTGCATCCAGCGATATCCAGCCACGCAGGTCTATTTCTCGAAAGTGATCAACAATGGGCCTTTTGCGTATCAGAAAGCAGGTGGAAGCTGGAGAGATTGGAGATGGATTTTGAACTCGTCTCTGGGTCCAGCTTTCAAAATCAGCCAATGCTACAGGCAGCTCGAGCCCTCAAGAAAAATGAGCGGCGCAACATTTTTTTCTCAGCCTTGGGCATGGACCTCAGGAGGAAGGGAGTGTGGAATACATATATATATATAGATAGATAATATATTATAATATATAGTATACATGATTGGGTATTTAATTGATGATATAACTATAACTATCTATATTTGTTGTAACATTTTAGAACTATAATATTTATTATTTGACAAAAGTTGTTGCTGGGATACATTTTCTATTGGACCGTAGCGGGGTGCAATGGGGTGCAGGCGGATCATGTTGCAACCGAGGGCTTGGCCTCGCCGTTGGCCTTTTAGTCCTGATCCAGGACAGGCTTCCCATGGTTTCCCATGGTTTCCTAGAGAATCATGGAGAAAAGATGAGAAAAGATGAAGAACAATGGTTCAACTTGGTTCAACAATGAACGAAGATGATATGTTGGTGAGTTGTGAGATGTTGTGAGTTCATTGCTGGATGCTGGTCAGGACACGGCTGAAAAGTCCAGCAAAGCAGGCCAGGAGCAGAGACCCATACTGCATCGTACCGCAATATTCTGCACTGTATTATATTGTATTATATTATAAATTAAACTTATATCATACACTATATTATTAGTCTGTAATATATATTAATATATTATATACTTTTGTATTATACATATAGGAGTTCGCTTTTAAAAGTGTGACCTTTGCTCGTGTCCTTTGTCAGGTTTGCCTGCACCACGGAGGCTGAATTCAACTACAGACGAAGCAACGAATTTCTATCCTCCGGATCCGCTCGTGGGGTCCGCAACCGACTACGAGGGTGACAGCTACTTCAACATGCCGACAGGCAGGTTGTTTGTGTTATCTCCTCTTTTGAGTGGACATGATGAAAACACATATTATAATATAAATATAATATGTGCATGTTTGTTTACGATTTTGTATCCTTTGATACACACACACACAGACAAACGCGCACGCGGGCAAGAGTATGTTTTTTGTTTGTGTGTGTGTGTTCATTCTATTACGAGCATATATGCATATTGGAGAACGTAGGAGGTGGGCATGATTGCCGAATGTATGGTAAGAACAAACCCATGGGCCCATCCTTTGTTTTCTTCAATAATTGGTGTGTATCATTAATTAAAGATGCTACCAGCCGCATGCTGACACTGCAGAACGCAAATTCCTTGCTGTCTTTCACGTGCTTGGTATGGCCATTGTCTCAGTTTGGAGTGTTCAGCCTCAGTGCATCTTGAGCCACTGATGCGGTCTGGAAGATATAGAGAGCAACAACCTGAGGCATATATGGTGCTTGGATTGAACACGGTTTGCGACGTTTACTTCGCGGGATCTATCGATCTCTTATGCGATGCTTGGAACCTGACACCGGACGTAGCGGGAGCAACTTGTTTGCAAGAGGCCTTCAGCATCCTTTAGTCAAAGAAACGACGAAAACAAGGCCCCAGCAGCATCCAGCAGCATCCAGCAGCATCCAGCAGCATCCAGCCATGCCTAAGGCCACCTGGATGGCAGCTGGCGGATCAGCGCCGGAATTCTTCACATCCCTCGTTGGTGCAACCATCGCCACTTAGCATTTCAATTGACGTTATGGTCGGTTAGGCTATGACAGGTGACATACACGTGACATTTGACATCATTTGACATGATTTGACCCACACCCAACAGCAGTCAGCTGTAGTCAACTGTAGCCGACGGCAGTCGACAGCGCAGAGACGTCATGACAAGCCTCAAAATGTAATGAGGCCCAAAATGACGTTGGATTCGGCACCATCGTTGGGTCTGCAGTCTTCAATGTGCTCTTTGTCATTGGATTGTACCTAGCTTAGCACGTCAACTTTTGGCGACACAAACGCAAAAGTTGGACTCGAAGGGATTGCAGCGATTCTTCCCAGCTTCAGCTGAAGTTGCCTACAATGGCTCTTGCTTATGGATGATTTCCAGTCAGCTTGACTTGAGGTGCGGGTATGTTGCCAAAGGCAACATCGACCTGACTTGGTGGCCACTCTTCAGAGCCCCTTGGAGTGAAACCTATGCCATGTTGCCAAAATGTGCCAAATATAAGTCTTGAGATGTTCACTTGTTTGGCATCCCTGTTGACCCTTTCATTTTTTGGGGGGAGGGGGGCATGTGGATTCGAAATGCTTCAAATCTACAGCCACAAAACTCAGCGAATTGGGGTGACTTTGTATGCCAACAGTGCCAATAAGGCCAAGAGTGCCAACGGGGCAGCTGTCCCATGGGTAATTTTACGGTAATTAGAAGTACTCACCGGGACTGGGAAGGAATGGGAACTGATGGAACTGAGGATTGCTCCTATTACATCACCTCTTTGGCAGTTTTGGCTGCTTTTGTCTCGGACCAGATTGTAGAAGCTTGGGAGGTGCCACCATGTGCCACCGAAAAGCATTGCATGTTGAAACACCTCGGATACCTCGGATGACTGTTTTCCTCCGCGGTGACTAATTAGCAAGAACTCAATAAGAACTGGCTGCTCTGGTATTGCCATGGTACAATTTTTAATTGCATGTGAATGTGGTAGCTCCTACACCGCAGCATGTCTGAGAGCGAGCTGCAGTTGTTTCCCATAGACAATATATATGACCATCTGCAAGGCTGGTGTGCTATTTGCGATGTACATTTGCTATGTCCTCTTCATGCTCGTGAATCGGCCATTGAACGTGTGGGCGTAGCTTGGCATGGATACGTCTGACATTATTCGAAATGATGTTTTGGCATTATTCAAATGATGTGTTGGCGATAGTAAGGGCCTGTCAGCTCTCGCCATCAACAGCAGGTATGAACTTACAGGAACTCCCTTGAACAAGGAGCTGAGGGAGTACGTCCAGGACTGCTAAACCGACCAACACTAGTTTGCCATACAATATGCTGCTACGTATGTAATCTTGATATTAACACCCAGGACATCCACGGACGGTAAAATTGTTGACATTAAGAAGCAATTTGCAGAACCGCTTCGTGTTCCATTCTAGAATCTTAGATGATTAGCCAAGGGTTGGAAGCTGAGAGCACCTGTAGCCAAAAGAATTCACCAACGGTGGCCAAAGATGTGCGGTGCCGATTCGCTGCAGGAGAAGCGTGCTGCAAGCGGAAAGGTTGAGCCAGAGAATGTGGCCGCTGAAACTGCACCTGAAGATGGTGCTATGAAAAAGCCAGATGAGCCTCCAAAGCCAGCCAAGGACCTTGGAAATTCCATAAAGATTAGAGCACAATGATGCTCTCATGCTCTGACAATTAATTCACATTGAATATCACATGGTCGACGTGTTCGAAGAAAAACATAAAATCCAATCAGGCCGAGTGGAAATGTTTGACACATTTTGACACGATTGCGCGCTGGTGGTTTGAGCATGTTAGAGCTCATAATTCTAACTTTGCCCGAGACACGTGGGTTTTGACAGCCAAGCAGCAACGTAAACTACGGACCCCAGACATCTCCAAACCGTCAGCACATGACTTGTGGAACTCGATCCAGGACAACTTTATGGAGCCTGACAAGGTCGTGGTTCAAAGTGCCCCTGATGAAGATGAGGAAGACCATGAACCTGAAGACTTGGCCGAGGGGAAGCTTGCAGACAAGATTCCTGGTAAGGACGGCGGGAGTTTGGTACGTGATTTTTCACTCGCAGGGCGCATTCCAGATTCAAAATTCGGTTGACAGAGATGAAAACTTCAATACACATTCATTCCACGGTTTGCCCTGGCCGCGTAGGATGACAGCAAGGGTGCCTCAATGGAAGACGTGGAAGATGAAGATGATGACGAAGACACTTTTTTGCACAGCAGATTTCGGTAGATGTATATATCATATATCATATAGATAGATAGATAGATAGATAGATAGGTAGATAGGTAGATAGGTAGATAGGTAGATAGGTAGATAGGTAGATAGGTAGATAGATAGATAGATAGATTAGATCCATAGATCGATAGATCGATCGATCGATCGATAGATAGATAGACAGACAGACACACACACATACGTGCATTAATATAGAGAGAGAGAGAGAGACTGGTAGATGGAAGTACTTTTGCATCCATGAGCACTGTCCATGTGACAATTTATGGAGCGTAAACGGGGTGGACTTCACAATCTTCACGTGTAGACGTTAGACAAATGCTTTCTGAGGGTTCTTGTGATTCAGGAGGATGACGAGCCAGACGATTTCATGGAACGACCAGAGGGCACTGTCAGTTTGATCATTTGGGCCCTGTGCCTCCCGGTGTACATTCCCCTCTACTACACCCTGCCGGGATCTCACCATGCTGTGTTTGCATGGCCATTGTGTGAGCTTGTGCCGGATTTGAAATTGAAATCAATTGAGACATGCTGAGGCCTTGGCCCCGCAAGGGACAGAAGTTGTATATGGTCTCCTTTGGTCTTTCTTTGCTTTGGATCGGAAGTTTCGCTTTCCTTCTGGTTTGGTGGACTGAAATTGCATCCAAGCTGCAAATGGCTTGGTCGGCTTGGTGATGTGGAGGTCAGCTGCCAAAGCTCCGAAGTTTCACCGTTTTCATCAGTTGTTCAACCTTCCATGGCTCAGGTAGCTTCGATTATAGGGGCTCCGCCCTCAGAAGCAGTTGTTGAAGTTGTTGCTGTTCAAGGATGTTATGATATGTTCAGTGATTTCAAGACTTCAAGACTTCAAGGACATTGTGAGGAAACTTGAAATAAACTGAAACGTGGGTTTAAATTGAATTGAGGATGATTGAGCACATGTTCCATTGATTACCTTGACACTCACCCGTTTCTGCCCCAAGGTCCCAACAATCATCTCCGGGTTAACCTTCCTTGCGGCCGCAACCTCCATTCCGGACGCAGTCAGCTCAATGGCTGTGGCCCGCAAAGGCCCCCAAGCCTTCCAAAGGATTTCCGAGTCGTCAAAACGTAAGGTCAAAAAGCGCCTGCATCACCAGTTCACATGATTTCGCATTATTATAATTATAGTTCACTGTTTATCACTGTTTATACGCAGCTGCACACTTCAGCATGAAAATGTTGCCAGGTCAAGCTGATATGGCCGTGAGCTCATCAGTCGGATCCAACATCTTCGACATCCTTGCATCTTGGATGAACGATCGATCCGATCGTCATTGGTGTATTGAGATTATTGAGGGTCTATTTCAGACCTGCAACTGATGGGTTCATATGGGTTCATGGTGGGCTGGAAGCCATAATTATATGCACAAATGATCACAAGTGTCGTGGATGTTGCTACGGTGTCACCAGGTTGGCCTCCCAGTCCCATGGTTGATCAAGCATGCGATCGAGTCCGGCAACAATTTTATAGGTGTGCCAATTCGGTCGCTGGGATGCATTTGGCACCGCGTTACTGTTAGATCTCCATGCCACAACAGAGAAACTTGCTGGCATGCCTGGCATATGCACAAATGCCAAGGTCTCCGTACTTGATGTTCTACACATGCCTCCTCCTGGGAATGGTGTTTGGAACCGTGGTCAGCATCATGTTGAGTGGATGGAAGTTGAACAAGTTCCTTGGTGGTTGCATGGCTGTCCTCTATGTCATCTTCATCGTCACCTGCGTGCTCATTGAAGAACTTCAGCCTGCTGGCTTGAAGACCAATGACTAGATCGGCTTTGCTCGTCAGTGCCGACTACCAGAAACAATGAATAACAATGGGCTGGCTTCTGTCAGCCGTGAGAGCGTTCAACTGAGCCTTTACCATCCTTTACAGGCCCCGTGCTGGCTCGCAAGTTGAGGCTCTAGTGACCTCACTTTAGCTGAATGCTACCGCATTGTTGTAGTGCTTCCACATCGGAGACATTGGAGTTGCGGCTATTCTATATACAGATTATATACATTATTCTACTACTGTAGTCCAATTCTTTGATGTAGCGCTTAGATACGATAACGTGAGGCCTGCCTGGGATGGTGATCATGAACTGTCAGTTCCAACACATACAGTCGCTGTACACACCCATACAGATCATACAGACAGAAACCTCCCACCCAATGTCACGATGTCACGCTTTGGAGCACACATTCAACATCATTCAACCCTGCAAAGCAGTTGCCTGATTGAATGCATTGCCTGCGCTCATGGAACTTCTAAGAAGTTCAGGTGCATCAGCCACTGAAATTGCACAAGTCTCACCACACGAAGATCCTCGGATTCTCGTTGCCGATGAACAAACCATTTGTGTTGTCATGGGCCCTGTTTGGGTGGAGCGAGGAAGGAAACTACATACACACACAGACACGCACGCATGTGTGTATATTAATAATTATATATATATATTATACGCATCAAAGTGTGTGCGTGTGGTATACATATATCAAATAACGATCACATCTTGAGAATCGAATGCCTGCACTTTACCAAGTTTTATCGAATGAGCTATCAGGTGGCTGTCGCTTGCAGTCATTGCGGCTTGGGGTTGAATTGATACGGGCTTTGGGAACTAGATATGTTCTTGCCTGCAGCTGGAAAGGGCTGGTCAGCTGTCTAGCCTTGAAATCCTCGAGACAAGCACGGAGGTCACCCCAACATTGCAAAATGCTAACATGATGCCAAAACTTACGCCAACCTGATTACCAACAGTATCAACAGTAGGCCTGTTTTTATTGTTCCCTCTCTCTCTCTGATCAGATTTTCTTCGATGCTTACATTCTGGATCAAGCTGCGATTGCCACCTGTGAGGGGGCCGCTCCACCCGCCCTGGTGTCATGGCCCGGCAAGGGGACGAGGCTCAAACGGCAAAGCCGTTAATTGGTGGGCAGAGCATCGTGCAAGCAGCAGACGCAGGAAAACATGAAGCTGTCATCCAGCATTTGCAACAAGATCCAGAACAAGTACGGATGGCAGATCGTGATGGATTGACAGCGCTGCACCATGTGGCACGGAAAGGCAATAGCTTGTTGGCAAAGGATTTGCTCCGACATGGGGCAGATGTTAAGGCAACTGATCAGTGGGGCATGACCCCGCTCCACAGGGCAGTGGCCAAAGGTCACGCAGCCGTGGTGGAGCAACTGCTGCACGCAAGGGCCGAGCTCCGAGCAAAGAACGCACGAGGCCTTACAGCTGCAGACTTTGCAAGAGCCCACAATGACGACAAGATCAGACAAATTTTGGCATCTTTCGCTTCGCAATGATCTGAGGTGGGGGGTTCTTGGGATTGTCAAAGACAGAGCTCATAGGATTCTCGCCGCAGGTCAGAAAATGCAATGAATACGGACGATTGTGGGCATATTTGTGTATTATGTGTGAACATAATTATGTGAATACACAGATGCCAATTTTGACCCACTTTGGAACGAGTATAGATGGAATGACTATAGAGACGAAGGTCTAAAATATATCAGGAAAATTCAGATTAAATGGGTTCAAACCCATGGGCTCATTATACAATATTACACATCAAGTTATTTATCTCCACTTTTGCCCGAAGATGCATGGCCATTTCAGGTACCTCAACTGGAGGTAGCGTACCATATAAAGATATGTGAAGCCATATTTTGGTGGTATATCGCTTACATACCGGGTTCTTCAAAATAACAGCCATCCTGTCAAACTCATGGCGAAGAAACTTGCACGCCCCCTTTCCCCCAATTCAATGTTGTTACATCGCTTTGCTTGGAAAGGTCTTCAAAAAAAAACAGCCATTTCGGTTCGGATGCCGGCATGCATTGGGCAACAACATTGATCAAGGGGGCGCTTGAGGAGCAGGTGTGATGTGACCACATGCAGGAGGATTGCTGTTTTTTTCTAGGGCCCCGGAGAAATTTTGTTGGTTTATGGATGTGCAAACACAAGCTTGGACAAATTCCCTTTGCACTTGCTAAACCCTCAATCTAAAATAATCCAAACACACTTTCATCTTCAAAGCTGCTACCATTGCAGCATGTGCTCCGCATGTGGGCAAAAATTGGAGATCAGAAGCTGTGTGTCTTGATGTGTCTTGCATGGTGCACTAATGTAGAATGTGCCTCCACGCCTCCAGAAACAGAATTGCAAACATCGTGTTTTGCACAGCGCACGTACAGTGCACGCACAGTGCACGCTACGGTGCACGCCACAGCGCACGGCCTTTCCCAAAAAGTGAAGAGAAAACACAAAAAAAGACAATATTTTGCATCTTCTGTAAGTTGTCCAAACAACGCTAATCCCATGGTATTTACAGCTTTTTGTGGCCGTGCACTGTACTGTGCACTGTGCGAAACACGCAGTTTGTGCAATTCTGCTTCTGGAGGCACATTCTTTGTTTGTGGGTACCAGCTGTGAAGATGAAAGTGTGTTTGGATCGGGGTTTTGGCAAGTGCAAAAGGGAATTTGCTCAAGCTTGCGTTTGCACAGCCATAAAACAAAAAAAAATCTTGTGCTTCTTTGTTAGCTGGGTAGCAGCTTTGAAGATGAGAGTGTGTTTGGATTGAGGTTGTGGCAAGTGCAAAAGGGAGTTTGTTCAAGCTTGTGTTTGCACATCCATAAACCGCAAAATCTTTCCCGGACTGAGTCCGGGTTCTTCAAAAAAAACCGCCATCATGTCAAACTCATGGCGAAGAAACTTGCACGCCCCCTTTCCCCCAAGTCAATGTTGTTACATCGCTTTGCTTGGAAAGGCCTTCAAAAAAATAATAAAGGACCGGATAACCCCACATGTCAACTTCTTCCAACAAGCAGCAAAAGAAAGGTAAAGATGGCATGGGGAAAGAAGGAAAGAGAAAAGAGATGGTGAAGGATTGGTGTGGAGCAAGTTGTGTGTGGAAGAGTAAGTGTGAGTACGTTGATAAGTTGTGTGTGAGGTGTGTGTGTGTGTGCGTGCAGAAGTTGTGACAGGGAAGGAAGGAAAAACAAAGGAGGTGGTGAAAAGGATCGAGAAGTAAAAACAGTTGTGTGGATAAAGTTGTCTATACGTATGTATCAGCCGTATGCGCGTTTTTTTCCACAGAACATGATGTTCAGGTACAGCAGCATTTGCGCGATGAAGTCGGTACCTGGCAGAATCTGGCAGAGAACACCACAAATCAACGGGCTGTCATTGGTGTTCAGACACGGCGACATTATCATGAAGACTGCCAGTTTTGGAATCACAGACGGATAACAGACACGTGAACACAGTCAACCGCAACAGCACGATCAAAGATCACGACGCACGAGAGTGCTGGATCTGCGCGATGAAGTCGTTACCTGGCAGCAAATGCTTTCATCAGACGTGCTGAAGCAGAACATCTCATGCAGGTGGAGCAAATGAATGCACAGTGACAACTCTATTTGCAGCTTTTTTCCTTCGGTACAAAGCGCTATATCAAAATTGTAGCGGCGACGCTAGATTTTCGCAATCGCACGTCTGCTCGAGTGGGCATCCTCAGTCAGCGACGTGTCTTCCTGCTCCATGACGCTCCTCATCCATGTCGGCAACCTCCTGGTCCATGTCGGCGCCAACCTCGGCAACCTCCTGGTGCAAGCGCTCCACTGCGCTCTGCAACTCCGCTGTGTTGCGGTGCTCCGACTCTGTCAGACGGCGGCTGTCTTTCTCTGCTTCCGCTCGTGTCTTCCTCGTCGGGCCACACACTCTCTTTTTGTCTATGGTCACACGGATCCGCCAACCGCTACCATGCTGAGCCACGGAAGGAGCAGGCAAGGCACGACGAGCACGGCGCCGAAGCCGGGCATGAACTTCCAAGCGGTCCATGGACACCGGTGCCGCCTCCTCTAATTGCTGCTTATCTTCGTTCGCAGCCGCTTCGGTTGTACGGATGGGGCCACTGAACGTCGTGTCGCCCTTCTTGCGGCGAGCTCGCCAGCCATTGCCTTTTTTTTCCAAAGGCATATCTTTCTACAACCTACGATCCAGCAATTTCTTCCCACGGCGGCTCAAAACAGCCGGATCAGACCGCTACGTTTGCAGCTCTTATCTGTGTGCAATTAGAAGCTTAGACTATTCCTTACTAATCCAGTCTGCTGGTTTCTGGATGCACACAAAATGTCATCCATGAAAGCGGATGCAAAGAAAGCACCTGTCGTCACCTGGCAGCGAAGCGACAACAAGTAGAATCAAAATGGCACGTCGTTGCCAGCTGTCTTCACATGGCACCGAAGCGGCAACGTAAAGGCAAGTGCCACGCCTGCCACGCAAAGTCAAGGTGGATGTGAGCGAGTGCCACGCCTGCCACGCAAAGTGAAGGTGCCACGCAAAGTGAAGGTGGATGTGACCAAATGCCACGCCTGCCACGCAAAGTGCAGGTGGATGTCACCAAGTGCCACGCCTGCCACACAAAGTGAAGGTGGATGTCACGAAGTGCCACGCCTGCCACGCAAAACGCCGCGGCGCCACGGCGCCACCTGATGACCAAGCGCGCCGCCAGAGCCAACCCAGTGCCATAAGTGCCACGCCTGCCACACAAAGTAACAATCGATGTCGTCAAGTGCCACGCCTGCACACAAAGTGAAGATGGATGTCGTCAAGTGCCACGCCTGCCACGCAAAGTGAAGGTGGATGTCGCGAAGTGCCACGCCGACCACGCAAAGTGAAGGTGGATGTCACGCCTGCCACGCAAAACGCAGCGGCAACACGGCGCCACCTGATGACCAAGCGCGCCGCCAGAGCCAACCCAGTGCCATAAGTGCCACGCCTGCCACGCAAAGTAACAATCGATGTCGTCAAGTGCCACGCCTGCCACACAAAGTGAAGGTGGATGTCGTCAAGTGCCACGCCTGCCACGCAAAGTGCAGGTGGATGTGGCGAAGTGCCACGCCGACCACGCAAAGTGAAGGTGGATGTCACGAAGTGCCACGCCTGCCACGCAAAACGCCGCGGCGCCACGGCGCCACCTGATGACCAAGCGCGCCGCCAGAGCCAACCCAGTGCCATAAGTGCCACGCGTGCCACGCAAAGTAACAATGCCACGCAAAGATCGTCGTCAAGTGTCACGCCTGCCACACAAAGTGAAGGTGGATGTCACGAAGTGCCACGCCTGCCACGCAAAACGCCGCGGCGCCACGGCGCCACCTGATGACCAAGAACGCCGCCAGAGCCAACCCAGTGCCATAAGTGCCACGCCTGCCCCTCAAAGTAATATTCGATTTCGTCAAGTGCCACGCCTGCCACGCAAAGTGACGGGTGGATGTCGTCAAGCGCCACGCCTGCCACGCAAAGTGAAGGTGGATGTCACGAAGTGCCACGCCTGCCACGCAAAACGCCGCGGCGCCACGGCGCCACCTGATGACCAAGCGCGCCGCCAGAGCCAACCCAGTGCCATAAGTGCCACGCCTGCCACGCAAAGTAACAATCGATGTCGTCAAGTGCCACGCCTGCTACACAAAGTGAAGGTGGATGTCGTCAAGTGCCACGCCTGCCACGCAAAACGCCGCGGCGCTACGGCGCCACCTGATGACCAACCGCGCTGCCAGAGCCAACACAGTGCTATAACTGCCACAAAGTAACTCGTCAAGTGCCACGCCTGCCACGCAAAGTGACGGGTGGATGTCGTCAAGCGCCACGCCTGCCACGCAAAGTGAAGGTGGATGTCACGAAGTGCCACGCCTGCCACGCAAAGTGAAGGTGGATGTCACGAAGTGCCACGCCGACCAGACGCCGACCACGCAAAGTCAAGGTGGATGTGACGAAGTGCCACGCCGACCACGCAAAGTAAAGGTGGATGTCACGAAGTGCCACGCCGACCACGCAAAGTGAAGGTGGATGTCACGAAGTGCCACGCCTGCCACGCAAAACGCCGTGGCACCACGGCGCCACCTGATGACCAAGCGCGCCGCCAGAGCCAACCCAGTGCCATAAGTGCCACGCCTGCCACGCAAAGTAACAATCGATGTCGTCAAGTGCCACGCCTGCCACACAAAGTGAAGGTGGATGTCACAAAGCGCCACGCCTGCCAAGCAAAACGCCGCGGCGCCACGGCACCACCTGATGACCAAGAACGCCGCCAGAGCCATCCAGTGCCATAAGTGCCACGCGTGCCACGCAAAGTAACAATCGATGTCGTCAAGTGCCACGCCTGCCACACAAAGTGAAGGTGGATGTCACGAAGTGCCACGCCTGCCACGCAAAACGCCGCGACGCCACGGCGCCACCTGATGACCAAGAACGCCGCCAGAGCCAACCCAGTGCCATACGTGCCACGCCTGCCACGCAAAGTGAAGGTGGATGTCACGAAGTGCCACGCCGACCACGCAAAGTGAAGGTGGATGTCACGAAGTGCCACGCCGACCACGCAAAGTGAAGGTGGATGTCACGAAGTGCCACGCCTGCCACGCAAAACGCCGCGGCGCCACGGTGCCACCTGATGACCAAGCGCGCCGCCAGAGTCAACCCAGTGCCATAAGTGCCACGCCTGCCACGCAAAGTGAAGGTGGATGTCACGAAGTGCCACGCCGACCACGCAAAGTGAAGGTGGATGTCACGAAGTGCCACGCCTGCCACGCAAAACGCCGCGGAGCAAGTTGTGTGTGGACAAGTTGTGTGTGAGCAAGTAGTGTGATGACAAGTTGTGTGTGAGCAAGTTGTGTGTGTGAGCAAGTGGTGTGATGACAAGTTGTGTGATGACAAGTGGTGTGTGAGCAAGTGGTGTGATGACAAGTTGCGTGTGAACACACACACACAAGTTGTGTGTGGACAAGTTGTGTGTGAGCAAGTAGTGTGATGACAAGTTGTGTGTGAGCAAGTTGTGTGTGAGCAAGTGGTGTGATGACAAGTAATGTGATGACAAGTGGTGTGTGAGCAAGTGGTGTGATGACAAGTTGTGTGTGAGCAAGTCGGACGACGGGAGGCGGACGGACGGCGGGATACAGAACCAAAAACAAGAACACCACACAAAGATGTGGGGAACAACAATTTCGGTTACGGATGCCGGCATGCATTGGGCAACAACATTGATCAAGGGGGCGCGGGGGGACCAGGTGTGATGTGACCACATGCAGGAGGACTGCTGTTTTTTTGAAGAACCGGGAGAAGATTTTTTCGTTTATAGATGTGCAAACACAAGCTTGAACAAATTCCCTTTGCATTTTTCAAACCCTCAATCCAAAATAATCTAAAAACACTTTCATCTTCAAAGCTGCTACCCACCAAACAAAGAAGCAACATTGCAGCATTTGCTCCGCATGTGGGCAAGAATTGGAGATCAGAAGCTGTGTGTCTTGCGTGGTGCACTAATGTAGAATGTGCCTCCACGCCTCCAGAAGCAGAATTGCAGCGTTCTGCTGATGAAAATATAAAAGAAAGGGGCGCACACATCGTGTTTTGCAATGTTTTGCGCAATGCACGCACAGTGCACGCTACAGTGCACGGCCACAAAACGCTGTAAATACCACTTTTTCCAACAATTGATGGGAAAACACAGAAAAAGGACAATCTTTTTGCATTTTTTGTAAATTGTACAAACAACGCTAATCCCATGGTATTTACAGCATTTTGTGCTGCGCACTGTACGGTGGACTGTGCGAAACATGCAGTTTGTGCAATTCTGCTTCTGGAGGCGTGGAGGCACATTCTTTCTTTACGGGTAGCAGCTGTGAAGATGAAAGCGCGTTTGCAATTGCAAAAGGGAATTTGTTCAAGCTTGCGTTTGCGCGGGTATAAACTAAAAATAAATATATAAATCTTGTTGCTTCTTTGTTTGGTGGGTAGCAACTTTGAAGATGAAAGTGTGTTTGGATTATTTTGGATTGAGGTTTTGGCAAATACAAAGGAAATTTATTTAAATTTATATTTATATATTTATATATCCAAATAAAAACGGATTGAATCCGGATTTTAATCTTGCAGGATTTAATCGATTAACCATTGCAATTATATATATATATTGGGTCTGAGGATTTAGATTGTATATTCTAATTTTGAAAAAAAATAAAAAAATAATAATAATAATAATTATTTTATATTTGTCAAGCAGCGAGCATCGTCTCGCCCTTTTGCCTGGGATTAGCCCCCTGAGCCGTCGGGGCTCGTCGTGAAAGAAACCTGTTGCCACTGTGAACGACAGGTGAAGTGCAAAATGCATGACTGAACCCAATGATCACTCAATTGACAACTCCCAATAATTGTTGTTGGGTTCAGTCACCTTAAGAATACCACTATCCAACAGATCTAGCAATGGCTGTGCGTTTCCCTGCCTTTTGGTAAGGCAGTCCACTACCATCTGGGGATGTGGCACCCACTTTACCCTGGTGCCAGTTTCTGCTAGCGTTTGCCTGATCACCTGCATCTCCAAACCAGTGCGCTTATCAGCTGTGACTCCTGTTGTTTCTTTAGAAAGGTGATCAAACAATGACTTGGCGTCTACTACGCAAATTCCCTGGACTAGTTCCTCATCGCTAGCATCACTTGCAAAGGCTCTCAGGCGACGATCTTGAAGAGATTTCTCCCACTGCTTGAGGTCAAAGCCAAGCGTCGTCAGCTCATTGAAGACGGTCACCGTCCATGACAGCTCTCCCAAACCTCGGCTCATGCTTTGAGTTTCTGCAGCTAAAGTGGAGTTTGCGACTCTTTGAATCTTTCCTGATCTCCAATGAAGCAAATTGCATCTGCCCTCTCCTCTCTCCAAAACTTCTACGTCGTATGCTACTACTGCATACGCTCCTTGTGACTTCCCTTGACTGGCATTGGCAAAGCTTGCATCTGTGATGACTCCCCAGCCCAGCCTCTCTGGCCTGATGGGTTGGATTCGAAGACATAGATCAGACCGGCTCTTCAGCAGGTCGATGGCCTTGTTCAAGTCGCGAATGTCCTGCACAGACAATCGTGTCAGGTTTGATGCTACCAAACTGGCGATTGCTGCTGCATCAGGACGCCCTTCTTTGGCAGTCCATGTTATA